CTATTACTGAGGCGTTGGCAAAATTTAGACATTATCTTTTGGGCCACAAGTTTATTATTAAAATGGATCAGAAAAGCTTAAAGGAATTAGTTGAGCAGCGTTTACAAACCCCGGAGCAGCAACAATGGTTGCCAAAGTTCTTGGGCTTTGATTTTACAATCCAATATAAGCTAGGAAAAGAAAACATCCCAGCTGATGCTTTATCCAGGAGCTTAATGGTTGCGTGGTCAGAACCAATTAATCAATGGTTTACAAGGGTGGCTGAACTAACTCAAAAAGATACTAGGTTGAAGAACCTCTATGATCAGTGTGTGGCCAATCTGTTACCGTCCTCGGAATATTTGATTCAGGATGGGTTATTACTTTGGAAGGGTCGTATCATGCTACCCTCTGATGACGACCTTATCAATCAGGTGCTGTTGGAATTTCACTCTTCTAGAGTTGGAGGTCATGCGGGAGTTACAAAGACCATGGCTAGAATTTGCTCTCAATTCTTTTGGCCTGGAATGCAGCAGAGGATTCGAACATTTGTACGTGAATGCCAAATTTTCCAGCAAGCTAAGGTGCAGCAAGCTTTACCTGCGGGCTTACTCCAACCCTTGCCAATTCCATTACATGTTTGGGATGATGTAGCAATGGATTTCATCACTTGTTTGCCCTTGTCTCATGGGTACTCAACAATTATGGTCGTAGTGGACCGACTCTCCAAGTTTGGTCATTTCATTCCACTCAAGGCTGAATATACAAGTAAAATAGTTGCTGAAGCTTTTGTCAATAACATAGTTAAATTGTATGGTGTACCTCGTTCCATTGTTTCAGACAAGGACAGAATTTTCATCAGCTCATTTTGGCAACATCTTTTCAAGGCTCAGGGTACCACACTTGCTATGAGTTCTTCATACCATCCCCAATCGGATGGGCAAACAGAGGTTTTGAATAAAACCTTAGAAATGTATCTTCGATGTTTTGTGTTTGACAATCCAAAAGGGTGGTATTCTATGCTTCCGTGGGCCCAATTTTGGTACAACTCTTCCTTGCATCAGAGTATTGGGATGTCCCCTTTCAAGGCTTTATACGGTAGGGACCCTCCTACTGTCATAAGGTATGAAACTGCTTCTACTGATCCAGTATCTGTTCAAGATATGCTCCAAGCTCGTGATGCAATACTTCAGCAATTAAAATTGCATTTGTTTAAGGCCCAGCAATACATGAAGCAGCAAGCTGATAAAAGACGGAGGGATTTGCATTTTGCTGTAGGAGATTTGGTCTTGGTAAAATTACAACCGTATAGACAACATTCTGTTGCCTTACGGAAAACTCAGAAGTTAAGTATGCGTTATTTTGGTCCCTTTGAAGTCTTGACCAGAATTGGAGAAGTTGCTTATAAGCTTAAGCTTCCCAACACTGCAAAAATTCACCCAGTGTTCCATGTGTCTTTGCTTAAGGCATTTAAGGGAAGTCATTCACAAACTTATTTACCTCTTCCCCTTACTACTACAGAATTTGGTCCTTCTGTTCAACCCTTGCAAGTTTTGGACTCCCGAATTATTATGAGACATTCACAGTCAGTTCCTCAAGTCCTAATTCAATGGGACTCTTTAGATGTGGCTGCTGCTACGTGGGAGGATGTAGATGAGATACAAGAGTCATTTCCAGAATTCAACCTTGAGGACAAGGTTGTTTGCAATGGAGGGAGTATTGTAACGTGCAAGAAAAATGAGAGCCTAAGAAATGTTGAGCGGGATGTGGAGGGAAAGTTAGTTATATCACAAGGCCACGTGGCACATGATCCGCAAGGAAAGGGGCGAAGGAAAAGCATGAGGCGTAAGAGAGAGAATGTATTTCTAAAGGACTACGTGCTCTAGGGGGATTATGCGTGTGGTATGCTTCTCTCTGAAAATTCCTCTGTTCCCTTCTTCTTGACCCATTCTTCTGTTCTTCTCTTCTGAATTCTTCTCTGTTATTGAACCAGGTTACGTACATAAAGTATGGTTGGCAAAGTCATGGCCAATAGTTCCTGTTAATTTCTCATTTCTGATTCTGTATTGACACTTAGTCCATTGGTTTCCTTTATACGATTTATATATTTGTATTCAGGGATCTTAAACTAGTCTTCGCATAAAAGTTATACAAAATATACTGGTTGTTTGTTGTTTTCAGTAACAATTGTTTCAGATTCCTTAAAATTCCTTTAATGCATTCATCACGCCTTAATCTAACAACCAATAATAATTATTTAAGAACATTTAAGGAACTAATTTTACATCAAAGGTGAGTGAGAGTGAGAGCATAGGAGCAGGAGAGAACAAATAAGAACACAAAACCATTATTCCACTTATTCAGCGTTTGCATTGAGATTTGGCTAGGAACTAGGGGCAGAGTGAATGCACATCACAACTTTAACGTATATATGATTACATTCATTAACTCAAAGCTTTGAACCTACTAGCTTATTCATATATATTTTATTCAAGCTACAGACTTAACAACTGCATCAAAATGAGAAGCATCTACAAAAACAATTTGAAAGGGCTCATGCTCAGTGAGATTCAAACGTCTTCCACGCTCACCCTTGTGTGCATCATAAGTACCAATATCGAAACATGTGTCTGAATCACGGATGCAAAACACAAGCTTGTATCCAAATCCGTATTTCTCAATGTGAAATTTGCCATCAATCGTTTGTTGCCCTGGATGCTGTTCTGGGCCACCAATGCCCACATATGCCTTTTGAATTTCTTTATCCACAAACACCACCCATTTCGAGAATTCAGCGCAATCCGGCGTCTTTGTGAACTCAATTTCCAAACGGGTACCTACATAGATATTTCAACATCCTTGTTTAGGGAAGTAAACCCATTATTTGTTTATATTAGAAAGATTTAATCCTTTATCTACGATGATCATATATTATATACAGTTTTTCTAACGGATAATAAAAATTATGTGTAGTAATTTTTTTTATATAAAAAGCTGCTGAATTCAACTAAATGAAGTGATAACATGTTATAGTTTTAATCAAAGTATATTGTTCATTAGTTTTTTATTATGTAACCTTAAGCTTAACTAAAAAAAAAAAGAGAAATTTATTAAGTTCAAACTAGTTCTTTAATATTTGGTTTTGACTGGTCTTGGAATTCTTACTGATTTTGAAATCAGGCAATCTTTTATGTTAAGCAAACTAGGGTATTGATCTGTTTTAGTTCAACCAATAGAATCAACCGCTCTAGTTTTATTTTCAAAAACAATTATCACAAAAAAATTAAAAATATAAAATTTGATAGTTTTAGATAAATAGTAATCAAGATTTAAATATATGACATACCCGTAAAGATGATGCCGGGGCTTATTCCAGGTATGGTGAATTTCACTGGCAAGCCACGTTCAACTTCTGAAAATTCTTGCAAAACAGTAACTGGGCAGTGAGAGTTCCCAGTTCGGCCAAGTCTAACGCCACCACCAGGTGGCCCAAAGATAGCTGGCAGAATGTAGTATTTGCCACCTGGGAAAATAGGGTTGCCATTTATGTCCACCACTTGTTCAGCATCATTTGAGAATCCTAATGGAAGGTTGCTGAGAAAAGCAAACAGAATGAGCAAAGAAAGGGTTGGTAGAGGCGTTGGCTTCATGGTTTATGCACTCAATAGTTTGTATATCTGGGCTTTGGTGAGTTATCTTTGGGTCTATACCTCTATATATAGTATTTTAGAATTACAATAAAATAACTATCAAACTTTAAATATGTCTTTTTTCTGTAAAATTTTAAAATATGTATTTCTTTTTAATATGTATTTGATAATTATAAACATAAAAAAAAATTGTTATCTCAATTTGAATTTTACGATATAATTTATTATCTATTTTATACTTGCTTTTAAAAAATTAATCATTTTATTCGAATTGCTAACTAAATAATAGAGAAATTAATAATTAAATTGCAATTTTCGTAAGAAAAAATATTTGAATTATTCGTAATTATAAAAATAACATGTACACTTACTTTGCGCTTAAGAAATATAACCCTATTTTTACATACTTTCAATCTTCAACATAAGTCTTTACAATTATAGGTGTTATTTACAGGTCTTTCAAATATTTTAATTATTAAACTAGTTTTTTTTTAATTGTCATTACTTTAATTTTTTTAAATATTTTGTCATTTAATTAATTATATTAAAAATTGTCAAAAAATATGTTACTAATAACAGGTGTCAAATTGAAATATTTATCTTTTTTTAAAATTTTTTATAAAAGATAAAATTAATTAATCCACCCGATAGCGTAAAAATTAAGATTATTAAGTACTTAATGTAAAAACAATTGAAAAACGAAGATAATATACTTTAATGGAAATCCCGACACGGCAATGCAGTAGAAACGTGGTGTATTACAACATATGCAACACTAAAATGATATATGATTCCTTAAATTTTGAAAGTGAATTGATTTAAAACTGAGGAAGGGTTATTCATCTTAAACTTAAGTGTTTATTTTTGAATGTTTTAAACAATTTTAAAATTTAAAATTTTATATTTATACAAATTTAATTTATTATTAATTCACTGATACAATAATTTATCATCTTAACAAAACACACTAACACTAAACTGTGGATTGATGCGTTAAAATATAAATTCAGGAGCTCCTCGTGGTCCTCGAGGAGTACAATCTTTATTTTATATATGTTATGCTTGTTCTACGTTAATGGCTGACATGTTTATATATGTTTCAACATGTGGGTCCAATCTACTTTTCTAGTAACTTGCAGATCAACATGCACATTCTCATTTTTATACTAAACTTTAATGAGAGAAAGAGAGATGAGGCGAAGAAGAGAAAAATCACAACACAAAATCATTGTTCCTCTTATCCAGCGTTATTTGGCTAGGAACTAGTGGCAGAGTTAATGCACATAACAGCAGCAACAACAACGTATGATTACATTCACCAACTCGACACTTAAAATCCACTAGCTTATTCATATACATTTTTTCTTTCGTTCAAGCTACGGACTTAATAACTGCATCAAAATGAGAAGCTTCTACAAAAACAACTTCAAAGGGTGCATGCTCAGTGAGATTCAAACGTCTTCCACCCTCACCCTTGTGTGCATCATAAGTACCAATATCGAAACATGTGTCTGAACCACGGATGCAAAACACAAGCTTGTATCCAAATCTGTATTTCTCAATGTGAAATTTGCCATCAATCGTTTGTTGCCCTGGGTGCTGCTCAGGGCCACCAATTCCCAGACATGCCTTTTGAATTTCATTATCCACAAACGCCACCCAATTCGGGGATTCAGCACAATCCGGCGTCTCTGTGAACTCAATATCCAAAGGGGTACCTACACGAATATTTCAGCAAATTTTAATTAATGTTGATTGTTTTATATGAACTAATCAAGATTTAAATATATGACATACCCGTAAAGATGATGCCAGGGCTTATTCCAGGTATGCTGAATTTGACAGGAGAGCCTTGTTGAACTTCAGAAAACTCTTGCAAAACAGTAACTGGGCAATGAGAGTTCCCAGTTCGGCCAAGTCTAACTCCACCACCAGGTGGACCAACGATAGCTGGCACCAAGTAGTATTTGCCACCTGGGAAAATAGGGTTGCCATTTATGTCCACCACTTGTTCAACATCATTTGAGAATCCTAATGGAAGGTTGCTGAGGAAAGCACAGAGAAGGATCAAAGAGAGGGTTTTTGGAAGTGTTGTTGGCTTCATGGTTACTCTAATTATTGTAGCTGTGGATGCTTTGTTGATCATCTTGGGTCTACATATATAGTATTATAGCCAGAGAGGAAAGGGAAATGCGACAAAATAAGTAGCTAGGCACTTTATTTTGATGGTCTAATGGGAGGAAGAAAATAGAGGTTATTTTTATTTAGAAGAAAACATATTGTGATAAACGATGAAATATAAAATGATTTTGATTTATAGAGTGTAAATTTTGTTGGATATTTTTTATTTTATTTACTTTTAGGGGTAAAAATTTTAGTGGGTATTTATCAATTTTTTATTGAAAAATTTAAAGAGAGAGAGCGACAAAAAGGGAAAAAGAAAATCAAATATGAATATAAAAAATTAAGTGCAAAAATATAAAACTTGAGAAGTATAAAAATAAATAATTGTAAAATTGTTGAAAAAATATATTATATAAACAATATATTTCTTTAATTTTTAATAGTTACTCACATACGTGGATGCAGGGAGTGATGCATGTTTAAAATAGATATGCACGTGCTGTGCCATTGAAAGGTGATATATTTGTTTAATTTATATTTGTAATTAGATTTTTCTAAATTTGAAAACATTCATGTGCATGGGTAAGTGGAAAGTTGTTTGTTGATAAATTAAAATAATATTTATTTATAATTTGTAATAATTTGCGTTTAGAAGAAATTAAACTATGCATGAGTTCCGCGTGAAGGAATATTTTATTCCTCCAGAATTGAAACTGGTCCACGAGGAGTATATAATATATGGAGAAACTTTTAGTTAAGCTTTGTTTACTATAAGAATTCAAATTAACCATTAAACTTTTATTTAAACTATGCATTTTTGTTTTATAATGAATGCTCGGACATTGATCTACATTAATTACACTACAACATACAAAAAATAATAATTAAGAAACGATTATGCATTATCTTAAAAGTTGTTTAAAATATTCTGACTTCTCTTAGAGTAGATTATATAACTATTCTTTAAATATCACTATTTAATGTAAATGTACTTAAAAAATATTTTATATCATAAGCATTGCTGTTCAAAGTAAATATTATTTTAAAATTAATTTTTATAATCACTTTTTAAAGCATAAATCGTGAATTTAAAATTTTTCAATAATGAATTAGAATTAGTTAGAAAATATAATAAGAGTAGAGAGACATTCAAAATAAAACTTTTGATGAGGTCCTTAAGTTTGTAACACAAATTTTCTATTCTCTTTTTCTTTAACAAATACTGAAACTGAAAGCACAAAATCATTTTTAATAGTAAATAAATGATAATGTTGAATCGTGAATGCTCCACAGGGAAGGAATATTTTACTTTCTTCACGTGGAGCACGACCTCAGTTTTGTACAAGTGTTCGTCAATATTTTACCACGTTAGATTATATTTCAGGCTTTTATCAAAATAAATTATCTTTTTGGTTTTTATCTTTTATTTAATTAAAAAAACATTTCAAAATAATGAATTTTATATTAAGAAAAAATTTAAATAAAAAATTCACTATTAGCTTAATTTAAAATTGTTAGTAAATATTTTTAATACAACTTAATTTTTTTCACACTCTCTTTTGTTCATCTAAAAGAGTGAAAACAATTTTTTTTATTTTATTTTTCACTTCATATCATTTAAACATCTAATTTTTTTTGTTCTCCTTTTTCTTTTGTCTATTTTACATCGTATGCAACCAGACTATTAAAGTTCAAGAAAAGTAATATTTCATAGTGAATATAGAAAAGGCTTTTCACGAAGGATAACAATAAGGTGAGAAGGAGTAAAAAAAAATGAACTATAATATTCCCCATATGACCCAAATTAGGCATATAAATGGGATTTTTATTGGCCTTTCTATACACAAATGGTTTAGGACTACTTGCAAATCCTCTTTGCTATCAATATCTAATGGCATTTCAACAATCATTATCTAACTTGAATGATTATCACTAGCAATTTTAGTTAGATTTCCCTTCAAATACAAGCGAATTCGTGTTCCTCTAGATACAAGACATTCCTTCCATGTCAAAACATTCCTTCCAGTTTTTGTCATTCAAGTTGATGTAAACTGCAAGCAGATACAAGAGGAAAGCAACAAGAAAGCCCAAAATAGATTTGAATTTTGAAGTAAATAAGGTATTTTGCTACATTAACAAGAAAATAAACAGGAAAAATTGAATTTTCCTTTGTTATATCTTCAAGCCCCGTATAATGTACCCATAAAGATACAACAACAAAAGGCAAAAAATCAATTTTCTTGCCAATTGTGGCATTAAAATCAGGAAAATGATGGGACAAAAATAATCAGTATCTGATGCTGGCGGAGCAGATGGAAGAAGGGTATGATTGCAATGAAGAAAAAATAGTGTGTTGATGGGTGAAAAAAAGGGAAGAGAGAAAGATCAAATGCTTACTGTTAAAGCTAGTATATACTTCACAGATATGGTTTGCTGAATGTCTCTGAAATCGCCTCTTTTTTTATGCATCATTCTTATTAGAGGGAAAAAAAATATTGAATTAGAAATTGCATAGACATATTTATACCTTCTAGTTTAAAGACATATGAACATTTTAAACATATCTTCTGATTTATAGGTGTAAACTGTAAACTATGGAAACGCCGCGGAGACTGGAGAGATCAGCAGGTAAAACAAAAAACATTGAATACAATTGTTTGGGGTGCTTTTGAAACATACCTCCATATGAAAGGACACCATACAATTATATCTCTACCACAATTTTGCAACTGCAAGCTAGAAAACAAGGTCTTCCTTCATCTTGTTTGTATCGAATTGGGTTAATGTCTCGGCCAAACACGTGCGCTCCTTTCATAAAATGACATCATTCCATGTGCTTCCTTATATTTCTACACCATTGGGTTATGACGAATTAGAGCAGTTGAACCCACAGTGGTCTAAAGGATGGACTCCAACCATTAATCAAGGGGATTGGTTGATGGGCTAACATTATGATCAGACTGGTTTCTAAAACTTGATATGAACCCAAATCAAATCATGAATAGAGAGACTAATTCAAACAAATTTCAGTTCTGTAGCAACTCTTCAAATGCTTTCTCTCCTTCACTAGCAGAGAAACATATAAGCAACTCTGTTGTGGTAGCATCTAGTAGAAATCCTTTGCTTTTCATTATTTGAAGGTATTTTCTAGACCTGGAAATATCACATTTTCGCAACAATCCCTGAACAAACACGTTATACGAGCATTTATTAGGCAAGCAGCCATTCCCTTCCACAGAAATTGAAGTTGTTTCTAAAATAGGTCTTATATTGTAGTTAATCATTAAGGGGGATTGTGAGGAATTTTAACAGACATGCAGACGTGCTTTTGTGCAAACACTTCAGTATGTGCTCATACATTCATCAGTTGTTGAGTTTCTTCCCCCTCAAATTATAACACCATTGATAAGTTAGTAGGAAGAGGGGACCATATTTTGTGATGCGGTTCAAGTCAGTATAGAATTGTAGGATACCCTACGCAGTTGCATTGCACTTATATGGTAATTATACTCACTTTTGGAAGAAAGAGGTTATGTCTCTTCAAAATGAAGAATCCAGTGCGTAGTAGTCATTTTACGAAATAGTTTTCTGGATTGCTTTTAGACTTTAGAGAACAACAACTGGACCTGTCACCAAAAGTCTCCACATGAACACATTCCATCTTTAAACAGGTGGAATCGAGCGGCATCTCTTACAAGAATCTCTCTCTGGGTGATCTTAGATATATACTTGGTTGCATTGTGGCAATCCCCACAAACTCTCAAATTTTTCACTATTCGTATAGGGAAACCAGGAGGAATAAATATCAACCCAAAGGCAATTGCAAGCTTTTCACTATGGTGATTAAGCATCTTTATTTTCTCGGAATCCTCTACATCATGCAGAACAGAATTCATATCAGGTACATATCCCTCTTGAACCATTTTATGGTTCAACTTTTCTAGCTCAGAATATATCTGATCTGAAAATGGGTTGGACCGATCATCAGCAGAGAAAATGTATACTTGATTCTTATATTTGATCCAGCTACATCCCGGTTCCTTTCTCAGACCCTTATCTCTCATCCCTTTTCTTAATTTGGCAACTTCTTCCCATTTCCCTTTAGCAGCATACATGCTTGAAAGTAAGATGTAGCTAGCAGTGTTATGTGGTTCTAATTTTAGAAGAAACTCAGCTGCCCATTTGCCAATTTCCATGTTCCCATAGAATCTACATGAACTTAATAAGGATGCCCAACCAATTGCATCAGGGCTGAAAGGCATCTTGTTTATAAATTTTTTTGCCTCTTCTAACCTCCCAGCTCGACTGAAGAGGTCAATCATGCAGGTGTAATGATCATGAACTGGTACAATTCCATGTTCCGTAATCATTGAATCAAATATCTGATTTCCTTTCTCTACTAGTCCAGCTCTACTGCAAGCTGAAAGAACCCCAATAAAAGTAACTTTGTCAGGTTTGAAACCATGGGCTAACATGCTTTCAAATAACCTGATTGTTTCATTGGCTTTACCAAACTGGGCATATCCAGAAACAAGTGCAGTCCAAGAGACTTCATCCCTGAAGCTCATTTCACTAAAAAGTTTATGGGAGTCTTCAATGCTTCCACATTTACCGTATAATGTCACCAGAGCATTGGAGACAGTAATAGAAGAAATTAGGCCAGAAACCAAAGCTCTTCCATGAAATTGAGCACCTTCTTCTAGGCTTGCAAGGTTTGCACAGGAGCTAATTACACTCCCAAGGGTGAAATCATCTGGTTCAATCCCATATTTTTGCATATCACTAAAGACTTTTACAGCTTCTTCACTGTAACCATTTTGTCCATAACCCACCAACATCGCAGTCCAAGATACAACATTTTTGCAAGTCATCTTCATAAACACTGTTTGTGCTGATTTTATACTCTTACACTTGCAATACATGTCAACAAGAGCGCTACCAACATATATATTATCTTGATAATCTGTCCTAATTACGTAAGCATGAACTTGCTTGCCTTCTTGCAAAGCCATAACACCACCACAGGCAGTTAACACACTTCCAAATGTGTACTGATCCATATCTAGATTTTCCAATCTCATCTTTCTGAACAAATCGATTGCTTCTCTGGACAAACCATTCTGAGAAAATCCCGTAATCATTGCAGTCCAAGAAATTGAATCCTTTTTGCACATCTCATAAAACAATTGCCTTGAATCTTCAATTCTACCACATTGCATAAGCCTCGCGATCATTGTATTATACATAACCACATTCTTCTCAGGCATCTCATCAAAAGTCTGCCTTGCACAAGATATCAGCCCTGTTTTTGAGTACATATCCACCAAAGGACTCCCAACAAAAACATACGACTGGAAACCAAATTTCAACACATGCCCATGAATCTGCCTACCCAAACGAATACGGCCCTGATTGGAAACAAGTATAAGCATAGTTGACAATGCAATTGGATTCAAATTGACGGTCCCATCATTCAACATCAGATTATAAGCCTTCACGGACTGAACGAGGGAACCAGAAGCAGCATAGCCTGAAATAAGGGAATTCCAGGACACCATATCTCGCGCTGGCATTACATCAAACACGTGTTGCATCTGAGGAAGACGAGCCAATTTGGAATAGGAGGATAGAAGGGTGTTCCAAGAATAGATATTCGGTTGAGGCATTTGGTCGAACACCCTGCAGGCATAGGTTATGCTGCCGAGCTTGGCATAGGTGTTGATGAGGTTGTTTAACAGAAAGGTTTCGGGGTTTGGAGAGGCCTTCAAAATGTGGCAGTGGAGCCTCTTTGCGTCCTGCGTTTGGTAGCATTGTTTGAGCAATGCACAGTATTGGTTAGAAGTTGAAGAAGAAGAAAAAGAGCGTGACACTGACATGTAATCCAATTGTTTTGTAGCAATGAGATATGGCAAGAAATATACAGGAGGAGATTGCCAATAACCAGGAATCAGAGCAGAATTCACCCAGCAGCTCTGTTCTCATTTAGCACGAACTTCACTGCCCTAACGCTAACTTGTTCTTCCAATGTTATTGTTAGTAAATAAAAAATTTAAATAGTCAGGTTTGGATGGGGTTAGCGCTTGCTTCCCCTACTTTTCAACATCTACTTCACCACTTCGGTGGTTCTTTCGGCTCTGTGAATCCACTCTCTTCTTATAACTAGAATTCGAAATATGATTTAATATGTATTATGTTATTATGATAACTCAGAAAATTTTTAATGTAAAAAAGAAAAAGGTACCAAATATAATATTTTTAAATTTCTTATGTAATTTATCTTGGAGATTAGATAACCCACTAAAAAACATATTAACTATTTATTTAAAGTGTATCTAAAGACATGCAATAAGAATTTATTTATAATAATTTTTTATTAAAAATTATAAAATATCATATAATATAATACATGTTACAAATTTTAATTAAGAATTGTCTTATTATTGAATAACTGATGTATTAACTCCACCTATTGGATGCTTATTCTCTGCAAGAAAAGAAAACATTACAAGAGAAAGGGTCATTATCAAACCACTTATTATTCGATTCTAGCATTGGAGATTATATTCAAACTGTGGAGCTTCCACTGGCATCAGCATCAACAAACACAACTTGGAAGGGATCACCATTGGTCAGGATCAAACGCCCTCCATTTTCATCATCATATCTCCCAATATCAAAACAAACACTAGGTGGGGCAGTAATTGTGGGACAGAACACAAGCTTATAACCCACATCATATTTTTGAATGTTAAACCTACCAATTATGACTTGCTTCCCTAGATGGTCTTCAACACCACCAATTCCCACCCATTCCTTAGGAAAATCATCAACAATCACCACCCACTTGGATGATGTAGCACACAAAGGTTTCTCTTCAAATTTAATATCTAATGGTGTGCCAGTGAATATGATACCAGGGCTTATTCCTGGTATGGTGAATTTTATTGGTAGGCCATTGACAACCTCAGAATAATCTTGTAAAATAGTAACTGGGCATGTTGAGTTGCCAGTTTCACCTAGTCTTAATCCACCACCCGCTGGTCCAAAGATAGCTGGCAAAATATAGTATCAACCAGCTGGAAAAATGCGGTTTCCATTTGTGTCTAGGACTTGTTCAGTACCTTGTGAGAAGGTTAATGGAATGTTGCTGGTTCATACACTGAGGAGGAAAGAGAGGGTAAGTAATGCAGGCTTCATGGTTTTATATGTAAAGGATGGAACTATTTGTCTCTGTTTTGGTGCCTCCACACCTCAATTTATAGAGTTTTGGTGAGAGTTGCTTGTGATCTAATGTTTCACCAAAAATCAATGATGTTAGAGGAAAAACTGATGTATAATGTTATTGGCTTTTTTTAGTTATTGAATTAAAATTAAAGTTTTATTTTAATAATGTGTAATAATTTTTTAATATCAATATTTATTATGTAAATTATCAAAATTAATTACTCTAATTTTTATTAAAAATAATACTAAAAATACTTTTAATATTGCTTCTAATCTTATAAGATTTCGGTCAAAGTTTTCATTTAAGTTTCATCTTATGTCAATCTCTATATATACAAATGAGAAAAAAAGAAAAGAGAGGAGATTTGATATATGTTTTTAATATTTAAAAATATGCTTTTTCAATTTTATTTAAATTTTATATATTTTACTACCTATAACTAAAACGGTTAAATTTAAGTACCTCATCGAATATTAAAAGAAATACGAGTCTTTTTGTATTTTTTTAAGGAATAAAAAGTAAAATTTTAAACAAAGAACTAATTTAAAAATCATATTTCAAGAAAAAAATTTAAGCAAAAGAAGAATTTAAAAAAAATCTACAAACTATTATGTTAAAACGATTAGATGAATTTTGACGAAGAAATATTACAGTAAATGAAAAGGACAGCAAATGTAGTGTGCATATTATGAAAAGAAAGGTTAGAACATATTCCACAGAACAACAAAGTTGGTGAACAATAATCGTAGAATTTTGAACTCATTCATTCTTGTTTTCTGCAAGTGGTATGTACGGAACATAGGATGAAGCCGCCCACATGATGATTTGCAAATGTGATGCTGTGTTGTTTTTGTTTCATGGAAAATGGTCGAAAGTTCGATTACTCCATTATTGTTATGAAAGGCATGTGAAGCATATCAATCTTAATGAAATATATAGAGAGACTCACACGTGTACAACTATTAGATAAACAAGTAAATTGTTTAATATAGAGAACTCTTTCAGTAAGCAAAGTTGGATGGTAAAATGAGAGTGACGTTGTTGTAAATATATTTTCACGTTAAAGTTTGTATTTATATCATTTAAATAAAAGTAAAAAATAAACTCTACATCTTATAAGGTGAAATATTATTAATTATATATTGCATGTGTGTTGGGTAAGAAAGATTTTTAGATAGGGAGCTTTACAATGAATAGAATACCATGATACAACTCTAAAATTTTAAGGTAATGAGTGCATAATTTCTAACTTGACCATATCCCATTTTATGTGAGACTAATTCACATTTGACTCAAACACTCCTCTTCAAGTATGAACCTATCAAGTGCATAAAACAACTCTTGCTCTCTTCACGTGGGTTGTCGTCCATTCAACAAATTTTTTTTGGATTTCACATCCTCCGCATGTGGGTGCTACCAGCTCTCTGCTAGGACTCATCTAGTGTCACCGTTTTTTTTATGGTGCACTCTTACACTTGACCATGGATGCCAACCATTGGTTCTTTCTGCCGTAGCATATCTACTCGTCTGAGCTGGTCACCTGAATTAACTCAGCTCTTATATTACTTTTGAGTAGTAGGAGTTTTTTTAGGTAAGAAGTTTTACAATGAGTAAGACACCACAATACAATCCTAAAACTTTAAGACAATAGATGCACGAGTCTATCTCTTTATAGACTCTTAACTTGCCCATATCCTATTTTATATAGGAGTAATTCACACTTGACTCCAGCAATGTACCACTTGATATAGTTGATATTGTCTGTCAGATAACTATTAAAGATTCATAAATATAACCAACAATTATAGTCATATGATAAACCTACTTGAAATGTTAAAGGTACAAATACAAATACTAATACTAGTTGAGTTATGAAATATGAATTCATCAAATATAAAAATGAAATAATAAATAATGTAGAAGAGTCGGACCTGTTAATTATTTTAGATCATACTTATACCTCGAACATTATATTTAATGAAATGTTTAAAGTACTTAAACTCTTTAACTCACGTGTTACAATAATCTAATTCAATCCAAGCAATATTATTTCTTGAAAAGGATAGTTGTGAATCTGAAAAAATAAAATCTAAACCAATTCAATTCTTTTTTGGTCAAATATATTTTTTTTAATCTAAAGATGTTTTTCGTTTGGGTCAACTGGCCTATTCAATTCTGGTTTCTGGTTTGGTAGCCGATGGCAACAGGGCCGTTTAGCCCAATTGGTCTGTCCTTACTGGCCCAGTAAGCCCAAAATAGGTTCTAGCTTCTAATCTAACCCTCCCTCTCCTTGAACACAAACACCCCCCCCCCCCCCCAAAAAAAAAGAAAAAGAAGAGAAAACCCTCACTGTCTGCGACACTACATTTGTTTATGTTTATGTTTGCGACCAAAACAACTTCCACAAAATGCTTCGACTCCGAAGAACACCTTCCATCTCTCGTTTCCAACATTTTTCCACTCTTTCCCATCCCTTTTCGGACGCACCAAACAGAACCCAACTCTTAAACTCAATCAGAAACCTCAAAAGTGCCGATTCCGCAATCCATTTCTTCCTCAGAATGCTCGCCACTACACCCTTCCCCAACATCAAAGACTTCAACTTTTTGTTCGGCTTCGTCGCCAAAACGCAGCGTTTCGCCACCGCCATTTCCCTAATCAAAACCCTACTTTCTCTCGGCGTTAGTGCTGACGTGTGCACCCTCAACATCGTCATCAATTGCCTTTGCCGTTTGAACCACACGCCTTTTGGGTTCTCCGTTTTGGGCTTAATGTTCAAAACCGGTTTGGAACCCTCTTTGGTTACCCTTAACACCATTGTTAATGGCCTTTGTGTGGAAGGGCGCGTGGCACACGCGCTATGGTTGGTTGATCACATGGAAAAAATGGGGTATCACTGTAATGTTAGAACCTTTGGTGCATTGGTTAATGGGTTGTGTAAGGTTCGTGACACTTGTGGTGCTATTGAGTGGTTGAAGAAAATGGAAGAAAGAAATTTGGAAATCAACGTTGTGGTTTATAATAGCGTTTTGGACGGACTTTGTAAGGGTAAGTTGGTGTCTGAGGCTTTGAATTTGTTCTATGAGATGAGAGATAAAAAGGGTATTCAGCCTACTGTTGTTACTTACAATTGTTTGATTCAAGGGCTTTGTAGTTTTGGAAGGTGGAAAGAGGGTGCTTCTTTGATCAATGAGATGATGGTGGAGAAGGGAATCATGCCTGATGTGCAAACGTTTTCGATTTTGGTGGATGCCTTTTGCAAGGAGGGGTTGATTAATGGGGCTAAGAGTGTTGTGTGTTTCATGGTTCGAATTGGGTTGGAGCCCAATGTCGTGACGTATAACTCATTGATTGGCGGGTATTGTTTGCGGAGTCAAATGGAGGAGGCAATGAGAGTTTTTGGTTTGATGGTTCGTGTGGGCTGCTTGCCGAGCATTGTGACGTATAATTCGTTGATTCATGGATGGTGTAAGGTTAAAGATGTCGATAAGGCTATGTGTCTATTGGGTGAAATGGTTAGTAAAGGGTTGCATCCTGATGTATTCACTTGGACCGCACTAATTGGTGGGTTTTGTGAAGTGAGTAAGCCACTGGCTGCAAAAGAATTGTTTTTTACGATGAAAAAATATGGCCAGGTTCCCAATCTCCAGACCTGTGCTATTGTATTGGATGGCCTATTCAAGTGCCATCTGAATTCTGAGGCGATATCATTGTTTAGGGCAATGGAGAAGAGTAATCTAGATCTTGATATTGTGATTTACAATATTGTGCTTGACGGAATGTGCAAAGCTGGAAAACTGAATGATGCAAGGGAACTTCTTTCTTGTATGCTGGCTCAAGGGTTGAAAATTGATGTATATACTTTTAACATAATGATTCAAGGTCTGTGTAGAGAAGGACTATTGGATGATGCTGAAAACTTGCTTATAGAAATGGAAGGGAATGGCTGCTTGCCTAATAAATGCTCGTATAACGTGTTTGTTCAGGGATTGTTGCGAAAATGTGATATTTCTAGGTCTAGAAAATACCTTCAAATAATGAAAAGCAAAGGATTTCTGCTAGATGCTACCACAACAGAGTTGCTTATATGTTTCTTCTCTGCTAGTGAAGGAGATAAAGCATTTGAAGAGTTGCTACAGAACTGAAATTTGTTTGAATTAATCTCTCCATTCATGATTTGATTTGGGTTCATGTCAAGTTTTAGAAACCAGTCTGATCATAATGTTAGACCATCAAACAAGCCCCTTGATGAATGGTTGGAGTACATCCTTTAGGCCATTGCGGGTTCAACTGCTCTAATTCGTCATAACCCAATGGTGTAGAAAGTATAAGGAAGAACATGGAATGATGTCATTTTATGAAAGGAGCGCACGTGTTTGGCCGAGACACTAACCCAATTCGATACAAACAAGATGAAGGAAGACCTTGTTTTCTAGCTTGCAGTTGCAAAATTGTGGTAGAGATATAACTGTATGTTTGGTGTCCATACATATGAAGGTATGTTTCAAAAGCACCCAAACAATTGTATTCAATGTTTTAGTTTTACTTGCTGATCTCTCCAGTCTCCGCTGCGTTTCCATAGTTTACAGTTTACACCTATAAATCAGAAGATATGTTTAAAATGTTCGTATGTCTTCAAACTAGAAGGTATAAATATGTCTATGCAATTTCTAATTCAATATTTTTTTCCCCTCTAATAAGAATGATGCATAAAAAAAGAGGCGATTTCAGAGACAGCAAACCATATCTGTGAAGTATATACCAGCTTTAACAGTAAGCATTTGATCTCTCTTCCCTTTTTTTCACCCAACAACACATTATTTTTTCTTCATTGCAATCATACCCTTCTTCCATTTGCTCCGCTAGCATCAGAATCAGATACTGATAATTTTTGTCCGATCATTTTCCTTATTTTAGTGCCACAATTGGCAAGAAAATTCTTTTTTTGCCTTTTGTTGTTGTATCTTTCTGGGTACATTCTACGAGGCTTGAAGATATAACAATGAAAATTCAATTTTTCCTTTTATTTTCTTATTAATGTAGCAGAATACCTTATTTACTTCAAAATTCAAATCTATTTTGGGCTTTCTTGTTGATTTCCTCTTGTATCTGCTTGCAGTTTACATCAACTTGAATGACAAAAACTGGAAGGAATGTTTTGACATGTGAATTGTGATATTGGAGGTTTTGGCTACAGATTCCATGGAGTCTCAGAAAGGTACCTAGATTCTCAATTATGGCATGCCTTGCTGGTGCCATGGTTCAAATCAAATGGCACTTCACAACTCAAAAAGTGTTCCACTTTCCTCATGGACGTGCAGAGTACATCCATGGGAAAATAGATTTCTGGCTAACCAGAATTCCCGTACTCATCCCTTGCATGTTCTCTGCAATGAAATAAATGTCAGACTCTGATACTGATGAGGTCAAACTGAAAATGAGAGTGACCACTTTGAGAAAAAAATTGATTTGGATTTGGAAGAAAATGTTTCATTGGAATGAGAGTCATGAAGAAATTGCTTCCTTTACCAAGACATTGACACAATCTTATCCCAATAACGGTGGAGGGTTCTCAGTTTCTCGTTATTGTGCTGAAGCCTGAAACTGCAGAATTTGTTGACTACTTGTCCCTAGGATTCCTTGTTATCAATTGGCTTTTCTTAAATACTATATTAATATTCAGATCCAAACACACTAACACTTTTTTTAACTCTTCCTCAAGTTAGAAGGCTATGTTTACTGATTTTGGTAAATGGTAAAATTGCATTTGTTAATTAAGGTGACATTTGAGAAAGTGATATGAGAATAAAAAGATTTTGTTTAATAAAGGAGAATAAAAAGAGAATTTTAAAATTTTAGAAAATATAAAATTAATAAGGAAATATGTTTAAAGTGAGAGTCAAATATAAGAAAATTTTTTAATGATAAATATAAAAAAGTTAAGCATAATAGATATATTTTAAAATTTTCTATGAAGGCAACTCGTTTGAAATTTTTTCCATTTATCATAAATATTATTTAGGTAAAATTCTGCAGAAAAATAATTTTTTTATTAAAATATATGCAATATAATAATTTTTAATTATTGTATCCAATTACAACCTTAATATAAAAGATTCTAGGCCAATCATATGAAATGTTAATTTAGTTGACGATACCATCTCTACGGCTAAATTCTAACATTCATAGTGCGGCGTAGTTCATATAAAATAATTTCTTTTATAGAATTCTCTTATCATGCCAGTTAGAAAATTTTTCGTGTTTCATGAATTGGATTATTTTTAAAGATTATAATTTAGCTTTATTAAAAAATTGTTATAATCTTGTTTTCTCTTATTTAGTAATTAATAATAGATAAAATTAGTGTTTTCATTTTTTAAGGTTAATTTTAATTGTCTTTTAATATTTTTTTCATTTTAGGTTTTTATTTTTTAAAAAAATTTTAAACAAGTCTTTTTTCGTTCAAAATGTTAATCCCATTAAAATATTTTGTCTTTTTTCTGCTATTTGTGCTATTTTATACTTTTCATTATCTTTAATATTGAGTCTCTGCACTATTTTTTTTTTCCTCTCAAATTTTCAATTTTTCTTTATTCTTATGCTCACATAAACTTTTTTTTATTCGAAAGCTTATAAAATTATTTTCAAAACATCTTTTAAACATGTAAATCATTAAATAGACTAGCATGAACTTTTCTTCTTGTGCCATTACAATTTTCATGATTTTTGGAGTCACTTAAGGAGTAGAAGAAAACAATAAACACAATAAACTAATAAAAATTAGAGGACTAAAGTTAATAAAAAAAGTTAAAAGACAAAATTAAAATCTGCTTTAAAGTTAGGAAACAAAAAAACTAATTTTATTATAATAATATTAGTGAAACTCTTACTATAATTTTAGATTATTTTATTACAGAAAAAGAAAAATTTTATGTAAATAAGCAAGATTTATGAAATCATGATTAAAAGTTAATAGATTATTTACTTATCAACTTTTTTGTCATTTTATCTTCAAAATTAATTATTTTAAAATAAACCAATTACTAAAATGATTTCATAACTGTTTTTTTTGTTAATGTTACAATAAAAAATTATCCTTTCAAACAATTTAAATATATAAATTATTTTCAATTCACTTTTCATCTACTATATTTAAATATAAAATGTATTTCATATAATCAATTATTAAAATATTTTTAAAAATAATCCAATTCGAACACATACCTAACCTTTAAATTACCGTCATGCAAAGAACATAACTCCTCTTAATTTTATTTTATTTGATATACATTAATTTTGAAATCAAACCAAAAATTAAACTGAATTTTAAATTTTGAATCAATCAAAATGAGATGGTATTTTTTTAAAAGATAACTAGATTTAAGATTGTTGTAATTTTAATGTATTTTAATTTAAAATTTATTTTATTTTATTTTTTATTTTGACACACTATGTCAAGTTTATAGACATGGAGACAGTGAATCTAATTCAAATAATTTGTTTTTATATTTTTCTTTAATTTAAACCATCATTTGAGTCAAGAATATCTACAAGGCTGAGAAGTTAAATTCTTTCGACGATTGTTTTTAATATACTTGAACCCAAAACCTTATTTAAAAATAAAAATCAATTATGTATTACTTAATCAACTATTTCTTATGTCTTTAATTATTCATATATAATAAAATAAAATAACTATTATTAACAATCAAATATCTATTATATTTTATTCTTCTTTAAAACACCTGATTTTTCCATATTTAACAATGATGACATAATTTTTTGCTTGTATATGTTTTATTAAAACTATGTTTAAACTTAAAAAATACCCATTAGTTGCTAGCTATATTAAAAGACAGTTATTTTACGCAGAGTAGCTTTAGTTTGGACGATTTTGGTTTTTTGGGTAAAATTTCTTTGGATTATTTACATTAGAAGAATAAACATTCATTGAAGAACTCAAACAAAAAAAAAAAATGAATAAATGTACCAAAAGAAGAAGGTACAAACACCCGTTGAAGTGACTTTAATTTTGTCCTTTTTAAAGATAAGTTAACATAAATTTAATTCCTTAATTATACAAAATGACATTAATATGTAGCTCCTTAATTATGGATGATGATATTGATTTTTGTCATCATTAGTATTCTCAAAATTCATATCAAAAGAATTATTTTGAAGTCACTTTTTGATTAAATTTATGTCAACTTTTTTAGTGGACCAAATTATTGTCTCCTATATATTTGAGTACTAAAATGAATGTTTAGATTTAACAAAATGATCCTTCTTTACATTGGAATAATCACATACAAGATAATTATATATCTATTGTATATGGTACAGAGTACTTAATTGAAAGATATCTTAAAAAAAATAACACCAAACTAAAATATAGCCTTCAAAAGAAGACACATAATAATTTTCTCCGTCTAATTATGTTGAACCACCCAAAAGATTGTACCTACAGAAAACAAATAAAATATGAAAGTAATATCATACATTGCTGAAAATAACCTAATCTAGTCTAATTTTATACTTTTCTAAACATTTTTGCCCTTGATTTTCACAGCAGCATTTACTCACATATTACAGTTCTTCTTTATGAAGTATGCAGAAGCTATAGCACACTCTATGAAGTATAATTCAGTTTATCAAAACCATTGAAGAACTCATCCAACAGGCTCATACCTTTGGAGACATGCTTGTTTGAATACTAGAAGAAAATGGATTTAGGAACAAACTTGGCCTACCATATTCACTTTTTATATCACTAACATCACCAATATCTCCAAGTTTTGGTTGTGCTGGAAGGACCTGTGATTCATTGGAAACTTCATCTTCAAACACCACCCACACCTTGCTTATTTTAGTCTCTAGTGTCCATGAAAAAAGAGTTGGGGTTGGTGACAAGTTTATATCAATTTTCTCTTCATTCTTTTTGCTTTCTTTTGCTGCCACTTCCAACTCTATCTCTGTTGATCGTTTGAAGTGGCCATGAATTGGAGGAGGATTTGAGATACTCCTCCTTCTAGATAGAGAGACATGTGAAGCCGCAAGTTGATTTTGTGGGCTACCAAATTGTTCTAGTGCCACTATATGATTCATGCTGATTATTTGAACAAAAGGGTATTCCAAGTTCTTGTTTTCAACCACTTGTTTGCAATTTTCATACAGATCATGAAGCTTTTGGCTCTGGAGAGAAGCTTTCTTGAGTATTTCACAGGCTAGGCCTTTGGCTGATGCTGTTAGATCAAAAAACATGTTGACAAGAGCTGCAATGCCTTCAGAAAATGTCATATAAACTTGGAAGCTTTCTCTCAAGGTGTTGCTCATGGCGGCTTGAGCCAAGCTATTATCTGAGAGCAACATATCATGTGGAGAGCATTCTAACACTTTATCAATAAGCACTTGGCATTTAGGCAACGTTCTGAATGCAATATCAATGGATTTTTCATCGTAGCGCCTAAATTCTAACCCTTTGGACATAACAGGTTCAAGTTTCCCTGCTTGGTTGATGAGCCAACTCATCCTTTCTTCAAGGTAAGTTGCATAATTGTGTAAGAAAACAACTGAAGGGTCAGAATTCTTTGTGAAACACCTTGTACTAATTTGAAGATGACCAGATACATGTGCTTTGCATAGCTCTTGTTCAAAGGACCTGTTTCCACCTCTAAGAAGGCGATGAATCAAGACAAGGGTCTTGAGGGCCACAATATGATCCTTAGTTTTGCCAAGACGGCGTGAAATCCTTTCAGCAAGAAAAGGAATAGACCCTTTAGAGTTTGATACAAGGAAAAGGATCTCATGCATGTATTTGTCATCAATGGTGCCATTATCATGGCCTGTGGCACGCAGAACCGCTATCTCTATGTTGGAAAAGCCATCATGTTGATGATGATACATCATGGCCTTGCCAATAGAAGCATGATCTTTCATTGAGCCAAGAGCTAGACGAAGCTTCCCTTGAATATCCACACCCATTTCTTCTTTTTGGAAAAAGAAGAAGAACTTCAATAATTTTGATAGAAGGTTAATGTCACAATGTGATGTGTAGAGGTAAGCAATTGCAGGGGTATACACATATAAAGGTGGGTATGGAGAAGAGTGCGAAAAAGTGTGGCCTTAAAAAAATTAGAAGCTGTACAATTTGCAGAATCAAATCTTTCATATTTTAAACACAATCGTAATATGGACAAGAACATTCATCATGTAAAATAGTTTTTACTTTTTAGATTGTTGTGTGTTATAGCTTAGCAGTCTACAAACCCAACACTGCAATATCCTATATTAAAAGGCAATAATCCACGTGCAAAGTCAACGAGTATAATCAAAAAGCCTCCTTTTCTTTGGTCCTCTTGAAGTGACAGAAATGCAAGCAAGACTAATGGTAATGACATGTTTAGTTTCCTAACCATTCTTTTCTTTTAATCATGGTCATATTACTGCTGTGAATTGAAGAGATTGATGTAAAAATGGGTGACTTGGTTAAAATTACGAAGCAATTATTTAAAACAATTTGATGGAGTGGAATACTTGCATACTCTAGAGAGTATCATAACTAAACCTAATTTGGATTAACTTCTCGGCATGTACTTATGAGAGACAAAAATAAAAAGCAAATTGAATCAAACTTATTTTATAAGTTAAAATTAATTTGTGTTTTTTTTTTTTTTACTTCTTTTAGAATTTTTTTCAATTAACTTCTTCAAAATATAAGGTACAAAACATGCAGCTTATAAGTTGATTTTAATTAATGAGAACTTTATTTTCTTTTCTTATGAGTGATTTTGCATAAGCTTACCTAAATTGGGTATTACTTAATTTTCAGCCTTAACACTAGGAAGTTTGCTGTCTTGTAACCTAGAAAATAGTCTTTTTTAGGAATAAGAATGCGTACATCTATCCTCCTCAAATCCTTCAAGGTGAAAGCCTCCTACACTTGGTTGTCCTTTTTTTATTATTTTTCTTCAATGTCTATGCATGTGACAACTTTGAAGGGGATGCTATGTCATAGATACAAAAGTTTTGAAACACTTGTTGTGTTCTTGGGTTTGTTTTCCCCTTAATCGTTATTGTATCGAGGCTTTACCTTGGAAAAGATATGTTATTTTCCCTAGATGTAGCCTTTTCCTCTCTAACCAATTATTATTCTACAAAACTCATGTAGCAATTATTTATAAATAAGCACGAAGTAAATAATTTGCCGCAGCACTAAAAAGCTTAGATAAGAGTTAATTAAAGGATTGTCATCAAGGCTTTCATTTGTTAAAGATCCAATTGATTGCTATCAATAGCATAACAAACATAGAATAATAAAGTTTGCCTTAGAAGGCTTTCGAGTTTTGAGGAGACTTTAAAATGTCATTTTAGGAGAGTCAACGAGGGAAAAAAGTGAAGGATGGTGGAAGGTGAAAAGGAACCTTATTCACTAAGAATATGATTCTGCCGCATCTAACTCTCTTGCCATTCGCAACATACAAAATAATTTTGACTTTGAGAAATCTTTCTTCTCATCCACAGGTTCTCCATATAATCATGCAACTTTCATTTTGCTTTTGGTAGGGAAGTTGAAGCCCCACCCACTGGCACACAGATCCAAAGGAGAAAAGTGTTGTTGCAATATTCTATTCTACCAATAATAATCCTATGTGTTTGTGCCTCAAGGTACTGTGGTTAGGTCAGATCAGAATTTCAACCTCAAGTAAAATCAGATACGACATGCAAAACAAAACAAAACATCCAAGTCAAAAGGATAAAATTGATGATTTTGTTGATGGTTGATTAGAGAAGCTGACTCATGATCACTGGACTTTGAGAAGAACAAGGCTATTTGGTAATAAAATACTACCAAACCAAAGGTAGTACATAAAAGATAACACAAAATCAAATTTCATGGACCAAACCATGGTGAGACTGATAGGTCAGTTCTCCACTTCTCTAATTCAACTGTTGATTTGATTATTTAAGAAAAAGAAAATTTGCTGACACCAACAATTTTTTATTCTTTGGTCAAATTTTTTATTCTTGATTCTTCATATATTGAATTTAGGATAATTATTGTTTCTCACAAATAAAATATAGGAGACAGAGAGAAAAGAAAATGCAGCCTTTGATGATGGAGAAAAACAAGAAATTTAAAGGGACAGAAAAAGCAAAATGAAGGTTGAAGATTAAACCGGTCTATTTGATTTATTGAAAATATATTTGGGTTACATTCAGTCAAATTAAAAAGAAAAACATAAATTTTTCATTGAATTGAAGTTTTTATATAACAATTTAATAAATATGTTCACTCTTAAATAGACTAGTAATATTTATACTTCCATTTTACAAAATATAACAACTTTGTTATACTTTTCTTTCTGGCTATGTAAATCATCCAATCACCTATTATATATATGCTGTTGACGGCTGGGAATATCCTTGTTATGGGGGGATTCCTCGTGTCAATTTCCAAGTTGATGGCGTTAAAACAGCATTAAAATTGTTGTATGGCATCAATTTTAGAGCTGACAAATTTCTATTAATGCACATATATAAATGTTATCTTTCACAGTGACACAAAGTGTTCATTGTGGCTAGTACAAGAATGGGAAACTGTATATATGTTCCGACTGACAAAGCAATGTCAAGGAACAGAAAGATAAGCCAGAATCTCCACAACAGAGAAATGGGGAAAAAAGAATTTCAACCAATTAGGACTTGTTTGGTGTAAATCCTAAAACTAGTGGTCAGTTATCAGCCACTGCTTCTGGAATTTATTAATCACATTATGGGAATTTGACCGAGAATAAACTGTAAAGTGGTAATGTATGGATAACGAGCAATAGAGTAGAATGTAATCCATATCTACATATAAAGCCTTGGGTTATGTGAACAATTGGTTTTGTGTCAATATCAAATCTGTTGTGTCATTTGAGTTTAAAATTATCTTTCATATTTTTAATACGGAGATCTCGAAAATATAATCTAAAATTAAAATAAAACAAAAAACAAAAAACTTTTTGTTGCTATCAAAACAGCTCTTTTTCCAACCCTTGGTAATCCACCACCTTAAAAAGTTATTTTTCTTTTTTTTCTTCACATGAACTACCAATGGATCACTTATTCTTATTGACTCCAACCAAAAATGAAAAAAGTTACAAGCATTTTTAAGTAAAATAGTATGATTAGCAAAACATATCAAATCAGTAAAACACAAAGAAGGGTTCATTTGTCTTCTTGGTGAACAGAATCACCTTTGCAAAATTGGGAGAAAAATTCAAAGGAATATGATTACACGTATGTTTCTTATCCAATAAATTGCTGTTGTATATTAATCTTGTTAGTGGATGCCATTGAGCATCCGAAGAAACATTACTAGAGTAATGAATTACAAGATCAACTAGATACTGGTGATAATCTTGCTGTAGAAACAAATAAAGAATAAGAAGGTAGTAGAGCACAAATGTTTTAATTAAAGCTACAAATATCGGCATCTTTTATTACACGTTACGGATTTGATGTTCGGTAGAAACAAGGAAAAATAAAAACTGTATACAGAGCTAGAAAATCAATATATATTGTTTTAAAAAATCTACAGAAGTGGATCTTCTATTTTAGGTTGCTATCTCAATGTTGCTTCAACACACCTTACCAGCTTTATTCAACTGTACTCATTGTGTTTTGGAGAATGAGTTCTCCCCAAATCTGAAATTCAACAATTTTCCCCCTTTCTTCTCATTATCTTCAGTATTTTTCATAGTCAAACTCGATTCTCCAATGGAGATTACCTTGTATTGTATAGGTTCAAAGAATTTTTTTCTGCAAATAAAAGAACCCTATTCTCAAAAACTAAGAACTCTAAATTGAAAAATACAACATATAAAAGAATATATCACAAAAAACACCAAACAAAATACGAAATTACATGTTCTTCTGATTTATTTTGGTCAGCAGTGGAAACATATGAATAAAATCTATCCTTTTATTTATACTAAGTTGGACTTAAGGTAAAATAGTTACGGACTAAAAGTAGTTTGTTTATATAAATTCACAGAAGTGTGTTGCCATTCCCATGAAAAACAGTGGAAATGAAAATGCAGCCAAAAGCGTGCAACTTGATCAAGTTTTAATCTTCAATGAATGGAACAAAACTGAAATTTAAGAGAACTAGCAACTGTAAAAAAGTTTCAGAATAACCTTCTATCAACAGAGTACCCTTTTGGCCGGTGATAAATACCATTTCAAAGAACAATAAATAACAACTTAATTTTCCATTATTTGATCAATTTCTATGCATATTGAAGGTTTTGTGTTTCCTCTTGTTGTTCCATAACTACACCACAAAATGTTCACTCATTTGTGGGTGTGCAGTAAGCAATAGATAGAATAGATTGTACCTGCGTAAGGAATGAAGATGAGAGCTTCTACTTGAGAGGGTACGTACCCTGTAACGCTCCAAAAGTAGATTCCCAGTTACAGTTTGTTAGATAAAACAAATATAGAACTTTCACATGAAGCTGAGAACAGAATCTAACATGCTATATAAAAAGGAGAGCATTACTGGTGGACTCATCAACTTTTGACAATAGGACTCTTACCTAATTCAAATGTAGTATAATGACTAACATTATAGAATCAGCCAATAAGGAAGCATACATAACCGGTGGTTATTTTTTTCTTTCAGATACCAAACAATTATGTCTTGCAAGTTGCATTTGGAAATGCAAGAACATTTCCCAGCATTCCACTGGGTATAATGTTCCGAGAGAGAGAGAAAGAAACACCAAGAGAGAGAAATAAGAGTAAGAAACAAACAAACGGATAGAAAGAAAAACAAAATTAGAGAGAGAAGTGAAAGAAGATAGAAAGAGAAACAAACAAAGAAACAGACAGAGAAAAAAGAGAGAGAGAAGAGTGAAAGAAAAAGAAAGAGATCAAAATAAAAAGACCCAAGAGAGAAAGGATAAAAACAGAAGAAGAAACAAACAAAATAAGAGATAGAAAGAGAGAAAGAGTTAAAAAAGACAAAACAAAGAGAAAAGAGAGCCAGAGAAAGAAAGTGAGAAACAAAGAATAGAGAAAGAGTGACAAAGAAAAAATGAGACAAATGAAAAAAAAAAAAAAGACAGAAGGGGAGGGAGAAAGAAACTAAGAAAAAGAGAGAAGTGAAAGAAATAGACAAAGAACAAGAACAGAGGGAGAAAAATAAAAAACCAAGAAAGAAAGAAAATGAGCAAGAAAGAAAAGAGGGACAAAGAAATAAATAAAATCAGAAAAAGAGAGAGAAAGAAAGAAACAGGGAGAAACAAACAGAAAAAGAAAGACAGAAAAGAAGAAATAAGAAAGAGAGACAAAAAAATAAAGAAAATCAGGAAAAGAGAAGGAAAGAAAGACAATGATAGAGAACTACATTAAAAAAGCGAACAAGGAAAGAAAGGAAGAAAGAGAGACAAAGAACAAGAACAAAAAGAGAAAAATAAATAGACCAAGAGAGAAACAAATAGAAAAACAAAGAAAGAAAATGAAGAAAGGAAGAAAGAGACAAAGAAAATCATAAAAAGAGAGAAAGAATGAAGAAAAGAAAAAAAAAAGAGAGGAAAGAAAGAAACAGAGAGAGAACTACTCGAAAAACAAACAAGGAAAGAATAAAATAGAGTCAGAGTGAGAAAGAGAAAAGAACAAGCAAAAAAAAGAGAGAAAATGAGGAAGAAAGAATGAGAGACAAAGAAAATCAGAAAAAGAGAAAGAAACTGAAAAAAGAAAAGTGAAAAGAAGGAAAGAAAAAAAAATGAAAGAGAGAATAAAAGATAAATACATAACTAAAAATGAACAAGGAAAGAGTTAAATACAGAGATAGAGAGACAAAGAACAAGAACAGAAAGAGAAAAATAAAATGAACAAGCAAAAACAAACAGAAAAAGAAAAAGAGACAAAAAAAAGATAAAAAAGGAATCACAGAGAGAGAGAGAATGAGAGAAATACATTAAAAGAAACGAAGAAGTAAAGAGAATACAGAGTGAGAGAGAGAGAAAGAGACAAAGAACAAGAACAGAAAGAGAAAAATAAAAAGACCAAGAGAGAAAATGAAGAAAAAAGAAAAAGACAAAGAAACATTGATGGAAAGAAAAGAAAAAAAAGAAAAAAGAAACACAGAATGAGAGAAATACAAAAAAAAGGAGAGTAAAATAGAGTCAGAGTGAGAGAAAGAAAAATAAAAGAGCAAAAGAGAATGAAACAGAGAAAAAAGAAAATGAGAATGAAAGAATGAAAGTGAAACAAAGAAAATCAGAAAAGAGAGATAGAAACTTTAAAAAAGGAAAAGAAAGAGAGAAAGAAAGATACAAAGAACAAGACAGAAAGAAACAGATAAAAAGAGAAAATGAGGATAAAATAGAGAAACAAAGAAACAAAGAAAATTAGAAAAGAGATGAGAATGAGAGAGAAATACATTAAAAATAACGAACAAGAAAAGAGTAAAATACAGAGTGAAAGTGAGAGAAAAAGAGACAGAAAGAAAACAGAAAGAGAAAAATAAAAAGACCAAGAGAGAAACAAACAGAAAAGGAAAGAGAGACAAAGAAAAACAGAAAAAGAGAGAGAACGAAAAAAAGAAACACAGAGTGAATGAGAGAGAGAGAAAAATGAACAAGGAAAGAGTAAAATACAGAGTCAAAGTTAGAGAAAGAGAGAGAAAGAGTGAAAGAAAGAAAAAAGAACAAGAACAGAAAGAGAAAAATAAAAATCCAAGAGAGAATGAAACAGAAAAACAAAACAAGAGAGAAAAAGAGTGACAAAAAAACAAAGAAAAAGAATGAGAGAGAAATACATAAAAAAACGAATAAGGAAGAGAGTAAAATACAGAGCCAGAGAAAGAGAGAACGACAGAGAAAAATAAAAATACCAAGAGGATGGAACTGAAAAAGAGACAAAAAAAAACAAAGAGAATCAGAAAAATAAAGAGAAAAGAGCAGGAGAAAGAAAGAAAAAAAGAGACAGATAGACAGAATGTTCGAGAAATACATAAACAAACAAACAAGGAAAGAATAAAATACAGAGACTAGAGAGAAAGAGACAAAGAACAAGAACACACAAAAAAAATAAAAAGACCAGGAGAAACAAACAGAAAAAGAAAGAGAGACAAAGAAACAAAGAAAATTTGCAAAAGAGAAAGAAAAGAGAAAAAGGAAGAACGACAGAGAGAGAGAAATACATTAAAAAACAAACAAAGAAAGAGTAAAATACAGAGACAGTGAGAAATAGAGAAAAATCAAAAGAAAGGAAGAAAAAGAGAAGACGAGAGAGAAAGAAACAAAATCATAGAGGAATTGAGACTGGTTCAGTACGAGCTCTATCTCATATGAGAGAGAGAGAAAGAATTTATAATGGTTTAGAATGTTGAGATTGAAAGAAAGAAGGAATGAGTGAAGAAACAAAGATAGAAAGAGTAAATGAGAAGGAAAAAAGAGAGAGAATGGACAAGATTTAGAAAATTTTGTTGAATACCTTCTACGATATATCCATGGAGTTCAGATTGAAGAAGAGCATGAATAGCTCATAATATAAGTCTCCCAAGACTTGACAGCATCGTCTCTTCCACAACTAATTGACCAACTAACCAACTCCCTTTACATCTTGATAAGTCTGTAATTAAACCCTCTTTTACAGCCTATATAATCATATTTGACCTTTATTTTATTTGGATTTTACACTAATTTATATATTAATTGTGCAGTTTGGTATAAAGAGGCTGCAAGTGAATTTTAGGTACATTTTGAGCCCAAATTGATGGAAGATTAGAGTTTCGCAGCAGTCAGCACACCCAGACTCATTCAATAAGCATGGGAGTGCTTCGAGCCCATGCACGGTTGTGCTTAAAGCCTTGCGAGGTCGTGCTCATTTGCGGGAAGCCCATTTATGAAGAGTTTGTAAAGTTTTCAAATCCTATAAAAAGGAAGATCTCATGCATCGTAAAGAGACCGGTTTTGACATCTTGACTTTTGCTTTGGGATACATCTCTCATCTCGTCTCTCTTGCACAGGATCCTTGGCACATGCTTGGAAAGACTTGGAGCTTCAAGCGATCGTACTTGAAGACCGAAAACACATCTCATACTCTAATTTACTATTTTTTTTTATTATGGCTTTGTTTATGATTGTTTTAATTCTTTTCTTTAACATGAGTAACTAAGTCCATAACTAGGGCTATGAGAACTATTGTTCATAAATTTATGGAATTTTGATGTTTGAATCTAAATTTGATTTCCGTTTCGTGATTATATTTTATCCTATTGCAATTCTCTTTTAATCCTAATTAATTATATCGTAGGCGACCGTATCTCGGTTAATTAATAGATCTATAAAATAAAACGAAACAAAGGATTAGGTGGACCAAACCAATCTTTCTCTTCTAATCGTTATTAAATTAAAAAGTTCGTAAGTTTTTAAAAGCTTTCTTAAATTAATGTCTTGCATGACCATTAGAATGTTGATTTAGAGAAAAAAAATATTAATATTGTATGACCATTAGGTATTAATAATATTCGTATGAATGATTGGTAATCACAAAAAAATTGAATTTAGAGTTAAATAAAAAAATAACATAAAAGATTGAATGAGAAAACTCATATGCCCTCGGTTCCTCTCCGATAAGTTTAACCAAAGTGTACAGTGTATTCCTTACTTTTAGTTTTATAATTAATTTTATAAATTCTTGTTTTTAATTAATCTTGTATCTTTGAAGCTTAAACAATTAAATTAGAAAATTCTTAGTAATTGAAAATCAATCTTTGTGGGACGATATTTCGGAAACTTAATTTAAGAACCCCTTATTATTTCTCGATGGGTACACTTGCCCTTCAAACACATCCTTGGCTCTATTTAATACACATCCACCCATATTTGATGCTTCAAAACCCAACCATACTGGTTTCCAAAAATCCCATATTTGATGGCTTTATAACAAAATGTAAATAAATACACAGTCTATACAATATATAAGGATCAACTGCTCAGAATATAAATCACTGCCTCTGCCTATTAGGATATGTTGGGGAGTTAAGGTTTAGAGGAAAAGGGGGTAAGGCAAATATTTTGATTTTAAATTAAATTATAGGTTAAAAAAGTAAATAAAAGAATGATATCATTTTATTTTTTTAATTTTAAAAAATCATAAAGTTAGAGAATATTCATTAGAAATGAAAAACTTGTCACCCCCTCCCACCCCTTTCAAAACTAAACTCCCAGACATAACCTTAATTTCTATTATAACCTTTAGAATATATAATGAGAAAGTAGTGCATCTTAGAAAAATACACTGGTGTTTCCCAAGAAAGCCTAACAGAATGTCCAACAAATAGACAACAATATGGTGTGTAATTTAGGAACAAATTTTTCTCAGAAACTGCACCAATGCATATTCAATATTCTATAACTCTCTGATTTCTTAATGTATAGGAAGAAAACAATAATCTATGAGATTTCAGTATTTTGTCATTAGAAAAATATATTAGTATGCATATTTAAGCTTTAACATATAAGACGATAAAAAAAAGGTTCTGAATGGATACTGGTTCATAATGCAAAGATTAAAAGAAAGGAAGGAAAGACAGAAAAAAACAAAGTGAGAGTGGAAGGGAAACAGAAAACAAAGAAGAGAACCACAGAGAAAAAGAGAGAGAAAGAAATAAATAGAGAAAAAGGTGAAATGAAGTACAGAAGAAAGAGAAAGAAAGAAGGAACAATGAGAAGAAAAAAGATAGAAAAAAAAAGAAAGAGAGAAAGAAAGAAATAAAGTAAGACAAAGAGAGAGGAACATGAAAATAAAGACAGAAAGAGAGGAAAACAGAAAGAAAGAAACATGGAGAGAAAAAAAATAAAGGGACAGAGAGAAAGAATAAGAGAGAGTGAAAAGCAAGGAAAAAAGAAAAGAGAGGAGAGAAACAGAGAAAGAAGAGACAGAAAGAATGAGAGTGAAAAAGAAGAAAAGAAGGAGAGACAAAGAAAGTGATAGAGAAACCAAAAAAAACTGGAGAGAAACAGAGAAAGGAGTGGAAGACCAAAAGAGAGAAAGAAACAGTGAATGAGGCAAAATGCAACACAGGAAGAAAGAGAGAGCAAGAGAGACAGAAAGCATGAAACAAAATCAAAAAGAGGGGGAGGAAAGAAAGAAAAAGAGACAGACAGACAGAAAGGGTATTTTATTAAATATCTTAATTTCTATCATAACCATTAGAATATATAACAAGAAAGTGATGCAACTTAGAACAATACAATCAAAGTATTCACCAAGAATGCAAAACAGAATGTTCAATAATAAGACAACATAAACAACTGAAATCTGACCTCTGAAGCTGATTGATAAAACTCTCTAATTTCCTAATGCATAGGAAGAAAATAATAATTTTTATAGATTAAAATAATCCGTTTCATTGGAAAATCATATTAGTATGCCTATTTTAGTTTTAACATATAAGATGATTAAAACAAAAAATAGATATTACTTCCAAAAATAGATAATAAAAGGAAAAAAGAAACAAAGATAAACAAAGAAAGGATAAGAGGGACATAGAGAGTGAGAAAGTGAAAGAAACAATTAAAAGAAATAGAGAGAGAAACAGAGAAAGAAAGAAAAAAACAGAGAAAGAGAAATATAAGAAGACAAAAAGAGAGAAAAATATAAAGAAATAAAGAAAGAGGAAGAACTTGAGAAGGAAGGAAGAAAGAAAGATACAAACAGCGAAGAAAGCTAAGAGAGAGTGTGTGAGAATACGAGAGAACAAAAGAAAGAAAGAGTGAAAGCAAGGGCATAGTTGTTAATCTCGGACAGCAATGTGTGGCAGACGACCCTCAAAACACTATAGCGGAAAAGCGCATAGCCGGATACCACTATTTTAAAGTTTTTTATATGGATATAAAATATATACATATGCAGATAATTATGTATATAATGCTAAAAAATATGCATAAATAGCATATGAATAATTATCAACAAAAGACATAAAGAGAAGAAAGAAAGTGGATTTTCCGGGAGAACATAATAGAGGCAGGACTGTAGAATCATAGAATAGAAAGAAGAAACGAAGTGGATTTTGCCTAAGATGTTATCCAAGATGAGTGACTCTACTGGATTGAAGATTGTTGCAAAGCAGATGAGAGGAGAGCACATCAAGCAGAGAAGGGGAAAAGAAAAAAAGTGCGGTTTTGTCATGTGTCTCCATTTGCAAAGCAGATCAGAAATAGAGATGAGAGCAAGGTAGTTAAAATCGGGATTTTACTTTAAATCGTAAAGGAGAGTGAAAATCGTAAATCATAAAATCGTAAATTGAATCGTAAGATTTTATAAAATTCATATATATGATATAAATTCATATTATTCATATAAAATATCATAAATTAAGGGGAAAAAACTTCAAATCAGTAAAAGTACTTAAACAACGTAGCACTCACAAATCATAATTTATTCCATAAAAATGTAATGCATTTACATGAATAAAAAATAGACCAGAACAAAAAAAATGCAAGAACAACAACAATAGATTTAGTTGCAGACTAGATTGCACGCACTAGGAGGACTGTTGAATGTTGGCAACAATGTTAGGGTTCAAAGCTGCTAGAGGCAAATTAGACTCCATAAAAAGGAGATCTATGAAAGAGACGTACGATAGGGTTTTGCGAGAAATTTTCAAAATCGAAGTGAAATCGTAAAATCTCACAATTTGAGGGATTTTATGATTCAAATCGGGATTTTATAAGGATTTTACTCAATTAGGATTTTATCCACGATTTAAATCGGTGAGACTTCCAAAATCGTAAAATCGTAAGATTTTAAGATTCAAATCGGGATTTTAACTACCTTGGATGAGAGAAAGGGGTGACAAAGAGAGAAAGGAAGAAGATAAATGTAAGGACAGTGAGGTTAGGTCTGAAAATTGAGAAGACTATTTTACCCTTAAAACAACCTAAAGATTGTGTCATCATAAGGGAAAAATCAGCTTATTTCTAAAAGATTAAAAGTTTTTTTACCTTAAAAACTCTAAAATTTCTTTGTTTTGAGGATAGAAAAGGAAAGTTGGTATCTTTCCCTATGGTGACGCTATTGCACCGCCAAAGGGCCACGAATACAGCCACTATGGTTGCAATGGCTGGGACAGCAAAAACGCTATACGAATACACCTCTCACCTATCGTGTGCTATTGACAACTATGAGCAAGAGAGAGAGAAAGGGAGACAGAATGAGAAAATGAAAGAGAAAGAGTGAAACAAAGGAAAAAAGAGAGAGAGAGAATAAGAAACAGAAAAAGAGAGGGAGAAAGAAGACACAGAGAGAGAGATTGGTCTCTTCCAAAACTAATTGACCAACTAAACAACTCACTATACATGCCCTTTAATATAGATTGTACCTGTATAAGGAATGAAAATCTGAGAGCATCTACTTGAGAGGCTTCATACCCTGTAATGTTCCAAAAAGTAGATTCCCAGTTACAGTTTGTTAGACAAAATAAATATAGAACTTTCTCATGAAGCTGAGAACAGAATATATCATACTATATAAAAAGGAAAGCATAACAGATGGACTCTTATCTAATTCGAATGTAGTTTAATGACTAGCATTATAGAATCAGCCAATAAGGAAGCATACATGACAGAAGAGTCTTTTTTTTTCCTTTCAGATACTAAACAAAAGGCCTTGCATTTGGAAATGCAAGAATATCATTTCCAAGCATTCCGTAGGTACAAGGTTCCAAAATGAAATAACAAGAATATTTAAAATATGAAAGTTATAATCTTCATTAAAAGTTGAGACATCACAATAGCAAATAGAAACACTAATCAGTAGCAACAATGGTTGAAAACAGCTATTCCTTCTGGCTCTACTTATCACATATTCACCCATATTTTGATGCTTAAAGAGCAACCATACTCATCTTCAAAAATCCCTAAAACAAACAGTTTCTATCTCAATGTTGAATAAGTCTCTATCATGCCAAAGATAAGATTTTCAATAAATTTAAAAGGTAGGATTTCAGATAAATTGCAACTATCAAAACCAGTATTTTAGCATGGTAGTCAAAATTGTGATTTAGGACATAAGATCTGATAAGGGGCCAAATATGGCAAATATTATAAGGAAGGGTGATGGGCCTGTATCTGGTGAAGGGGCAGTTTTACAAAAGCCCAATATGTGGAGAGTCTATACTAGGAGACAGAAAATGGGGCCAAGGAATAATGACTAGTACGCTAGAGGGGAGGTGACGTGGAAGGAACCCAAGAAATATGGGAATTCTAGTATATGGGGAGAGAAGGGAGTGAGAGTGAGGTAGGCAAGAATATGGTGGGTTTTGTTAAAGAAAGTTTACTCGCTGGAGGAGTCAATTACCAACTCTAGAAAATCTACCTTAGCATTGTGGAGCTTGAGCTCTTTTACTCAATTTTACTGCATAATCTGATTAATAACACAGTATATATAATTTGTTTTTATCATTGGTCCGACTTGCCGGATCTCGAGTGAGGAGCTAGCTATGTGTTTCAGTCCATGCCCCAAAAATGTCAGATTGCATGGAAGCGTTGGAGGAGAGATTGATGGGGCTGGAGAGTTCTGAGACGGACTCATTGATTGAGTATAGGATGACAGCGAAGAAGGTGGAATTACCTGTTTGATGGCATTGATCCAGTAGGATGGCTCACCCGAGCAGAGACATATTTTGAAATACAAGGATCAACGGAGGACGTGAAAGTACGATTAGCCAAGTTAAATATTGAAGGAGCCACCATTCACTGGTTCAATCTTCTTCAAGAGTCGGTGGATAGATTGACGCGGGATAAATTAAAAAGGGAGCTAATTGGACGTTATGGAGGTCGCTGGTGTGATAATCCATTTGAAGAATTGAAAGATTTATCTCAGACTGGGAATGTTGAAGATTACTTGCTGGAATTCGAATTCATATCCTCACAGGTTCCGAGGTTACTGGAGGAGCAATATTTGGGGTATTTTATGGGAGGATTGCGACCGGAGATTCGACGACGACTTCAAACCTTTAACCTAGGGAATCATTTACAAGCTATGTCTTTAGCTAGGGACGTGGAGGCAAGTTGTATGGGGATGAGCTATTGTGAGGAGGAGGGTCACGCTAGTGGAAAGGTAGAGAACTGGGCCTGGGTCAGATTGACTGAAATGGATCAAGACTGGGTCAGAATTCATACGCGAGCAAGACGGGTGTTGGGCCTGGCCCAATTTCGAGAAACCAGCCCAGGGCGCATTCCATAAAATTGTGCGATCAAGGGCAAGTTGATTCTAGACCCATTTTTTCAAAAAACCCAATTGAACCTGTTTGACCCACCCATTTTATTTTGACCCAACTTATACTACCCAAGTGTTTAGGGTTTTTCCAGATACTTCTCTTCAATCTCACCTCTCTACAACTTGCGACAAAGTTTCTCCTCATTGTTGGCACTTTGTGAGTTTGTTCTCTACCCTTTTCTCCTTCACATCTCCTCTTTCTTCATCATTCTTGGACGCGACCATGACTTGGGGGGTTATTGAATGGTAGGTTGGTTCAGTGTGGTTTCCTCTACCTCTATTTCAATATTTCTAATCTATTTCAAGATCAAAATGTCTGCAAGTGAGAAATAGAAAGTAGGAGTGGTTCCAAGTCCGATTATTGGTAATACTTATACTAGCTCATTGGTGCAGTTCTGATTGGATCTGTGAGAAAATGTGCTCCTGGAAACAGGAGGGGTGTGCTGTAGCAGCATGGAATATCAATGGATGGAGACGCATGAAAAATACAATGTAAATATTGTCAAAAAATAATAAGCGGTGGGATTTATGAGTTTGAAACATTATTTGGCTAGAACACAAAAAGATGTAGGTGTTTGCATTTCGGTTAGTGGTGAAGTAAAGAAAGAAACGTGGCTAGTTGGGTCCTCGTTACAGGACAAATTAATCAAGAAATCAAACAGCAATCTCAAAGAACTTCTTGTAGAAGGTGATGATGGTGATTATGGTGAAAAAAGAAAAGGGATTGATGCTAAGGGTAGTGAAAAGATTTTTAAGAAGAAAGGAGTAAGTAATCAAACCACTTTCAATAACATATTTAAAAAGAATTTAAGGAAACATGTCAAGATATTGCTTCTATTTTCTACAACAATGCCATATCATTCAATGTGGTAAGAAGTGAAGAATTTCATAAGATAATTGGAATTTGTTGCAAAATATGGTGTTAAATTAAGGTCACCTTCCTATCATGAAATCAAAGTTAAGTATTTGAAGCATCATGTGAATTTGACCACGCAAGCTAGTGAAGCACATAGATAAGACAATAATAACAAATGGCTGGACCGACAAAAAGAGAACTGTATTGATTTTTTTAATGAACAGCCCTATTGGTACAAGTTTTTTTTACTTCAATTGATGCATCTCATATATCTAAAACAACTAACAAGTTGTTTAAGATGATAGGTGACATTGTAAAGGAGGTTGATAAAGATAATGTGGTTGAAATTGTGACAGACAATGCAGCAAATTACAAGGCTGCGAGTGAATTGTCGATGGAGAAAAGGAAGAAAGTGTATTGAATACCATGTGCTGCTCACTACATAGATTTGATATTGGAGGATTTAGAGAAGAAGTTACTCACTCATCAAGAACAATCATAAAGGGGGACAAATTACTACTTACATTTACTCACTGTTCTTTCATTATCTACCTTACTTTATCTATCTCTATCTAATGCTCTCTCTATCTTTCTTTCTCTTTTACTCTCTTATTCTCTCTCCCTCTTTCTTTCGTTAAATCAAAGATTATTAGTTCTTCCTATACTTTAGAAAATCAAAGAATTATTAAATATGGATTGTTGCTTTCGTTGGAAAGAATTTGCTTATATGATACATATTATATTTTAGTTTTTTATATTGCTATCTACTAATTAAACATTCTGTTTCATTATTAGTGAACACGCTAGGTGTACTATTTTAAGTTGTACCACTTTCTTATTATATATTTTAAAGGATATTATAGAACAGAATATTAAATAAAAATTTTATTTTTTACTTTCATTATCTTTATATCTTCCTCCAGTTCTCTTTTTTTTTTTTGTCTCTTCGTCTTTCCCTTTTGGTCTCTTCCTCTTTTTGTTTTTTTGTTTCTTTTATATCTTCTTTACTTCTTTCACTCCTTGTTTCTTTGTTTCATTCTTTTTTTTTCTCTTACTCTCTCTTTCGTTCATTCTTTCTATGTCTCTCTTTGTTTCTTTCTTCTTTCCTTTGTTTATATTTTTGTAATCTACATTTGGAACCAGTATTTGTTTATGGTCTTGTTTAAATAATCATATATATTAAAACTTAAATAAGCATATCGCTTCGCTTTTGTAATGACATAAAATATTTAAATCTCCAAAATTATTATTTTCTTTCTATATAATAGGAAATCTTAGAGCTATTCAAATCTGTTCGACATTTTTAGAAAATAATTTAGGTGCTTGTTTTAAGTTGCACCACTTTCCTATTGTATATTCTAAAAGTAATGATAAAAAGCAAGAATATTAAATAAAATTTCATTTCTTTCAATCTCTTTTTCTGTCTTTTTTTTTGCTCTTTCTCCCTTCCTCTTTCACTCATTATTCTCTCTAATTTTCCTTCTTTCTATCATAACATTTAAATTGAATAAGAAAAAAGGGGTGCAACTTAAAATAGCACACCAAGAGTGTTCACTAAGAACACCAAACAGAATGTTCAACAATAAGACAACATAAAGGAATGATATGCAAATTTAAATAGCTCTCTAATTTTTAATAGATAGAAAGAAAATAATAATCTTTGATATTTAAATATTTCATTTCATTACAAAAGAAAATTAGTATGCTTATTTTAGTTTTAACATATATGATGATCAAAACAAGGCCATGAATAGATATTGATTCTAAATGTAGATAATAAAGAAAGGAAGGTGAGAAGAATGAAACAAAGAGACAGAGAAAGAACAAGCACGAGAGAGAGAATGAGAAGGGGAAAAAAAAGAGTTAAACAAACAAACTCGGAGTAAAAGAACAAAGTAAAAAAAAGAGAGAGAGAGAGAAAGAAATAGAAAAACAAAGGAAAAAAGAAACTATGAGGAAATTTTATTAAATATCAATAGCTTCTATCATATCATTTGGAATATATAACAAGAAAATGGTGCAACTTTAAACAGCACACTAGAGTGTTCACCAACAATGCAAAGTGATTCAATCAGTAGACAACAATATAAAGAATTATAAACAAATTCTTTCCACCAACAACAATCTATATTCAATAACTCTCTCTTTTCAGTTTTTAGGAAGCAATAATAATCTTTGATAGAATGAGAGAGAATAAGAAAAAGAAAAGAGTAAAAGAAAGATAGAAGAGCATAAGAAAGAGACATTGAGAGAGTAAGAAAGTAAGAAAGACAATGAAAGAAACAGTGAAAGATAGAAAGTGAGAGAGAATGAGAAAGTGTGAGAGAAAGAAAGAAAGGCAGAATATTATTGAATATTCTTCTCCTGCTCTAGATCAATGGTGCCCAAAATGAAAAAGAGCACAAATGGCTTTAATAGACACCCAATAACACTAGAATCAACAAACAACGTAGAATTAAGAATTGCAAATGTGAATAAAATGATGGGTGCTATATTTAGTGAATATGCAAAGAAAGGAAACTCAGAGAAGGGAGAATTCTCCTCTGCCAAGAGCTAGGCTCCTACACAAAAGCAATAACCGTAAATCATAACAAATATCCCCTCCCATAAATCACTGAATCTATATATCACTGAATCTTCTCTCTCCCTTAACCGCAAGCCTCGTCAGCATTTTTCTTCTTCCGACGTTCATACACAATCCACTGTTTTGGGCCTCCTTTTCCTTCATGGGCCAGTGGTTCTATTGACCCATGGTGAACTTGGGCCTTATCAGGCTTACAATACAATCTCCAAAAATTTGAGAGCACGATCTCTTCCAAACCAATTGACCAACTAACTCCCTGTACAGCCCTGCCTCTACCTATATGTAGCAACCTAACCAATTAACTAATTGTAACAGTTTTACTTACAAATTCTGCTCTCAAATAGCAAGTCCTAATTAACAGCTAACAGGGGCTTGCCCACTTGACCCTTCTTTTTCCCAATGTAAACTTTCCTAAGTGGGGTTGGGTGCTAAGACCTAAGAGTCTTATTTGAAATTCATTTCAATTTATGTCATTAATAATTTAACAGATGTGAAGTGGTGAAATAAACTAATGCTATTGTTCCACAGAATCCATTAGAAGGCATACCTTTGATGCACGCAGATCATTTACTTCCATTCTAAGTGAATCATCAGACAGGATTAACCGAGACAGTGCCCCAGTAGATAACCTGCAATATAATTAACAATTATTAATTTGTGCCATATGATATAACCTGATAAAGATCTAGTGATACAACCTTTTAAGCTATTAATACCGTATTGTTCTTTAAATTATTAATTCAATCTAAGTTGTAACCTACATATAGTCATTTGTGCTTCTTCATTTTCCCTTTTACCATGCTTAGAAATTACTTGCCAATGGCCAATCATTACATTATTGGTGGACAACATGAATAATAACAGCAAGATAGGAAAGAAACGGCTTTGATATACACTTCACAAGATTTCTCAACCAAAACAATAATCAAACTGTTTGAATATATTGAAAACTGAGCCAGTAATTAAAATAACCATCTATGTACTTAAAAGAACATCACATTGTCTAGCATAAGGGGGCGATTGTTTCATGTTAAAATGAGAAGAGTGAAGTTACCATGTATTTTCATTATCCACGTACATAGAAATAATCAAATATTATCAATTTTTTGGGCATGCATTCATTAACAAGTAAAAACAATTATTCATGTAAGATGCAGTTCAAAGATATTATTTCACCCATGCATGACCCTCTAAAAAAAATTACTAATCTTGAATATAATGATCATGGTAACTAATGAGGCTTCACATGCTCAATAACACCCAAAAACTAAAAATCATACTTAAGGAATATATCAAATACCCAAGATATTTTGCAGCTTCCGAAATGGAACCCTCAACTGCAAAAATGAGATCCAAAAGAGCTTGCATTCCCTGTTAGAAGGACCATAAGTATATCTAGTTAAGTTGCAATTAGGTTTGAATCCACAGTAGGGTGATTATTATGAATGGATAAACAGGAAAGAAATGAAAAGGAAGGGACAAAGAGACCAATGCAAATTTTGGGTTATTAGGTCCAATTTGTGGACCACAATCCGACCCTCTAATGGATGATTTGGGAGGAAGTATCTGAAGAAGCTCTCGGGGCGGCAAATAAGCATCACGATCCACTGTTTTCCTGACTAGCTCAAGAAAATAGCATGATATCTATTAGCAAAAACATTGCTTAATAATATAAGTAAAATGACTATTTATTTAAGTGTAAAGTATATCATGAACATGCATGCGGGAAAAACCCATTCCTCCCTAAATCAACATCCAGTTCAAATGGTTCAACCATTTTCCAAGAGTGAATTGCAATGTGGCAATAGAAACAAAGAATGAATCAATCAAAATGGTGAAGAATCAAACACCTTTTAGGGCTATAAGAGAGCGAAGGCGGTTCAATGCAGAAGCGCGGTTCTTATGTTGGGAACGTTCCTCGGAAGCCTAAGCAACAACAAAACCCCACGATGAGAAATCAACAAAGTTAGATTTTTTAGGAGAGAAAAGAGCAAAACCTGAGCAATGATCCCAGTGGGTAGGTGTTTGAGGCGCACTGCGGACTCACGCTTGTTACGGTGTTGACCACCTGGTCCTGAACTCTTGAACGTGTCCATCTCGCACTGTCGCATGAGTTCCTCATCGTTTAGATCAAGGTACCCTTTTGATGAACCATCAATGGCAGTGTTGAACTTGTAGCAACATAGGTGGGTGTGGATGTGTGTGTTGTTACTTGATTTTGTCGTTGAAGGAAGTGAGTTTGGACGGTGAAAATGGTGTGAAATGTTGACTCTGAGAGTGAGAAAGAGAGTTGGTTTCAAGAGGGTTTTGAGTGCCATTGACTCTCTTAGGTAGCACCACTTCTTCAAGCTTGAAATGAATGAGCAAGTACTATGTTCTTGTTACTTCCAGGGATGATAAAAAGAAGGATGTGTTCTGATGTGTTTCAATCATGATTCACCCGTGTTGTTTTGGGTTGGTTTTGATTTTTAAAAAAATGGCTTTTAAAAGAATTGAGGTTCAAAAATTTGATTTGCATTTGAGAAAGATGTTTTAAAAGTAATTTGAGTAGAGAATATTGTGTTTATAATTTAAAATATCACTTAAAGAATGTTGTTTTTTATTTTTATGTTTGTAGTTTTTTTAATGTAAATAGTTTATTTTTTGAGACACTTTATAATAAAAAAATTATGGTTGAAAAACCCGAAATATATATTTTCGAATTATATACGGAGAATAAATACTTATTAATAGAATTTTGAGTTAAAAATTTAAAAAATAAAACAAATACGGACTGATTAGCACTCATTTAAATTACTCGCTTACTTTTATAAAACCATTTTATAAAGTAATTTTGAAATTTTATTTCAATAACTTTAGAAGTGTTGGATATTTTTAAAAAGATATTTTAAACACCATTTTTAAAAAATAGTTTTGAGTAAAACCTCATCTTTAATTTTCCCTTCTTAAAACTTTAGCTTTCATTAGTGATTTTGTCACCGTGTCTTTGATTTTCAGTTTGCTGGTTGTCGTTGAAGAGCATGATACAAAAAAAATTATGAAAATTATTTTTAAGTTTCAGAATGTTGACAAAGAATAAATATATTTTCTTAGAGAAAAAAGATTTTAAAAAAGCACAAATAAGGATTAGTTACTCTAGCTTTCTTGCTTTAAAAACTAAAACATAGCACTTACTTTGCAATCAATTATCACAAATTATATTTTCTAAAGAACTTTTTAAATTTTTAAAACACAAATTATATATATATATATATATATATATATATTCTAGAAGAGTAAACAAACTCAAGGCTCCTATGTGATGTGATGATTTTTAGTTGTAAATTTGAAAAATTCATAAATCAGGTGACATAGCAGAAATCGGGTGGCATATATATAAATGAGTCATATAGGCAGAATCTACACATAGCAAAGCAGATGGATACCCAATTAGTAGCAGAAGAGTGAAATAAGTCGGGATAGGATTCAACCTTCAACACAGAACTTGGCCGACACAATAGATGAAGTCATTGAATAGGTGAGTCAAAGGTCCTTTAGAGGAGTAAGGTTAGTACTTAGTAGCTATATTTCAAAGTACAAGAATTTCTTTCAATCAACACAATCCTACTAGGAACAAAGAAGTATGGTTGGTAAAACAAATAAGAAATGTACAGTCACAATTTTTTTTGACTTAATTGTACACCAAAAAAATTATTAGTTGACTTAAAATTAGTTTCAACCACTTATATTATGTCATGCATATTAATTTTATAATTTATTAAAAAAATTAATGTGTCACAAACGTACCACTAAAAAATTAATTGTTATACATCAATCAAAAAGAAAGAAGACTCAGATCATTCATCAATGCTGAAGAAAGAAGTCCCCGCTTCATCAAATGATAATAAGATCATGCCTATTACACCAATACAGACCAGTAAGTTTGTGAGACGAGAGTAACTATAAGAAGAATCAAGTTGAACCTTGAAAGATCTTCAGCCACCAAAACACGAACAGTAAGGAACATGCACAAATACTCTTCTCGCTGGACCTGTTACCTATGCGGTGCTACAGTAGTAGTGACTGAGGAGGATTACTACTTCCCAAGGATGGTTGATGTATCGTATGAAGGTAGAGAGTAGTTATTGATCTCCTTATCAGGGAAGGGGCTTAAGTAGAGTGTAAAATCCCATTGTAGTTTTTTTTTATCCACATACAAAATAAATTTAATCCCATTTGTGTTACAATAAATTATCATTTGGTCTCATTTTTCAGTAGAAATCATTGTTTTATTTTAAAATTAGTAGTAGATTATTAAATTATAAGTTTAACGTTTGATATGCTCTAAATTAAGTAATAATATAATAGTTTATTTGCTCAACTGAAACAAAAGAAATAAGGTAAAAGGTAAAGAAGATGATAGACTTACATAAATCAGACTATAGGTGTTTTTTCAAATTACTCTACGAGTACATGCACTTTACAGATATCAAATCCTCACAGGATGGCCCCAAGGAGCCGGAGGAAACAGTAAAACTTTTAAAACCTAAACAAATTTTTGCGAACTTTTGGTACCAAACGACAAGTCAATGAAATTCTATTTGATATTCTTGATATATTCCTATACTCTTCCTTGCCCATTGTTTCCACTGCATCCTCTGAGCTAAAAAGGTATCTATCTGATTCCTTGTGTTTCAAAGCTTCAATTTCATTTACAGCCTGAAATGGACCCATTTTGGAGCATGAGAAATAATTAGACATGCAATGAATTATTTTAGGCATAGAATAACTTTAGTAATCTGTAGCCTTACCCCATCATAGCAATGTACTGCACAATCTTTTATACCATGCAAGTAATCTGTAATCATATAAAATTTTAATGAGACCAAAAGGGGTTGTTAAGTTTAATAGATTTACTCTATAGCCAAATACAAGAAATTATTATAGCAGTTGAGAGTAATAACCTGAGTACGCCTTATCCTTGAATATCAGTAGACTGCGAGGCATCAATAAAACAGAGAATGGGTGATGATCATCAAGCCATTTATCTTTCCCAATCTCAAAAGTTCCTCCCTCTGAATCTTTGTCTATATCATCTTGTGAATCCAATTTCAATCTGGCATGGGGAGTGAAGTCCATAACAACAGGAGATCCAAGTGAAAGAATAGCTACTACTGGAAAATAGGCAGGCCCATCCTGGTGTGGCTGTACAATAGAAAACTTCATTGAAATACTGCAACATACATGAAAATGCACTCTAGAGCTTGATCATGATTATCATCACATAAACATAAAAAATTAAGAGTCCATTTGTTTAAGATTTTCCTCACTTCATATGGGATGAGAAATAAAAGGAAGTGCAAATAAAAGGCCAGAAGCAGGGGTTGTGGTTCAGGACAAACCATTATGCCTTGGTTAGGTAGGTATTCATTAATGAGAACATGATTGATTGCTGATGGGAATAGCCCAGATTCTTCGTATATTTTTTGTGTGAGATTTGTCAACCATGGAGGCACTATAAAGAAAGAAGAGATATAATTGATATATTAGCAGCATATTGAAAAAAATCAATTAAAACAAAATAAAAATTACTACCAGGCAAGCAGACCAACGTTGTCCATTAATTTTGATACATTATTGTTATATAATCTCCTCTTTCCACAGTTAGGTTCATTTCAAAAACAATCAAGTACAGAATAATAACAATGTTTTAATCATCTTCAATTCATACTCAAAACAAAAGCCACAAAAATTTTGCCAACCAAAGGAGAAAAGCCACAGAAATAGACCTGACAATTATACAAAGATAACAACAATACAATCAATCCACCCACATACAGAACTAGATGATGAAACAGGCATCTAACAACTCAGAGTCTAGACAATTGCCAATAAATTAGCAAAACTCACAGGAACTACCCTAGCCCTACCATTTCAGGTGTGCATATTCTTATCATCTTTAGATGGTAAGTAAAAAGAGTAAAGCAATAGCAACAACATAATCATATTCATTTCAATCAAAAGATTGGCATAATATTAGTATATTACAGTTCTCCCAATTTGAAACTATCAAAATTCAGAGGGACAAGAATAGGTGAATAACAACTAAAGCATAGTGGTTTTCTACAAGCAGTAGAAAACATCATGTGCATTCATGCAGATGGCATATTTAGATTATAAAAGAAGTGAAGATTTCCTCACTTACAAGCTTGAGGTAGAAGGCCCTTCTCATGGACAACGCCACCTGCAGTCAACAATGACCAGAAAGACAAACTAACATCAATAAGAAAGAAATTTCCACCTTACTTTTGCTAAATCTCAATAATTTGATTGGTTGTATACTTGTATGAGGGGAAAACGAAAGAAACATTCTTGACATGAATTACTTAAGGATTGTGTTGAATGGATATAGATACTAGTTCTGGTATTGGTACATGTATGGGGGTACAAAAAAACTTCTAAAACTAAAAGTATGGGTATGGGAGGATACATCATATAGAATTATAAAAACATAAACAATACAACAACAACCAAGCCTTATCTCACTAGGTAAGGCGGCTACATGGATCACACAAATAAAAACATACTTTGTTGTTTATGTTTTTATCAAAATATAAATACAACTTTCATAATGTTATAATTCAAGTAAGCAAAAGCATTTAGAAAAGTCATAAGCTTTGGATGAATCAAAGTAGTAATTTGTTATACTAGTAACAAACCGAACAATTTAACAATAAAACTTGGTGTTATGCATGAACAGATCAGTACTTGGGCGATAAGTGAGTATTGAATATGTAACCGTATATACCCAATAAGTACTAGTGTCAAATACGTACCCGGTACAGGTACCAGAACTATTCAAGAGTACCCATTCATTATAAACAACAACCAAATGATCATAACAACAACCAAACTTTTTCCTACTAAGTGAGGTCAAGTACATAGATCACACAATGTTATAACGTTTTGTCATAAATCATGTCTACTCCCCCCAAAAAAGCAAAGAAGAACCTACTGGGAATTATGATAATAGAAGGCAAGTTTAGTTCCTTATTCCATTTGTTTGAACATGCTTCACTTCTCCGTCAACTCCAACTTTCTAAAATTTCGAGGATTCAATTGTTGTTGACATTCCAAAGAACAATTTGCCTACAAATCTTATATTCTACACACACAAAGGAAAAAACAGAAACAGAGAAAATGAAGTCAAATCATACCCCAATTCTGTAGCCTTCTATTCTTCAACAACTTCCACTTGGATGCAGGTGCTCCATAAATCTAATTAACAACAAGACAACTCTCTTTTTAAAAACAAAAGAAACATTCGATATAACAGTGAGAATAAGAATGAGTGTTACATTGTTGAGAAGAAAGGTTTGGTCACTGTCTGTGATGAAGTCAGGAACATAAAATAGAGTAGGCAAAGACCCAACTTTGTAATGAACTAACTTCTCTTTTTCTTCCATCACTCTGCGAAAGGTTTTCTTTTCAATGTCATCAAAATGGAAAAATAAGGAGAGAGATTTCATCACAGCGTGTTTAGCAATTAAAATGCTACATATTTATATAGAAGGGAATATCGGATTTTAATTAATGCGTGTTTGAGAGAGAAAGAGCGAGAACCTGTTGAGGGTGACGGAGGAGCGGTAGCGGTGGCGGTGGCAGTGGCGGAGTGAGACGACGACGGTAGTTTGGGGTTGCTGAAGTGAAAGGATGCCCAACTTAACACCAATATAAGCAAAACCCAAAACAAAATTAAACAATAAACAGTGTAGATCTTGGCAATTCGAAAGAAATTATGGTTGGGAAATGAAAATAGCTTATCACTTTGGTAACATTTTTTTAGCTTATTTTAATAAAAAATTTATAATCTATTAAAATAAATTATCTATTTTAATAAATTTTGTTAAATTTAAGACATTAATATTTTATTTTTAAAATTTATCAAAATAAATTATATATTTAAATGTATTTGTGTAAACTCACATGTTAAGGATGGGATAAATTAAGAAATATTAAAAGTAATCATTAATTAGTATTTTAGCTATGTTACTTAACCGTAAAAAAATGTAGCTATATTAGTTAAGAAATTTAAAACATAAATATTTAAAATTTTATTAATATTTATTATAATCTTAATATGTTATAACATAATTTTAATATAAACATTTTTTTTAACTAATACTCTTAAAATACAGATTAATCTTAAAACTTATAAACAATGTATATTTAGTATTATTTGTATTTTTTTTTTCAACTAATGTTATAAGCATATTTGTTATTATTTATTTTCTTTTATTTATTTAAGCTTATTGAAATATATTTTATAAAAAAAGCCATTGTTTAGTCATATTATATATTAGTCGTAATGTGTCCTTTTAAAAACACGACAAAATTTTAAATAAATTTGTTAATAATTTTATAGATTAAAAATTTAAAACAAATGAAAAGTTAACAAAAAACAACGTACAAGTACTATACTTAAAAAATTTCTATTTTTAAAAAAAATAAAATCATTTTATATATATATTGATATGAAACTTTTCAACTATAATTAAAATTTAGTATATTTTATAAACTATTTTAAATGTATTTATATTAATATTACATTATAAATCATGCTAATTGTACATTAACATCATTTTTAATAATAATTTTAAAAATTCTTTAAGTAATGTCTTAACTAGCTTTTGCCTTTATGATTGGAATCAGTATTTTTTTTTTCTGTAAATGCTAAATAGTCAATTAAAGTTTTTGTTTTTCCTTCGTTCATTAAAATCTTTTTCCTTCCTTCTTTTGAATAAAACAATGCATTAAATTAGTTATAAAGACACCTTCTTTGATGAGTTATATTATGATATATGAGAGTATTTTACTAAAATATATATTTTTTAATTATTTATAATTGTTTTAGTCATGTACATATTTAGTATTACTTATAGTCTAATTTGGATAAATTTATAAATAAATTCTAATAAAAAACCAGTATATAAATTTAATAATATTTGTTCATAAGTTAAAAATAACTTTTTTATTTTATTTTAAAGAAACTAAATGAAGGAAATTTAAAAAAAAACAGAAAACTATAAATTATTTATAATTTATAAAAAATTATATATTTATACTAAATTTTTTTACAATTGTTTTTTTAAAGTTTATGGCTGTGAAAAATGATAATATGAAAAATATTACAAAATTAAAATAAAAAATTAGTATTATATAACGTATAAGTGATACCCTTTGACGTACAGAGAATGTGCTCATTAAATGAGTGAGACATCTATGATTGAATTTAAAAAGTTCTACAAAATTTATTTAAAAACACTATAGTGGTTTGAAAGTTATTTCTAGTGGTAAATTAATTTTTTTGAACTATGTGATTTAACGTTATGTTAGTTTAAATATCATCATGAACATCAAAGTTAAGCTTTATTTTTAACATTATGTATTTAATTGAACTGTAAAAATGTTAGAATAACAATGTTTTTGAATAAACTTAAAAGGAATCTATTAACAATTGTAAATGAGAAGAAACAATTTTGTTAAAAATTAGAGGAATTTTAGCAATACAATTTTTAATCCACTCCCAAAATTTTATTAAAAAATATAAAAATACGAGAGTGGTCAATTTTAATAAATTTCACCCAATAATTAATAATATGCTTTAAAAGATTATAAATTATTATTTTTTATGCACATATTATGTGTGCATGAGGAAATATCTTTTACATATTATACAATTTTGTTCATATTTTTAAATAGTATGAATGCCAACATGGAATCGAAATAATTCCAAATAGATAAATTGTTTCATTTATACATTATTTATAAGTATTTTTTAAATATTTTTAAGTTAAAAAATGGCGGGATCAATATTAAAATTTAATTTATATTAAAATTTTCTATTTGATTTGTTTCTATTTTCAACATTTATTTTTTTTAATTTTATTTTAAATAATATAATATTTTAAATTTAAAATAAATGAAAGTGACTGAAATGACTATTAACGAATTGAAACAAAGTATTATCATAAATGACTTGAATTAAATAACGTAAGAAAACTAAAAAATTTAAAATTAAACGTGTAAACTCAATTATTACTTTTTAAAATTATTTTTGTTTAAAATATTATTTTTATATAATCATCCTAATAGTAAGAGCATTATACATAATATTTTTAAATTAAAATAGCAACAGACATATAAGTATCACAGGAAATAATTTAAAAAAAAAATTAGGTATGAAACTTTATTTGGGTTAATTCAAAATAATGCATCAATTTTAATTACAGTAAATTAATTTTCCACGCCTAAGTAAAAAACAACGGTTTTGCTTGAAAATGAAAACAACGGATGGAGAAATTTAAAAGATTTTAAAAGAAATATTTTACAGAGAAAAAGCGTAAAATAAATATTCTAAAATTTAAAATGCAGAAAAGATTTTAGTTTCCTTTCACACAAAAAAAAGGAATTAAATAAATTTCAATTTACATTATTTCTCTCAAATAATATAATAAAAATTATAATTATAATTAAATAACAGAAAAAGAACCCTATTGTGACGAGGTTCAGGTGTTTGAAGTTTGAAACTTGAGAAAGCATCGCTGGGAACCAAACCAACGAACGCACACGTCAGTTTTCTCGAGTTGGTTAATATATACACTTTCATACAACCCATTCCACTCTGTACGTTCACTCTCTCTTCTTCTCCGACACAATCCCAGGTTCTCTCTCTCTCTGTGGATTATGCTTATTCCCATTTTGCCCCTCTTTCCCTGTACTAGTTCTGCTTCTTGAATTCCCTTTTGGATTTTTGCTGATTCCATTCCAAACCCTCTTGTGATTTTCAAGTTTCTTCACTGTATCCACCACCATTCCCCCCAATCTTTCATGGGTTTCTCAAAATTGTACTTTTACTACCACACTCTCTCTTTCTTTCTCTCTCTCTGTGCGTGGCTACTTTTTTCTTTCTTTAATTTTAAGTTTATAATTCTGGTTCCTTCACTAATTTTCTTACACTGTGTTGTGTTTTGAGTCCCGGGAAAGTGAACTGGGAAATAGAAAGTTTGAATCTTGCATGAAACTTAAGTAGGCTCTTTTTTCTTTGTGGAATTTCTCTTGTTTGGGTGAAGGGAAAAGTAGAAAAGGAGAGAGCATTATGAATGTACGATTTCATGATAGTTTCTCTCATTTTAAAATTTCAGAACTTTGTTTCGTCTTTTATTTTCTTTGCCTTCCTAAGAGTAGGGCTTTAAAGGGAGATTTCATGTAACGTTTATTTTATTTTGTTTTATTTTTGTGGGAACAGTGGTGGTTATTGAAGCAAAATTGGCTTTATAAGAGTAGGACTTGTCAAATGTGGTACAATAATTTACAATGAAATAGTTGAAAGTTTTTATGTTGGGGAAGATTTTGAAGGGATTAGATATCAACAGATAGCAAGTTGGTTTTTTTATGTTTTAAAATTTTATTTGCATTGTTTTATTGAATCACCATTTTGGATTTAGTTGTTCTCTTCAATTCCTGACCTTGCTTGACAGTCTAAAAGGAACAAGTATTGAACCATCTCTCTGCTGCTCATCCTGTTTAATGTCTGTCATTGCACTAGTGTGTAAGAAAAATCAATTTGTACATATATCTGGTTCAGGATTAATGTTTTGATTTATCGATGTCAGAACAACCTAGGGATAAATTTTGCTGCCTTTAATTACTATACTCAAAGCTGACAAATTGTTCTTCATGTTGTAGGCAAAAAATATGCCTTTGAAGAAAGCGAGTAAGTTTTGTATGTGGATTTTGTGGTATTGATTTTCAATATCCAATTTATGGTTTGGGCTTCTATTGAGAAGCTGAGACACAATCTGATCACAAAGGAATACCCAGTACACTATCAGATTCCATGCCTGCCATGAAAAAGGTTGTTTGGTGTTGTAGTAGGACCTTTGACTAGTCCTTCTCTTCAGTTCTTTAAAAATGTAGCAATGTGATAATTGGGTTTTCTTTGGGAAGATTTATTTAAATTTTACCTCTCTCTTGGCAAAGTGCATAGAAGTTAGTTACTAGGATTTACTATTACTATACTTACACCCTTCAACCAAAGGATTTACTATTACTTGCCATATATACATATATATCTATCTATCAAGTCAACTATTCATAAAAGAGTATAACTTTTTCTTTTATTGCTTTTCTTTTGAATTTAAATTAGTAACCATTTTTTAAGTTTCTGAGCCTAGTTCTGTCTCTTCAAGAACTTGGTTTGGGATGTATTTTTTATTCTGTGATACACATGGGTAGTTTTTTATTATAATTTTTTTGAGATGCATCATTGTTCTCCTGTGTAAACTGTTCATAAATGTTATATAAAGTGGCTCCTACTTCATTTGATTTCATCTTGCTGTTTATATCTCTTAAGTTGGTCTTCTTCAGTTAAGATGGCCTTTTTAATTAGACAACGTTTTTCGGTTTAGTGGTTTTCCTTAACTATTTTACTCTCTCAAAAATATTTTATACTACTCTTTTGCTATCATGACCATGGTAATTTCAATGAGGCCTTAGTCAATGAAATTTTCTCTTTTCAAATTGCATTTTGGTTGTTGAACGTGTTCCTTTCTTTTTCTTTTTAACAGAATTCTGAGCAGACTCGTTTTGGATCTGTATTCAATAAGTTGGTGAAGGAGCTAGGAGAACCTGTTGACTTTGAACTTCCAGAATGGTTTAATAAATCAAAGCCAATGCAGTACACCTATATAAAACGCAGTATCCTTCATTAATGTTCAGAAATGTGCGCAATAACTGTAGATCTCTCATGTATTGTGGCATATCCTTTGGTTTATGAGTGTATTCATATATGTTGACCCAGCTAATATGCAATCTTCAGTTGTTTGTAATTTCCTCATTTCCTCTGAAGTGTTTGATCTTTTTATGCTTATTGTCTGTTAGTTGCCGTATAGTTTTAGATAATCTTCTTTTGTTTGTTCTTATATTATGAATTTAAGATATATATCTCACTAAGAAGGTCAAGAGACGGTTTGCTGATGATGGCATATTCTGTTCCTGCTCTTCTTCCTCTGAATCTACTGACGTATGTGGTAGAGATTGCCACTGTGGGTAAGTTTTCCATTTGTGTGTCCTTTATGGCAATTTCTTTGTGTTCATGTGTTCACTTCTAGTGTGTGCCCACTCCAACTTAAGTAATGTTCGTGAATCTACCTTAATGTCTTTTATTTATAAATTTTATTGGCAGTAACCAACCATCCAAATTCATCATTTATTCCAAATGTTTTTGGTGTCTGTTTGAGTGCTTGTGTTTCAATGGGCTATATAGTGGTTAATTAAGTTGGAACTTGGGATTACTTAAACATGCAAATTCTGATATTATTGCAAGGCCAGATAGAATTCATCATTACTGTTTGTCGCAGTTGGTATTGTTATTTATTCACATTTTATAAAGAACTTTAGATGAAGTTATTAAAAGAGACCTTTTGATTAACCAAATTTCTGAAAATTTAGTTTTTGACTGAGCTCAATGGCATCGTGTGATTTATGTAGCTGATCTCACCTAGGGAGTTAAGGCTTCGTTGTTGTTGTTGATTGACCTAAACCTTGAAATGAATTTTTTCCCAAGCTGAGCATGTCACAGAAAACATGACACATTCTTCAAATCCCTTAAACCAACTAAGAATGGTATAGTGTAATTTGATTGGTTTCATAAATTTAACAAAAAGTACCATGCAAACATGTTCCATTGCTGAAAGGACATTATTACCTTGAAGTATCATACCAGAGTGGTTAGCCCCAGTGAAGTGTGTTATGTTTAAATTGAAAATTATTATTTCTAGATTTTGCTGGTGCACCTAACATAGACCTCTTTATTAATTAAGACACATAATATCTGCTTGTTTATTATTTATAATATAATATTACATATGCAAGTATATGAACATAAATTTGCAATCATATTCATTCATTATGTTGACTGTCCCTATAGGATGCTTCTGTCTAGCTGTTCGTCAGGCTGTAAATGTGGGAGCTCCTGTCTTAACAAACCATTTCAAAATCGTCCTGTGAAGAAGATGAAATTGGTTAAGGTATAAACTTCTGGTTCAGGATTTTTTTTCTGGGGGGGTTTGTCATAATATAATTCTCTCAGTATTTTAGTTTATTATTTTCAGTATTTATTTATCCTCATAACACTATGAGGATTAAAATATATGAATATTTGTCATCAAAGAAGTTATTCCTGTATTTGCTGTTCATTCCAAAATCATGATCTGTTTTTAGAGGCATTTGAACCTTATTTATGTAATGTATGCTTGTGCACTGTATTAAGCTTGATAGTCTAGTTTGGCTACTCTACATGTGCTCCATTTAAATTTGTGTTCATATTGCAGTGTGTATCTTTACTTACAGGAAGTACCTGCCTTCTTTTTCTCCTGAATCAGTTCCTCAGTACTTATTCTATTCAATTTTGTAAAACAAACTAATAAAAACTTCATGGTCATAAAAGTAAATTTCAAATTTTAAAAATTGGTAATTATATCCATTTCTTAATCCAGTGTTGTCACTTCTCCCCATTATGTCCACCACTTCTTTATTATCCTAATGCCTTCACCTTATTTTTGTCCAAATAGATAGATGCGCTCTTATATTCTAGCTAGCTTATTTGAATTCATATAATCACTTTCATTTCTCTCATTATATCTACACTTGAAATACTGAACTTTAATATATTGCTTGTAGACTGAGAAATGTGGTTCTGGAATTGTGGCGGATGAAGATATCAAGCTTGGGGAATTTGTAATTGAATATGTTGGAGAGGGTGATAATCAATTGTTTTTCCTATCGACATTTATATAAGTTCTTTTTAATCCTTTTAAAACCTACTTATGACTGTTGACTCTTTCTATAGTCATTGATGACAAAACCTGTGAAGAAAGGCTTTGGAACATGAAACATCGTGGGGAAACAAACTTCTACTTATGTGAAATCAATCGAGATATGGTGATAGATGCAACATATAAGGGAAACAAATCAAGATATATCAATCATAGTTGCTGCCCCAATACTGAGATGCAGAAATGGTTGACTACTAGTTGTTTTATTCATATAATGTTGTAATAATATTTGGTATTTTATCCAAAATTATTTAAGAGAGTAGTTTGACGCTTCCTCTAACAAGTGGTTTTTCCTTTTTTTTCCCATCTTAAAGGATAATTGATGGTGAAACAAGAATTGGCATATTTGCAACTCGTGACATACAAAAGGGCGAGCATCTGACTTATGATTACCAGTATGAGCCCTTGCCTGTTTCTTTGGTTACACCCTTTCAAATGAACTATATTTTCTATACTTACATATATGCCTCGGGAAAGTTTTGGCGTCATTGGTCTCTACGGAATGATGTTGGTATGACTCCACAGCAATGACGGTGTATTCTAAGTTTCTAACTACATAGCAGGTTTGTTCAATTTGGTGCAGATCAAGATTGCCACTGTGGTGCTGTTGAGTGTAGGCGTAAGTTGGGTGTCCGGCCTACCAAGCCTAAAATGTCTTCTTCAGATGCTACATTAAAATTAGTTGCATATCAGGTGGATTCATTTTCTCTTAAATAGAAATTCTATAGATTCCAGAGTAGATACATGTCTCTATATTTTACTCTTGACTTATATATCAAAGTACTGAATTAAACTGTATTCAGCATCTCTGTTAGTTTGAAGCTTTGCTGTGAGCTAATAATGCTTTTGATTTGCTTAATAAATAAGTATACTTTGTCAAATTTTCATTAGACTTGTGATGAAGAAATACATTTACTTTGTATTTTCTATGATCATAGTTTTTTTGGTCATGATTTTTTTTGGATTATGGATGTGCCACTATATCTTCAAGTATGTGCTGAATGGTTTATTGAGCATAAAAAAGCCTTTTATATGCTCTAAAATATGTTTCCCTATTTAATGGCTGTAATTTGTAATTTTCTACAGCTTGTTCAAACTGTTTTAAGGTGTAAATTTAACAGTTTAGATGACTATTATATGCTGAATGGTTTATTGAGTGCATTAGGTGTCATATTCGATTATGGTGCTGTATTTGCAGTAAAAACAAACTTCCACCAAAGAAGAAACTCCAGTATTTTGTTAAAAATATGGGGTTGGGGTGGGAGGGGAGAGTTAACAGGAGCATAAAGTTAATATCCTTACAATAGAATAACCACACTTTCTTTGTGGTTGCTGTGTTTTAATCAGTGGTTATTTCAAGGGCATGTTGGAAAAATGATGATTAAACATCCATGGAATAATTGATTCTAATTGTTTGAAATGAATGAAAATATGCTTCACCTACCAAAAATATATTCTTTTACAGTCAAGCCTTGGAAAAATGGTATGGTTGCTACCTTGTAGGGACAAGATTGTGTACGCTGGCCCTTGCCAAATCCCCAGTGATGAGAGCATTCACTAGGCTGTTCTTCTAAATTCTTCTATTTTTTAGGTGAAAATCTAATGTGGAACATTTTGATACTAATTTTGCATTGATAAATAAATGATTATTTAATTTATGTTTCAATTAAACTTTTCTTTAAAGAAAATTTAATTTAATTCGTATACTACTGTAACTGTATTGTATATTTTCTAAAAAATTTGCATATGATAGATACTCATGCAACTTTGCTCAAATTACATATTGCATTAATATATATTAAAGACTTCCACTTTTTGTTTATAACTTTAGTTTATTTTATATTAATTAGGCCATTGGATACTGTCACTGTCTGATGCTTAGATACAATTTAAAACAAGGTACGAGGATATTAGGGAATAGATAAATGCTACAATGCCAAGGTTGACAGCTAGACGAGCCCCTTAAATGTAGTGATTAAATTGTTAGGACAAAGCTTGATTTCAACAATCTAGCCACTTCAATATCTGACAGGAGGAGCTTGGGATTTTAGGTTGTCAAGAAGCTCTAGTTGTTGTATCCAATGATTAAGGTTGTCATATTTTTACTCTAAATGTTTAATGGAATTCTCATACAAATTCTGAATGTCTTATTTACTTGTTGTGTTTAGTAATTACCTTCCTTTATTATCATTTGCATCAGTTTTTTCTCTTTTTCAATTCTGCCTGTTTGATTGCTGGAATGATTCCCTTTGAGAATGGGATAGGAATAGAGTAATCATCCGCTAGTCATGTTTTGTATGGCTTAGAAGTGAATGATATTTTGATGCTTATCTTACGTTTGGTATGCCTAATTGAGCGACTAATGGATTGGGAAGAAAGCTTTTACCACTTTAACAATTCTATCTTGGTCTTAGCCTAAAAGATTATTCTTTTTTCAATAACACATGATTTATTATATATTTTAGGCTCCATATAATTCAAACGAATTACTGAAGATATCGATGCAGCCATAAAAGTGTAGCTGCAGTGAGTTGAATACACGACATATATTTGTCGTTTTTGAAAAATTACAAATAAGAAAATCTCAATAAAATCATAACTAATTTAGGAAGAGCTAAAATTCAAATGGTTGATATGTTTAATCTTGCATTTATCCGTAACCGCTTATTCACTTACTTCAAAGAGAAAAGGTGGATTTTTTAAATATTATTCCTGAACTCATTAATAATACACTGCACATTATGTATATATATAGGATGATTCTAATAGAGATAACCTAGGATTTACACAATCTGTCCTAACTACAGAAATTAAGGAAATAAATCTATACAAATCAAAGGAAAAAATCAGAACAAATCCTGAACTAATCACATTAATTATGCGATCCTAACACACAACCCTCCCACCTGAGCTAGTGAATGGATACCTATCAGACTTAGGAAAATTTTAGTCCTATAGTTGGTACTCCCTCTCCTATAAAGCAAGACCCCTGACATGTAAGGTTATTTTTCCTTAACTTACAAGTTTTTTTGACTTGTAAGCAAAGAAAGATTTGCTCCATTCTTATTATGACAATAAGATCCTAGAACTACTTTTTAGGAAATCTCTTAATTAATATATTGCCAATTGAGACCCTGAAGGGACAAATGCTGTAATTAGTAGGCCGTTATCCAGCTTCTCCAAGGGTCAATATATCTCTATGTGCTTTGTTCTAAACCAGGTTATGTGCAATACTAATAATGTCTGACTTGTCACAAAACCGCTTCTTTTGGAGCTTTCGTATTTTTAATGATCTTCATCCATAATAGCTCGCAATTTCCTTGTTCATAGCTTGAAATTTTGCCTCTCCACTTGACTACCTCGCAACAACATTTTGCTTCTCCGTGTCATCAGATTATACCACGTAAAAACATATAGTATCCGAAGTTCAATCTCCTATCATTAATTGGTCCTGCACAATCTCCATGTGCATACCTCCATTGATTCCTTTCCTCTTTCTTAAACAGTAGCCCACTTCTCAGACTGCTCTTCAATTTAATAGCTATTTGAGTTGTTCATTATTCCTAAATTGGGAATATTTTTTCCAATAATTCTTTTTCATTTAATTCTTTTTCATTTTTTCCCTGTTTCTTTTCTTTGTATCATTTTCATATTTTTGGGTTGTTTTCACTTTGGTATTAATTGTGGTACAGCCTCAAACATTCAAATGAGAAAAAAAAAATCTAATTTAAGCTGAGCAAATGACAATATCAATCTTCTCCAATCAGCAAATTGAGCTAGCAATAATTGATAGAAATTTGTCCTTCTACAAAGCCTCTTTGTAAAACTTCCTGTAAACCTCTCCAAGCATTAAACACCTACAAGGCAGACACGTAATAATTTTCTATGATTTTAAATTTTCCACTCCGATATACTTAAGCTTAAGCTATTAGGTAAATGCCAATGAATGATTTTATATCTCTAACACGTCCCTCGCAAGATCCCATTGGGTTAGCTTATATACGAGAGTCTGTTGGGTTGTGTGAATAATGCATGTGCCTCCTTACCTTGTGCTAAATTCAACCTAATTGTAAAGAATAGGGGCAGCATTGATTGAACTCATGACTGCTTATATAGGCTTGGATGTTTGGAAAACTCAACTTCTAAGTTATTTGGTGAAGGGCACCATAGAGGATTTTATATCTCTAGCAAATTGATAACTTGATAACATCGACACTATCAAATGATAAGGTGTGAGAAAAAATAGACAGACTGCTTGAAATACCTCAAACATTGCCATGATGCACCACAAACCGTCCTGAAGAGAGCTCAGGATGGTGAATAGCTTGTCCTGCTAAGATACCTTAGATAATGAGCATTCCTTCAGTGTTGATGGCTAATGTTGATTGCTGCCGAATCAGGTGAATGTGAGAAAGTAACAGAAACTCAAAGAAAGTGAGAGTAAATTTAATGATGAACAGAGAATCAAAGAAGAGACACTTGAATCCATTCATTCACCAAAACTGAATCATACAAAAGAGGTCTTGAAATATGGGAAAGCACATATCAATGACAATTGGATTCAGGTACAAAAACTGTGCAGACTCGGCATAAGTCCAGTGCCTAATGTGACAGTTGGCTGCAGCTGCACGAAGTTAACGTACTAACTACTTAGATGCTTGATTAGAACAGTAATGCTATACTCTAACAGGGAAGAGCTGTATTTTAGAACATCCTGGAAAAAGTATGATTGGTTTGGAATCTTGTGTTTCTGATGTTAGAATAATTTCTGGTTTGCAAAATTTTGAAAGGTGAAAAAATTCAATTAGAATGATTCAAAAATGAACAGTAGTGTAGATACAGTGATACACTGTCCTTTTATGGAGGGAATGGGCATTCCTTCATTTCATGGAATGAACATTTCCATTTTAAGGGTGGTACCGAACATTATATCCTCTCATTTTCTTTTCCATTCTCATTCTCATACAACCAATCCCCAAGCAATTAGCTTAATCACTTTTATTGAATTTTTTTTGAGCTACATGTATACTAAGTTATCAAGATCTGCCTTGTTGACTAATTGTGGGGTTTTTGTTTGGAAAGGTTTATCAGAATGGAGGTCTACAAATTGGTAAGCTTGTTTCTTTATTTTTTGGTTCTGTACTATTTTATTTTTATGATGTTTGATCAGTACCACCTCCTTTAATTTTATCTTCTACATCATTAAACCTCCATTTTTCTGTTGTAATTGATTTTTCAGGAACATCTCGTGTTGTTGACCAATCAAAGTGCTTACACAATTGCATTGGTGAAGTTATTAGGATAAACCAATTTGGCAATGTGAGGTATATTAAAATACTCTATTTCTAAATTGTGATGCTCCTTTAGAAGTTTATGTACTTAATTTTTATTAAGTTAACTTCATAAAGTTGTAACTAGAGTAGAATAATCTTTTCCATTCTTAAAATACTGCAGGTTTGGGATTATTAAACGATTTGATAAATATTCCCGAAAGCACTGGGTAAGAGATTCTTTTGTTTGATTTTCATAATTTACATGAAAATTGTCCTCATAAATGAATATGCATTTAATTTTGTTTTTGCAGATCATGTTTGAGGATGGTTGTGTTGAAATATATGACATGTCAAAAGAGGACTGGGAACCTGTGAGATAGTGGCACGACTGTGGGTAGGAACTAATTGTGAATATTTCATTTGTAACTGTCTTTTTGACATTGTTAAATATTATATCTTAATAGATATCTCTCGAAATTGCTACTTCATTTGATTTGTTTGCTTGGTAACGATGAAATAATATAGTTGGCCTGCTATTATTAGTATGTGCTCATTAAACTACCAGATTAGCACCTTGTTAAAGGTGTTTGACTCTAATTCTGTCATGGTGTATAAATAATGTGTTTTCTCATCTCCCCTTTCTTGTCTGCTTTCAGAAGGATGTTCTAACATTGAATGAAAGATTGATGAGCACTATGTATCATTCTGGATGAGGATTCTTAAGATGATAGAATGAAAATCGTAATTTTTTGTTGCCTTGATGGTTATACAAGTCTTTGTTGGGGGTGAGAAATAGGGTTATTGTTGAGATCCCACATCGATTACAGATATAACCAAAGTAGAATTTATGTAGACTTAGGCAGTGTTCATCTCATGAGCTTGCTTAGAAGTTGAGGTAGGCCCAGTCTGAATCTAAGATGATATCGAGATTTATAGTAGATTTAATATTGAGCTACCCTTAACTGTCCAAAAGTCAACCTGGCCCTGTTGCTTTTTCAATGTAACCTACCCTGGCCTAGTGGCTTTTCAAGTGTAATCTATCTGGTCGTCCTTCGACTTTCTTATTGCAATATATATGTAAAAATAAAATCAGTCCTATAATCTCCATGCCCTAGATGTCCAAGCCAGGGTGTAGCTGAAGTTTGAACAATCTTTACCTCATGAACCAGGCTTTAGAGTGGAGTTGGGCCCAACCCAAATTGAGTTGTTATTTCTGTATGATTTTCGTTTTAATAGGGAAAGGCACATAAGGTAATTTTAATCATGGTTGAGTATATGTTTTCCAGTTGACAACAGTGTTTTGTTTTTTTCCCTCTCAGTAGCATCATGGTCATCTTTTTAAACATCCTTCATAGTTATTTTCCCATATTGTTTCATTGTTGTGGAAACTAACGTGCTGTTCCATTCCTCATCTGTTACATATGCTATACCAAGCATGGCTGTTGTTTGATTGTTGCTAACTTTTTAAGTATTGGCAAGTTAGAAAACGCGGAGAGTAAGTTTCCTAATTTTCCCATCATGTTCAGGTGGTGCAGGTGAAAGGAAGTGAGAAACTGATAATTGGAGTCATTATTCTTTCATTGCATGTGCATAATTCTTGTAGTTGCTGAGGCTCTGATCAACAGAATATGAAGCGGGATAGATCAACACAGGTCTTACTGATTGAAGATATTAATAAGTTTTATTTTCTACTGACAAACTGTATTCGCGTAAGCCTAAAACATTAGTGTTAAAAGTACTGGAGATAATCCTGGTATTTTTGAAAATCCTGTCCTGCTTGTACTGTAAAATGAGAATTCATGTTGTACCATTAAATGGGGTTTGTGCAATTGTTGTATCAAATTGTATTCTTTCACTTTCTTCCCATTTTTCTAGTATAAGAAATTCAAAATTCAGAGACAAATGAGGGTTTTCCCACCAAGGAAGAAACTTTTTTGTTTTCCTTTCTTATAGCATTACCTTTGATCAATGCAGGAAGGCTTGTATCCCATAAAGAGGGGCACATTAATCTTGCTCTGCTTAGACATGTATTATTAGAGTCAATTTTATCAATGGAAAACTTGCTTAATTTTGTTTTGTTTTATTTCTATTCAAAATTGCACATTTCTAATGTATTGGCACTTTAATTTTTTGCACACAATGGATATAGGTAATTATTGGGTATGCTGTTTGTTTTCAAATTTTGGGCTAGATAGCCCATTTTATCACCTGTAACTTATTATATTCTAAATCACATGAATATCGGACCAGAAAACAAAATCACGTATGAATGGTTGAGGAAAAAAAATAAAATCACATGATACACTACAAGTATTTATATTTGTAACTTCTAACTAATTTAATTAATAGATAAACTTTTATTGTTAGTTTATGATGTTTTTTAGATGTTACTTACCGTTTTGCATTAGGTTATAACTTGTAACTTATCATTATCTTTTTCTATCTTCAATATTTTCATAAAATTTGTCCTTCCAAATTTCATGTTATTTTAAATTTTTATATATCTTACGCTAATATATTAATTTTAAAAAAAATATTTAATCTTATAAAATTATTGAAATTTAAAAATAACTCAAACCTAAGATTTTACTTCGTTCTAAAAATAGTTATATATACATATAATTTTATGTTATTTTATATTTATGAATTCTAATGGTAAATTTATTTTATATGATAAATTCATTTTACAATTTTATCATTTTATCTAAACCTCCGTCATCATTTTAGAATGAGGCAAATATAAGTATTTTTTAAGTTTGACGATTTTTTTCTCTTTTTACTTTAAAATGTGGTATCATCTCTTCCTCCTCCTAAAAAATTTAAATTTAATAATTTTAAGTTAAAAATTAGTATTTTAACTTTTAGTTAAGACTTTTTACTTGTAACTTGTCAAATATATTTCTAAAAGTATCTTGATCTATATATTACAAATTAAAAAACATCTTGCCGATTAAGTTACACTTAAAACAGGATTATAACGTTTGTTATCATATAAAATGTATTTGAATTTTTAAAAAAATCATTGAATAATAATTTTTTTATATATAAAGTTAGATCAAATTACTTTTCTCTCAAAATTGGTTCGATTTGTTAATATTCTTAACTATATTTGTAAACAAAAACAAAATCTATTCACAAAACTAATAAATATTAACGTTTTTGGTCTTGAAACATGATAATAATATCCAAATTATTTCTTATATATTTTGCAACAAGTCTATACTAACTTCACAATGTTATAACAATACTAAATTGCCAAAATAACATTAAACCTTTTTTTGATAGGATAAATTGGGCGAATCCAGATTATGACCCAATTTTAATTTTTTTTTAAAAATCTCTAACAATAAATTCAAGTAACCTGAACCGTCAGATTAATGGTGTCCTCTACCTATAAATACAATCTTTATCAGTACTCTGCGCCTTCCACCTCCAGAATTAGGGTTTGCAGTGACAACCTTCACTCTCTGTTTTGATCAGACTCTGCTCTTTTTTCTTCCTGTTGACAACCATGGCAACTCAAATGAGCAAGAAGAGAAAGGTGAGTGCTACACCGAACGATAAACAGGAGCATCATTTTCTCTTCACATTTTCCGTTTTCTGTCTCAATTTAATGTGTTAAGTTTTTGTGCAGTTCGTAGCCGATGGAGTTTTCTTCGCTGAATTGAACGAGGTTTTGACGCGAGAATTGGCTGAAGACGGTTACTCTGGTGTGGAGGTTAGGGTTACGCCGATGCGCACGGAAATCATCATCAGAGCCACAAGAACCCAAGCTGTTCTTGGTGCGTATGTTCTAGAACCTTCCATTGCTTCGGTGGAATCGAATATTGAATATTGAATGGTCTACTTTGTTGTGTAGGTGAGAAGGGGAGGAGAATTAGGGAACTTACCTCAGTGGTTCAGAAGAGGTTCAAGTTCCCTGAGAACAGTGTGGAGCTTTATGCTGAAAAGGTTAATAACAGAGGTCTCTGTGCTATTGCTCAGGCTGAGTCTCTTCGCTATAAGCTCCTTGGTGGCCTTGCTGTTCGTAGGTACGTTAATTTGTTTAGTCATTCTTATGTATATATTAATTTTAGATTTGATATTGATATAAATGCGCCTTCGATTGGTTAGGTTATCGTGAATTAGGAATTTCTATTAGGAAAATACGACACTCCTTGTTTGTGTCTTGCACTGGTTGATCAGGTTAAATGCTGGATGACATTTTTATTTTATTTGATTTGACGATTTACATACTGGCAATCTGCTAAATGTTGTTCGTAAGTGTATAGGGGTATAGCTAGCCTTGAGTTGTTAAGGTGTTGTGTTAAGCTTTAGATGCTATTTAGATTCTAGGCTAATGCAAGCATGGAGTTCCTTGGGGAATACATGATCCCAGCCTAACTTTCCCCGTCAGCAGTATAAAATGCATTATACAGCGATCACAGTATGATGGCTGCTTGTGTTATAACCTGTTTTTTATTTTTAGTGTGTGCTGTATGGCTGTAGCTATATTCCTTTGGTTCTTCATTTATTCGTTTGTTGACTGTTGATAGTATACCTTTGATTTCTTCAAGTTCTTATGTAGTTATGTATACTCCTGTAATATAAAGTTAATCTGCTCTTTTTTAATGTTCTACCTTGATACATGCTTGCTTCGCATGGTAGACCTGCCTTCTGTGACTCCATATTTCCAAGTTTTACTTTGCTAATGTGTTTTGGAAGTTGAAAGGCTCAGTTTTTAAATTTTTTCTTTTTATTTGCTTTAATACAATTTTTCAACGTGTTTTTAATAACTTTAGGAAACTCTTATCTATCTGTTTCAGGGCCTGCTATGGTGTTTTAAGATTTGTTATGGAAAGTGGTGCCAAGGGATGTGAGGTATGTTCTGCAGAAGCAGCTATGAACCTATGTTGTTATTCTGCTTCATGTAATGATTTTGTTGTAATTGCCGTTTGATTTGTGTAGGTAATTGTTAGTGGAAAACTGAGAGCCCAGAGAGCTAAATCCATGAAGTTCAAGGATGGCTACATGATTTCTTCTGGACAACCAGTGAAGGATTATATTGACTCTGCTGTGAGACATGTACTTCTCAGACAGGTTTGTTTCTATTATTCTTCATACATATTTGATACAATTTTTTCTGGCACTTGGGTTATTTATTCTGTGTTATTATGGAGTATGGAGCAATAGCACTAATAAGTTTTTCCTCCCTGTCTTTTAGGGTGTTCTTGGTATCAAGGTGAAGATCATGCTTGATTGGGATCCTAAAGGGAAACAGGGTCCTAAGACTCCCCTCCCTGATATTGTCACAATCCATGCACCAAAAGAGGAAGAGGAATACATCCGGCCTGCTGCTGTTTTGTCAAATGATATCGAGGTTCCTGTTGCTTGAAAATGTTTTGATTTCTCTGGAGTAGTGATTCATAGCACCCGAGTACTTAGCATGCTGTGTTTGTTGGCAAACCTCGTTCAGAATTTTGTAGTTTCTTTTCTGTTTTAGAAAATTTTGCACTCGCAGCAGTATATGGATTCAAGGATAAATTATTTTCTATTTTTTCCTTCTCAGCAGTTCGAATTGTGTTTTTGGTTCATACCGATGATTTGGGTCTGTGTTATTTACCGTTAGTATCATGTTAAACATTAGTGGAAGTGAAGGCGAATTTTAAGTAGTGCAGCTAACTATTAGATTTCTTAATTAAAAAAAAAATATTGATTTTCGCTGCTGTACACTTTTTAATGTTCTTTGACGGTATTTTATAGTATGATCATAGGTTATTTTATACGTGGAATAATAATTATGGAATTTTTTATTAGTTATAACTGATCTAAAATTTCACATATTATGATTTATATGATAAGATCTTTCAGTTTAACAGTTTATATTATTTAAAAATAAGGTCGTTAGATGATATAATTAATATTGGGATAATTTGATTAGGATCTCATTTTTTAAATTGATGCCTTCAACATCTTGTTACCGTGGGTCACTTTCAAATTTAGTCACGATCTTCAATATTTTATTAATTCAATTGTTTATTATTGTTATATTATTATGAAAAATATATATATAACTTTATACAATTTAGATATTTATAAATATAATTAAATAGAATTGTTATATTTTAAATAATATATTAATTAGGAAGTTTTTATATACAATAATAACTTATTGATAACAAATTCTTATTAAAAATTATAAAATTTTAATATATTGATAATATTGAATATTATAATTTTAATGAAAATTTATTTATTGATCCTAATTGTGTTTAACGGTACAAAATATCAAACAGTAAAATATTAATTTTTAAATTGTATTAAATTTTAGACTTAATTTATTATATAAAAACTTTATATTAAGTAGTTGAGTTGATAAATTATTCAAAGTGTCATTTTATTGAGTTTAATACTTGATATTATTTAATTAAAATAAATTTAAAATAATATAAATCAATTTCTATATGTAACCAATCTTAATTTTTAAACAATAGTATTTTTATGAACCATCCTAAATAAGAACTTTTTTTAAAGAGTTAATTTTCTTCCTTGTTATGTCATTTAAAATAAAAATCTCTTTATTTATTAATTATTAAATATTTATTCTTCAATTTATAATTTTTTTGATTTATAATATATCTTTAATTTAAAAACTAAAATTAGTTTTGTTTTGTAAATTTTGATTTCAAATTTGTGATTTTTAATGAAAATCTTGAATTCAAAATTTAGTCATAGGAATAAAAATATGTTAAGTTATTCGACAAGAATTTATGGTCTATTTTTTTAAAGTAATTAATTTTAATTTAAGCTTTTTAAAAAATTTAATTAATTAAATAAGTTAGTTTGAAACTTAAGAAAAAATTGCTTATTAGAATTCTTATTTAAAATTTATAAAATTTATTATAATATAATAATATATTAAATTTTAAAATAATAAAATTTTAAAATTAAAATTATTAATTTTTTTGTTAAAATTATAAAATATTTCTATCTTCTAAAAAAGATAGTCATATTAAATTTCTCAATAAGACATCTATTTAGATAATTTAATAATTTATTTATAAAAAAATTTAGTAACCTAGACCTTAAAAAGATTAATAGGCTAAATTAAGCTTCAATTTACAGATAAATATATATTTATGCAAAGTCTATTTCTATCCTTAATTATGGAATAAAAATGGATGATGAAATAATAATAATAATAATAATGAACTTGGAATGAAAAAATAGTAACAGTGAAAATGATGATATTAAATATACTCTTAATAAAAATTACATTAACAGTAGCAACAATGTAAATTATAGATAATAGTAATAATTATAATTATAATAATAATAATAATCATTGTTCACTACCAAGAAGTATAAGTTATGACAATAATAATTAAATGATAGACAATGGTAATATTTGTCACATCTTTTAAAAAAATAAGAATTGAATAATATATTTTTACAATTAAAAACTAATTCAACTCCGGTATGATTTATTTTAAATGTTCATTTAGAAACAAAATAAACTCCTAACCACCCTAGACAGCCCTCACTTTTCTTCTCTTTCTAACTAAAACATCAGGATTGAACCGTTTTTTTGAATCTCAAATAGTAAGTCTAGACATCTTGTATTTAATAAATGCTCGCTATTGTATTTAATCAGAGTCTTAAAATGTAACATTACATTTATTTAATTATTTCTAGGACTCAAAAGGTGCAAACATATGAATTGAAGTTATTATCCACATAAATATTGAGACAAATAGGTAAAAAATTTAAAATACAAATACAAATGTTTTTAACCAATTGTCGCTCCTCATAGTGCTATCGTTGATAACATTTTTGAATTTTACATGTTTTTAACCTCAAGACAAATGGCCAGCATTTTGAAGTGTCTGAAATTATTCACTAATTACAAATTCAATTTGTAACTCTTTCACGTGTATAAAATAAAGGTATGATGGTAAAATACTCCCAACAGAGAACATCCGGAAGAGTCCCAAGTACAAAACCGATAACTAAAAATAACGTTATTTCTCTTTTAACAAACAAGTACTTAAATTGTGCTCTTTAAAATTCACCTGCACTTCAAAAACTCTTCAACATAGTGTTAGAAAAAGGAAAAATACGACACACCCAAACCAATGACATGATCTATAAACACAAAATTCAAACTGCTTAACACATGGAGATTTAAATTTGACAAAGAAAAGATCAATTGATGCTTAAATACCTGCTATTAAGTATAAGAATTTCTTAAAACTGTTCAAGAATCTACCAAAATTTGGAGCTAGTTTTTCCCCAAAAACATTGCATACTAGGAACTCAAGTACAATGAATTACTACTCTCGCTCAATCGAAACATTTTCAAGCAACCGGAACCTCAATATCATTTGCTAAAACAGCAGCAGGCCGGATGTATTCCTCTTCCTCTTTTGGTGCATGGATTGTGACAATATCAGGGAGGGGGGTCTTAGGACCCTGTTTCCCTTTAGGATCCCAATCAAGCATGATCTTCACCTTGATACCAAGAACGCCCTATAAGACAGGGAGGAAAAACTTATTAGTGCCATCACTCCATAATAAAACAATGAATCACAAAAACATACCACCAAAAGAAATTCTATCAAATATCTATGAAGAATAACGTAAACAAACCTGTCTGAGAAGCACATGTCTCACAGCAGAGTCAATATAATCCTTGACTGGCTGTCCAGAAGAAATCATGTATCCATCCTTGAATTTCATGGATTTGGCTCTCTGAGCTCTCAGTTTTCCACTAACAATGACCTGCTCATTCAAACATCAATTAGAACCTAATCATTAAATAAAGCAATATACCATAACAGAAGGTCAAAGCTTCTTTTAAATAACAAACCTCGCATCCCTTAGCACCACTTTCCATAACAAATCTTAAAACACCATAACAGGCCCTGAAACAAATAGATTAAGATGCAGACTTTGTAATGTTACCACAGAGATGCAGAAGAATTGTATTCATACTCATGAAAATAAAAAGGACAATTTTAAAAGCTCATTATAACACATTGGTAATGCAAAACATGGAACATATGTTACAGAAACTTGGGTCTAAATTGAGGGTCCACCACACATAACCTCAAGATACACTTCGAGTAAAAAAAGCAAGAGCAGATTAGTTATACATACATGAGTACAGTCAAAACTAAAAGAAAACCTCAGTATATTACAAAAAACCAACAACAAAAAATATAGTAAGAAACAAAGGAATAGAATTTCAGCTTTACAGCACACAATAAGCAGAAAACAGAGGTTAGAAAGCAAGCAGCTATCATGTTGTGAGGGTTACATGACATTTCCTCTTTGGTTAGAGAGATTGTATTCAACACTGGGGGGAGGGGACAGGTAAAGTGGCAGAGCTGAGACTAGATCCAGGGATGAAGTAGTCCCAGAGGACCTCAATGCTCAGGTGAACTGAGACTCCACAAAGCATCTAAGGCTTGATATATCATAGTATCATATTATGAAGATTAGCAGTTAAATAAGTTGTCAAAACACAAACAGGCAACTTTCTACTAGTGCGTTCAGTGAAAGGCACCATTTGACAAAACAAATCTGAGAGAGAAAAAAAATCAAATAGAAGACAATGGGGATACAGACTAGCATTTGTGGAAAAATGTTTCAGAAGAAAAACAGGGAAATCTTAGGCAAGGAGAAACATTAAGAAAAATATAAACAAACAAAAAGACACAACTTCCACATGAAAAGCAAGTAAAATTCAGTCCTAGATATAGCTGGCACAAACTAGTAACAACAACACAATGGCAATAGATTAGGAAACATAATCCCATTGTTGCTTTTAAAGTATGATGTTATATTTCCTAGTAGAAATTCCTAATTAACGATATCCTAACCAATCGAAGGCGCATTTATATCAATATAAAATCTAAAATTAATATATACATAAGAATGACTAAACAAATTAACGTACCTACGAACAGCAAGGCCACCAAGGAGCTTATAGCGAAGAGACTCAGCCTGAGCAATGGCACAGAGACCTCTGTTATTAACCTTTTCAGCATAAAGCTCCACACTGTTCTCAGGGAACTTGAACCTCTTCTGAACCACTGAGGTAAGTTCCCTAATTCTCCTCCCCTTCTCACCTACACAACAAAGTAGACCATTCAATATTCAATATTCGATTCCACCGAAGCAATGGAAGGTTCTAGAACATACGCACCAAGAACAGCTTGGGTTCTTGTGGCTCTGATGATGATTTCCGTGCGCATCGGCGTAACCCTAACCTCCACACCAGAGTAACCGTCTTCTGCCAATTCTCGCGTCAAAACCTCGTTCAATTCAGCGAAGAAAACTCCATCGGCTACGAACTGCACAAAAACTTAACAACATTAAATTGAGACAGAAAACGAAAAACGCAAAGAGAAAATGCAACTGTTTATGGTTCCAAGTAGCACTCACCTTTCTCTTCTTGCTCATCTGTGTCGCCATTGTTGTGAATCGGATGCAAGATAGCGAACAGGATCTGATGTGAACACAGACAGTGAGAGTTTGTGACTGCAAACCCTAATTTGGGAGTCAGTTAATGGTTTGGGCGCATATAAGTAGGGAATTTTAAAACACCAGGTTTTATATTAATTGGGGGATGGCAACGGGTAATATATATAAATTGTGTTACTTTTTGTAAATTTTGATTTATGTTTAAATTTTTGTGAAGTTATACAAAATTAATATAAAAATATATTTAATAATAAAATAAATTAAAAATTATTTTGATTTATATTTTTTAAATAAAATTATTTATTATTTTATATTATTTAATTTGATTAATATAATTTAATTATTATATAATTAATATGAGATTAATTTTCTTAAAAAAATTATTTATATATAATACATATATAAAATGATTTTTTTACAAATATTTTTGTTAATAAAATTATATTAATATTTAAATTTTAAAGTAAATAATACATAATAAATATATTATAAATATATTATAAATTTTATAATCATTTACTATTATTGTAAATTTATTTTTTATTAATAATATTTAAATTTTATTTTTATATTTTAATTTAAAATAATATTTTTTTATGTAATATATATATTAAAAGCACAATTATAATTAATTAAATTTAAATAATATTATTCTTACTATTTATTTACATTCAAAGAAGTTTTTAAAAAGATATAAAATATAAAAAAAATATTGTTAATTCTTATTTATTAATTTTTCTTCGACTAAAAAAGTATAATTTTTTTGTTATAAAATTTTATTATGACTATTTATTTCTTATTCAAATTCTTTTTTTAAAAATTTATATTTTTAACAAAATACTTTTGTGTAATACATGAGTTAAAATACTAGTATTAATATATATATATATATATATATATATATATAATATTATATTATATTATATTATTTTAATTAAGTCTGTTATTTTTCTTATTATTTCAGATTTAAAAATTTTAAAAAAATGTGTTATGTATAAACTTCTCGTTGTCGTTTAGTACTTAAATTTTTCTGTTCTAACCTTATTCTCATTGTCAATGTCTACCTCATTCTAACATATTATAGTAACCATGAATCATTATTCATTAGAGTTGGTTATCAATGTCAGCACAAGAGGTCACGAGTAATCCGACACAAAGACTATCTATTGTGAAAATATATCTCGTAGTTGCTCTGTTGTTATCGTTACACAAGACAGGGTCATCGCCGACAAATAACTTAAGTGTTTAATTTCGCTTATAGTTTGTAAGAATTTTAGTTTAGAAAATTGTTGTATTAAGATACATTTAACACTTGTAATCTTTAAATATTTATTTTTTATCTATGCTTGCACCTTTTCTAACAACTACATATTGAATTTTTATATTATTATAATATTTATGTGAAGTTATATAAACATATTTTTTTCTAAATATTTTTTTCTCAAACAAGAGCAGGTAATGGGTACGGGTATGTGGATATCCAGAGGATACAGGTATGGGGATTAATGTTCATATCTATGCGGATATAGTTATTTTTTAAAACGTAGGTATGGAGATGAGTACTATACTACCTTACTCATACCCTACCTATTTCCATTTCTATCTTAATTGTACTCTTTAAAATAAAATATATGTAGAATCAATTTTATTTTAGGTTTTTCAAAAAGGAACTTTGAGTAAATGATATTATTACTATTACTATGACTTTTATCACTTAATTACTTTATTTACATTATTTGTAACCACAATAAAGGTGAAAATGTATTGTATATGTATTTTGTTAGAATATTATATTCGTCTTAATACAAATAAATACAATCTACACTCGCTGATAAGTCCGTAATTAGGCTCTTTTCTATGGTTTATATATTTATGTTTAATCTTTATTTTAGTTAGATTTTATACTGATTTATATGTTAAATGTACAGTTTAGTATGAAGAAGTCACAAGTGAATTTTGGGCCCAAATTGATGAAAGATCAGAGTTTCGCAGCAGTAAGCATGCTTAGACCCTTTCAATAAGGCCTTGCACGACCATGCTCATCTGCAGGAAATCTAATTATAAAGAGCTTTTAGAATTTTCAAACCCTATAAAAGAGATACCTCAAGCATCCTATTAGACATACCATTTACATCTTGTCTTGTACTCTCTGATATGCTTCTGATCTCGTTTCTCTTGTACAAGATCTTGGGCATACTCTTGACAGGACTTGGAGCTTTAAGCAATCGTACTTGAAGACCAATAACTCATCTCATACTCTAGTTTACTATTTCTTTTGATTATGCATTTGTTTATTATTGTTTTACTTAAAAATGAGTAACTAAGTTCATAGCTAGAGTTATGGAAACTATTGTTCATGAATTTATGGAATTTTGAAGTTTGAATCTATATTTAGTTTTCGTTTGTGATTAACTTTTATCCTATTGTGCATAATTATAATTCAAATTAATTATATCGTTCGACGATTGTTCCTTGATTTGTTAATAGATCTATAGGATAAAACAAGGATTAGGTAAACTAAATCAATATTTCTCTTCCAATCGTTATTAAATTAACAAGTTTATAGGTACTTTATACTTTCTTTAATTGATGTTTTACATGATTATTGGAGATATTAATTTAGAGAAAAGAATATTAATATTGCATGGATATTAATAGTATTTGTATGAATGATTGATAATTACAAGAAAATAAAATTTAGAATTAAATGAAAAAAAATAAAATAAAGGATTGAATGAAAAAACTCATTACCTAAATTCTTCTCCTATAATTGGAAATCAATAATTGTGGGACGATATTTTGAGAATTTATTTTAAAACCTTTTATTACATCTCGACGGGTACACTTATCCAATGAACACTCCCTAATAATATTTTTTTTTTCATGAAAATTTGTCTTTTGATTTTTCTTTTTTGATCTTTTTAATTAGTTGATATATAGTTTGGATATAGATATATGGTGAAATGGAATTCGAATGGGAATAATTCATATTTCAAAGCTAGAATCTAACTATTAATAGTTACACATGAATACAATAATTAATGGGCTATATGAAGTTTAACCAAAAGGATCTATCGTTGAAATTAAAAGGTTTATGTCTCATCTCAAGTGAGTAGACATGTTTGTAAGAAGTTTTGGTTAATAATCAAGTAAAGAGTTTACCTTTAATATATTTTAATTAGTTTGAACTAGTATAGGGTAATTGAATAGATTATTTAAAATTTAAGTTTGATTTGTAAAAAAAAAATGTTCAAGTTTGTCTCATTTATTTAAATAAATTAGAATTAAAAGTTGAGCTTAATTTGATTAAAAATTTTAAAGCTTAGACTTAACTCATTACCAATTTTTTTATAAGTTTTGAATAATTTTTTTATAAATTAAGTGTTTAATGACTATTTGTATGTTAAAAAATAAGGAGAAAAAGACAAGAACAATTGATCTTTTTTTTATTTTGTGTTATATTCTGCCGCAAAACTTGACATCAAAATTGTAAATTTCTATAAAAATATCATAGAAAAACATTAATTTAAAAGTGAAAAATAGTATAACCCGCTTAATTTTGTAATTTTTGATAAATTTTAATTTACAGTAAAAATGTTTGTTACAAAGATATATATTGTAATCGGTACTGGTTTCGATATTATAAACTAAGATAGATTCCTTGCTATATTGCACGATTTAACAATAGATTTGTTTTGGATATAGTTTACAAATTATGATTTGTATCAAGAAATACCTATCCTGATTTGAGATCTAAAATCTAAAATCATGTTTAAATACATGTCATGGCATAACTATCACGTAAAAGAAGCAAAATAATTTTCAATAATATTTTTTTCCCAGATCATATGTATTTTTCCCATCTGTGACAATCCTATTTCAGCTGTTAATATCTATTAACATGGTAAAGAGTGAATGATTCCGATAAAGATTTTTTAAGTTATATAAATAACTCAAATTTAAAACTTTACTTATAAGACATTAAACATATATTATTCAAATTAATCACTTGTTAAAAATTATGTTAAAGTGATTAATTAAATTAAAATTTTGATGTGTATAACATGGTAAAAAATTAATAAATAATATATTTTTAAAAAAATGTCAAGTTTTAATTTCTCTACTTCAACCTAGTTTTTGTCAAAATGTATTTTTTTTTTACAACAGCGGTTCACTTTTAATATAATCAATAATAATTTATTATCGCGTATTTAAATATGGTAGATAAATTTATTATTAAAATTTTTTTATATAAAAATTTAAACTTAAAATTTTATTTAAGCGTTGACATTCAGAATGACTTTGTTAACTGATTTATCAACTTTTGAAGTTTACACATTATTTTTTTAATATTTTATTAAATCGACATTCCAAATATAATAATATTATAGAATGAAACTATATGTCCCACGTTCAGTCCTGCACTCTGTCTATGAGCAAATTGATATGCATCTAAATATAGAGATGAATGGAATAAGAGATCATCATCATCACATGTAGCTTAGACGCGTCCAAAGCACTAACAAGAAGATGAATGTTGAAATTTCATGCTTCATGTGCTGCTGCCACCTTTTGCAATATTAAGTTTCGTCCCACTTCATATAAAGATAACACTGCACTCTCCTTCTTCTGTAAATGGCAGCCAGCTAGCTCCACAACCACCCCACTTAGTTTCGTTTTCAGTTCTTTGACTCAATTTGAGCAAAGTCATGCTTCATGGGGTAATAATCAGAGGACAACATAGAATTTTACTTAAACGTAATTAACATTTCAATTTGAATTCTTGAAGTTCAATTTTAAAGTGTTGAATTTTAATTTTATATTAATCCACTTGCGTCAATTGACCAAAATTGTAAATTGGCGAGTCAATAGAAGAAAATAAACAAATAAATTTCTTCACTTATTTAACAGAGTGAAACAGAAAGTAAAATGACTCAATTAAACTGTATAAAGATAATCATAAAAATATTTTTAATAAAATTTACGCTAAACTGTTAAAATTTATGCAGTGCCAGGAGTTTGAGTCATCAAAATATTACTTGTCATGCTTTGATACTTAAGCAAAGGCCTGGCTAATCTATTTTGGTATCTTTCATCAAATTCAACAAGATTTCAGAAACGAACTAGATACCAATTGAGATGTGAAAAAGAGAGAGAAAACAGTTTGAAATTTGAATTAAGGAGATAATGAAAGAAAAATAATATTTGGTTTATATATATTTTTAGTTTCTGTAAATTAATCTGAAGTTTAGTTTTGGTCCTTATAAATTCAATTTTGATACTTATAATTTTATTCTGTTTTGATTTCAGTTTCTATAATTTTATTTCATTTAAATTTTACCTGGCATGTTAGACATTTATAATTTATTCAATAATTGTACCATATTGGACATATGTTTTGACATTGCTAATAAGAGATCAAAACCAAAATTTTCAAAACTATAAAATTAAAAAGTTAAACTTTCAAAATATAAAAATAAAAAACAAAATTGATATAAACTAAGTTAAAATATATTACAATTTTTATTTTTAAAATAAAATTTATCTTATTTTATTTATATTTTCCTTAATTAAAAATGTCAATATTCATATTTTTGCTTCTCCATTTTTTTCTCTTATCTAAACAAATTGTATGTGTTACAATATAGTTGATTATAATTAGGATTGGATGAACATGGTTGAGAAGTAAACGATCAACCACTATATATCCTTACTTTTCTCCTCTTTTCAATTTCCTATTCATTTTCTATACCTACTCCTCCTTTTCAATCATTTGCAATGGTTTGTATAATAATATATAAAACGCCTACACTTGCCATGCAATAATTCCACTAAGCACTGAATATGTGAATACTAACGTTTTGAATATTTTAAAAACTAAACATGATTATTATTCTATTAGTTGACTTGGGATGGTAGCTACAGTATTCTGGCGTGAAAGTTAAGACAGGTTTTCCAGCTAGAATGTTTTAACGTTGCAGCAGTTAACAAAATTAAGCTCCAATAATCAAAAGATTTGATTGCGTATATGGTATTAACTCAACAGTTTATGTCTGCAAAATAATGAAAACTCAAACATCAAGGGTAAACCAATGCCTATCTAAAAGAAATGATGAATTTCAAGCCTCTAGTATGTTACTTACTCTATATTTATCCATAATTTTTAGCAAAAAACCTTTTTAAACTTGAACATTGAAGTATTTATTGCAGGAACACCTTCATTATTACAAGAATCCCTACACCACCAATAAGAGATACTTGTTGAAATGGTGTCCACATCCGTCGTCAATAACGATCATGTACTAAACATTTTTTAAAATGATAAACACTCTAATATGATAAATAATGACCTTATGTTAAGGATTATGTGTACTTTCTTGGATTTCAAGTATGACTATGGAAGCCAAAATCGATCCTAAGAGGGTTTAACTATAGTGAGACATGACATTGAAGTTGATATGACATATTATCCAACCTCAACATGATAATTTTTTTTTTTAATTTTCTTTCCATTGTATCCTGTTTTATTAAATAAAAGAATACTTTTAATTTGTTTATAAACCTTTTTTAGTGAATCTTTCTATCAATTTTAATATGCAAAAAATTATAAATTTTCATGTTTTAAAGATATTAAATATATTTTTTATTGAATACATTTTTATAAAGGATTAAAAATAATAAAAAAAATGTTATAGAAAATTATAGCATTACTTATTTTAAACTTGATGCACCCATGATGCCATGAACAAGAGCTCAGGTTCATAAAGTATATATAAATTTATCGTGTGAACATTAAAAAATATTTAAATAATGAAACTCTAATATTATATTATTTTTGTTTTTATTTTTATTTTTTATTCAAAGATATAATTTATTTATACATGAATCATGTAGAAATTTAAAACAATATTATTTGTTATTATTTTATTAATAGCTTTTTGTCCATATAAAATATCAAATTTTTAACATATATCTAAATACGTACAATAAAAAAATTAAATATGATAATTTTAATTAAAATTATAGAATATCACAAGGTCTGATGCATTGATAACATCGAGTGTTATAATTTTTAATAAAAATTATTATTTATTAATTTTTATTGTGTAATCTTAAGTAGGCAGTAGAAAAACAGAAAAACGATACTATTATCATTTGAGTAGTTTAAGAATTAAAATAGAACCCTTTATTAAAAATTGATAAGTTTGACAATTAATTTTAATAAAATAATTAAGTTTTTTGGTTTGAATAATTTTTTTCTCCATACAGATTAAAAGGAACAAAGTTAATAAATTATAAAACAAATTCACCTATGAGGTCATGATTAGGAGCACAAGTCATAGAATTCTAACATTTCCTACTTTGCATTCTGCCAGCTTTTCCCAACTATATAAAGGTTCTTTATACATTCTGCTGGGCCACATTACAAACAAAGTTCAATCCTCTCACACATACTGTATATAATATATATATAAACCTTGTTGTTTCATCAAGATGCTGTACAAACCATCTTTCAAGTCTTTGAAGATTGTCATGGCTAATTTGCTGATAATGCTTTTTGTGATGGAAATGGTAGTGAGTGGTTTCAGTTCTGGAGCAGGTGCTTTGAAAATGAATTACTACTTCTTAAGCTGCCCTATTGCTGAACCTGTTGTTCAGAACATAGTCAACAGAGCTCTACAGGATGATCCCACCCTAGCTGCAGCTCTTGTTAGAATGCACTTCCATGACTGTTTTATAGAGGTCCTCTCTCTCTCTCTCTCTCTCTCTCTCTCTCTCTCTATCTATCTATCTATATGTGTGTGTGTGAGACAAACAATCTCCAATCACACTTGCATACTTATGGATGCAATTGCATAATGAAGACAATGTTAAACGTGTAACTAATATAAAGCATTCATTTGTCTTTAATAAATTAAACTTTTGGAATTGTTGGTTCATGATATGTTATCAAACCCATAAGATTCAGTGATCTTAATTTTGATCCTTTAATCAAAAGTTGTCTTATTTATGCTCTAAGTCTAAAGTACTCTTGCTTGAGGGACCGAGGTAGGGATGTGAAATAAAGAAAAATAGTTGATAGATATCTTAAGTAGTGTCTACACCGCATTGAGAGAAAAATAATACATATGATGAGTGATGTATTGCGATAAAAAAAAATGAAGTGCTAAATAGATATTAAAACTTTTTGAGTGTCTAAAAATTAAAATTGTAAAATAAAATCATTTATTTGTCCTTATCTAACAATTTAACCTTTTGGAATTGTTTGTCTATGATAGAAAAGAAAATGGAGGTAAAAATGAATGAAATAAACACACAAAAGGCCAAGATAAAAAATAAGCAAGTATAGAGTAAAATGTACCCTTTATTTGTAATCGTAAGTTCTTGTAACTAATAACTACGTAATTACAAGATTCCATGATTTTCTAAATTATAAACTGCTCATTAACATAGCTTATAATTATTATTTCATATATATCATATATGGTACTTCAAATTAGTATATTTTTTGTCTACTAGGGATGTGATGGGTCAATCTTGATTGACTCCACTAAGGGCAACACAGCAGAAAAGGATTCACCTGCAAATTTGAGCTTGAGAGGCTACGAAGTCATAGATGACATCAAAGAAGAGCTAGAAAGACAATGCCCTGGAGTGGTTTCATGCGCTGATATTCTTGCTATGGCTGCTAGAGATGCAGTTTTCTTTGTAAGATGAAGCTTTTTCATAAATTTCTTATTGTTTATACCTGATTTTCCATTTTTGGTATAAGCTTATTTTGAAGAAATAATTGCTTACTTTTGACAATTTTTTGAGAGAACTTCTGAATAATAAGCGACTACTTTTTCAAATTTAATTTGTTTCAGCTTTTGGAAAAAGTGATTTTAAGAATGCATAAAAAGTGAATTATTTTTTAGAGATATTATAAAATTTTAAATTACTTTTTATTTTACTGGATAGTTATAATTTCAATTTTTTTTCTCTAGAAACAGCTTATAAAAAAAAAGTTCAAATGAGATTATTTTCAATTTATACCTTTCTCATAATCCGAACCAAATAACTAAAAGAACTAAAAAAAATTATTTATAGAAATGCATTTTTTCCACAAAATCTTAAACAAAATGGCTTTAAGTATTTTTAACATGCACTAAATGATTGTGATTAGCTAGTAACTAAGGTTCAATTTTACCTAATAATATTATTATTATTATCTATGGTATGATAGGCAGGAGGTCCAGTGTATGACATACCAAAAGGAAGGAAGGATGGAGCAAGGTCAAAAATTGAGGACACTATCAATCTACCAGCCCCTATCTTCAATGCTTCTGAGCTCATCAAGATGTTTGGGCAACATGGGTTTTCTGCAAGAGAGATGGTGGCTCTCTCTGGTAATAATGCTTTTGCTATTTTTGTTATCTGTGGAATAATTTAAAGATAATTTTGTTAAAACTATGCCATGTGTTAAACAGGAAATTCTAACGTATTTCCAAATTAGTAAGCACTATAAAGTTTCAGAACATGGTTAATGGTTTGACTGTAAAGGAAAAGGATAAAGAAATTGATTAACTCATTTATTTTTCGTGAGGTATGAGAGATTTTTCCTTTTGGTGTTTAATAACAATAAACTTATGAATAAGCATACCATGACGCATTTTTCTTCACTTTGGTAGGACTTCATAAACTAGAATTATCCCCAATTAATGAAGAATTCTCCCTGCTCATTACTTTTACTAGCATATTTTCAATGATTTGAATAATATATTTTAACCTCATTCAATATATATCAAATCGGAAAACTATTAAGATTATTTGGGTGATAAAGTAAGTTGTGCTTACTTTTAAATCTCAATATCAAACATAGGATCTTAGACATATATTTATCTACCAACAAAGCATGACAATCTAAATGAGAAAGAGTTACATTTTTTTAAAAATAAACTCTCAAATTTAAGTATTGTAAATAATAATAATAATAATAATAATAATAGTAAAAAGGGTATTGACCGAGAGAGCTTTATTTTCTTAAAAGTGAGTCTACACGTTTGACTCGAATTAATTAAGGTTTAATTTGACTTGCGAGTTGCTATAATCTAAAAAAAAAGACTGATAAATATCTATATGAACAAAATAGATGATGAGGTGACAAAATACTTCAAACTTAGAAATTAACACATGTTCAAAATTAAATAAAAATCGAGCTATGCTATTAAGTTCTAGTGTGGGGAATAGAGACAGATTATATGAGACCCATCTCTATGGAAACCTTGGCAATGCAATAATTTTTATAAATTAAGCAATAAAATATTATCATTAGATATTTTGATTCTGTAGGAGCTCACACACTAGGAGTGGCAAGGTGTTCTTCTTTCAAGAACAGATTGACCCAAGTGGATCGAACATTGGACTCAGAATTTGCAAAGACACTCTCCAAAACATGCAGCACTGGTGACAATGCTGAGCAACCCTTTGACGCCACAAGAAACGATTTTGATAACTTATACTACAACGCTTTGGTCTCAAACAACGGGGTCCTTACATCAGATCAAACATTGTACAATAGTCCACAAACAAAGAACATTGTGAATTCCTATGCAATGAACCAAGCCTTGTTTTTCTTAGATTTCCAACAAGCCATGGTGAAGATGAGCATGCTCGATGTCAAAGAGGGTTCCAAAGGGCAAGTACGAAAAAATTGCCATAAAATAAACTGAATTCTGGGTTTGTTATTATATGGAATGGGGAATAATTTGTTGTTCAATTTGGTAGAAAACTCTAAGGAGTTGTCACTAGTTGAAAGCACATGATCTGTATATCATAAATAATGTCTATGGTTTGCTCGTATAATTGTTTCTATTTAGAGCATTTATATGTATAAGAGTGTGTATCTTCATGGACTTATTTAAAAAAAAGAAAAACATTTATTTATAGTTGTTTGACAGTTTTTGAAAAAAAAAACATTTCTTCAAATTTAAACTATATCAAATATGTTAAAATAATGAATAATCCTTATTTTTAAGAAGAATGGTGTTTATCTTTTTAACAGTTATTACATAAAAGAAAATACTACACAGAGAATTTTTTTAGTATAATTGTTTTTAAAACAAGTTACCAAATAACTTATCCAACTTTCGTTCTTGAATATTTTAAAAATTCAATGGAATTACATAAATTGTTTTTCTAAAAGATATTGTTCAACTTATTTTAAAAAATAATTATTTACTTTTATCAGCTTCTTAAAAGAGTTTAAGGAACATGCCTTCTAGTACAAAAATATGATAGCAAATAATATAAATTCATTACTGATAATTATATAGATAACTTCAAATTTATTTTTTTACCAATAATGTATAATTATATTTGGAGTGAACAAATTTGTTCAGTGTTTATCGTATTTTTTATTTTATAAATTCGTACTAAATAGCAATTCGCTTTGAAATACAAGTAATCACTTTTTTTTTCCAAAAAAAAAAAGATAGTTCTAAACATGCAATAAGACAAATAAAACCTTTGAGTTCAAAAAGAATTTTGAAAAACTGCATTTACCTTAGAAAAGAAGAATTTCATTTGCTTTTTCTGTCATATAAATGCTTATGTTTTTTTTTGGTAAAGTTGTTTTATTTTTTGAGAAAATATAACTGCTCATTTCTCTACTGAGCCCAATTTCCAAGCCCAACTTTTCTCTACATCCTCGTAAATCATAGTTACAAAAATAGCTGCAAAATAATGAGCCGAAAACGAACGAAAAAAGGTAACCCAAAAAAAAGAACAAAACAGAGAGAAAGCTCGTCCATGCTCTTGGTTTCAGTGAAGTGGAGTCGTTGTGATATCTCTATCGAAATTCCAAACAGTTTCTGAAACTCGAAGAAACTTTAGTTGTTAGTTACTGGTTGTTACTAATAATCACAGATCCACCATTTTCCCGGGAAAGTGTGGGAAACGATGGAGAAGATGAACAGAGCCTTCGAGAAAATGAAGATGATGGTGGGAATGGAAGTCGAAGACGAGGAGCAACATGCTGCAGCATTGGGCGACAACGATAGCAACAGCAACTCCTTCGCGTTCATGGACGAATTCAACCGCAACTGCACCTTGTCCACCAAACAGGTCTAGATTCTCTCTATTTCTATTCTGATTGGCAAATTCAATTTGTTACTTGTTTGGCTTCTGAGAATAAAAAATATACGTAGCGATGGTATAGAAACAAAACGAAAATTTGAGTGGACTTAGCTGATTCGATAGCGAAAATAATATGCTCGGTTTTGAACATGGATCTGCTCCTTAATCGTGGTTTTTGGCATTGCAATCTTTTAGCGTTTAATTCTCCATTATTGTCATTTTCAAAGTTCAGGCGTATATATTTGATTTACTGTTGTAAGGTCAGAAACTGTGATTTGAATATTAGGCTGGAAGACAGAAGTTTTCGATCTGACTGTTGGATGAGGAAAGCTAGTCTTCTTGAGAACTAGTCAAATTGATATTTATTCTGTTATTTCCCCCAGATTTACAATGTTCTTGAGGAGAATTAACAAAATATTGCCTCCCGTGGATATTTTAGCTAAGAATGTATGGGTAGCACGGGCATAGCTATAAATATAAAGTGTTTAATGGTCAGTGACTCAGTGGTTATCAATTTGTTTTTTGTTTGGATGTTGAGAAGTTATTATGATTTTTCAATCCACAGTTGATACGGGTTTGAATATAGAGATGATATTTTCTTGTAGAATTGTTCAATGTAGATTTTTGTGCATCGTTGGAAATAACTTGTGCTAGCTTTTAGGTGACAAATGATAATGAATGACAAGGGATGGAGGGGAAATATTATATACCTTCATGAAATCATTCATAGAAGTGAAAAATAAAGGAAATATATGTTGGAAGATGAAATGAACTGGATGAATGAGTACATTTCATTTGGCTGGGAATATTTATGAACTGGCTTATTGAATTGAATTCAGATGATTAAGAGGTGTCCTTTAAAGTGAATGGGTTGCAGAGTATATTAGAATTTAGAATGACATTATATAATTTTTAGGTTCATATCTACTCTCAGATGTGTCTTGGTTACTTAGTAAAGATATGCAGTCTATAGAAGTGTCATGTTTTAAGGTTACTGAGAATAAAGTCCCAATACACCAAATGTGCAATGTCAAATACATAATGACATCTTCTGTTTCAAACAAATGGTTTTGGAGGATGATATCTTTGTTGTTTGGAGGACTTTGAACCATATGCTGGTGCTAGATTGGTTTTAGGAAACAAAATTGAATTAAAGCAAACATAGGCCTTTAAGAGCATAATCATGTTTTTCTCTCTTTTTTAAATTGTTCTATTTGAGTAATTGTTATTATTGGGGACAGGTTCTTTATGACTTAAGGAAATGGAAAAGGCCTGAAATATCAGTTTTTCTTGATAGTTTCCAGAGACATGCTGAATTAGTTGATTAACTCTTGATAGCATCTCTCTCTCCCTCTCTCGTTTTGCTCCTATATTTTAGATTTGTTTTTGCTAAATTGTGCATTAATCCCTTCAAGTTTTCTTCCTTACCCAAACTTCAATCATATTGAAATGTTCATTTAATTCATCTAACAGGTTTCTATTTGTAAATTGTTTTTCACAGTTTAACTAATAAGCTCTCTGTCTGTGACCAGAGACTATATGGTTTTGCCATATGCTTTGCTGCTGGATTAACTTGTACACTATTGGTAAGTTTGACATTATGATTTTTCTGGTTAGATAAATGAAGCTTATATACTAGTTTTTCAGTTCTGTGTAAATATTAATCTTAAGCTCAAATATTTTTTTTTAAGTATGAGTATGTGTAAGCTTTTGACTACTTGATTGTTTGTAATTTTTTGTTCTAAGTTAGAAGGACTGGTTCTCTACTTTTTTTTTCATTCTAGAAAAAGCAACTTGTATGCTGATGTTTTCTCTATTCTTCTATGTTCGTGAGTTAATATAGTTTAACACCCTCCATGTTAACATCATTGTCACAAACTCAAGCAAAGCTTGTCATTTTGTAGAAGTTATGCAAAATATAATATAATTTCCAACATATTGTTTAAAGTTATTTAAAATTTATATGTAGCTTCTGATCAATACTAAAAGGCAGCCCAATGCATGAGGCTCCTGCTCTACAAGTGTGGGCTCTGGGCACTAGGGAGAGTCAGATGTATGCACCTTATCCCCATGAATGTTGAGGGTGTTTCTATGACTATGACCTATGACCAACAAAGTCACAACACAAGGCAACAACCTTACCGTTGTGATTTGTTCATCATTATTAATTTATTCGGATGTATTATTGTGATTTGTTCATAAATTATCCACTCCAACAATTATTACTACTGCCAACTAGGCAGTGGTGCCATGGAGTTTTCCTTAGTTATAGAGCATAGGTAAATATACTCCTATACTTTTGGATTTTGTCATATAAACCAACAATTGGAATAGAGTACATAGTATAAAAATTACACATTCACAATTTTGGGATAATGAACAAATATCAATTATGATTTCTCACCTTTGTTTATGTAAATTTGATGGGAATATAGCCCTTTTCACTGCCTTTCTGAAAACTAACTGAGAACTGTTACTCTTTCTACTACAATGTTGAATATTAGCTTTTTAACTCAAATTTATATTGGCTGACAAGAATAAGCACTAACTAATGGCATTTCCCCCCCATGTTACAGTCTATGCTCGTTTTCTTCAAACCAATCAAGTTTGCAATAACATTCACTCTTGGTAATTTGCTTTCAATTGGAAGGTATGTTCTGTTTTACAGCTGTATATTTACACAATCATGCTGTCTTCCTTGTGCTTGCAATTTAATGTATTAAAACGGGAGAAATTTGAATTTTCTCTAGTTCACTGTATTTTCATTCACAGGTTTGAAATATTCTGCTATTGTTGGTAAAGGAAAAGAGTTTTTATTTTGGCCTTTTGGGGGGGGGGGGGGGGAAGAGACAATTATTTAAGGTGATACAAATTCAACATGTTTTCTATTGAATTTCAGGTCTCATGTTATGTCTATATACAATTGGTTCTTAGGGGTGAAATAGGGAGGAGTTAAGAAATACTGTTATGTCTCACAAAGGCAATCTCACTCAATAGGCCAGTCTTTAGGCTTTCTTCATGGGCTTGAATGGTCCTGGTGGATGCTTTCATTAAGAATTGGGCTATGTAAAACGGAAACGACTAACTATAGGCTGGATTAAGGTGCTATACCCTCTTGGTTTTGCTTATCAAATAGTGATAGATAGATGAATGAAGCTGCCTAAAGGGAAGGGCTACCACCAGTCAATGTTGATAGAGTGAAGTTTCAATGAACACAAGCTCTTTAAGGGTGTCACGATGTTGTGTCTCACATTGAGTAAATAAGGAACCTCCATGCAGTACTTATGCCATATGAATCTCTCACCTGATAGGCTATTCTATTGGATTGGGCTCTCTTTGTGGGCTTGAGTCCTAACAATTAATTGATAAAATTACTGCAGAAAACTGGGACTTAATCCAGAGATTGCAGAAACTTAAATAACAAAGAGACATAAATAGAGCATTAAAGTGATTAGTTGTCCCTTCAAGGGCCTAGCTTCCTCCTTAGTCCCACTGTTCCCACTGATTTCTTTCTTGCCTTTACTCTCCCCATTGTTGTACTTTTAACACCCTTATCAAACTTCACTCCTTTGTTTCACTTCCTCTCCTCTGTATCAATGTGTCTAGACAGCTAAAAGAAAATCCCCTATGCATATTCCCTTTTATTTCACCTATGTTGCTCATGTGGTTCCTTAATCGCTACTTTTCATCCTTTCCTTTCTCCTCATGTAGACTCTTGTTATAATAGGGTAGCTATCAGAATTCAAAATGCTTAAAAGTGAGATTTTCATACTTTATTTTTTAATTTTTTTTAGAACATGGTTTATTTTCTTTTCATATGGGCAAAAGGCTCCAGATATTAGGAGTTGATTCTGGTAAAATTGATGTTATATAATTTGAATTCTTACTTTGTAGTAAACAAATTTTAACATCTTGGATAACACTACTTTCTTAAGACACCAGGATGAAAAATAAGCATGATTGAGTTGCATAATCTCAGTCTGGACTTCAGTTTTCTCTTGTCTTTATTTTACCTGGGTGGTGTAACACTCAGTGTTATGTGTATTGTGTATTTGATGTCTTTCTTCTTGTATATTAAAAGGTTTTGCTTTGAACATTGGATTGTGCTGTGAGTAGCTAGATTGATCAGTCATGAGAGATTGCTAGTATTGAAGTGATAATTTTTCCACAGGTGCTATCTTTGAGATTAAATTATGTTTATAACAATTGATTTCTATCTATCATAAAATGAAGTTCCTCTTTTCAGTTGTTTGCTGTAGAAATTGTTTTCGAGGTACATGTTATTGTTATCTTACTCTTACAAGTTTAATATTTTAAATTAGAATTGACTAAATAATTTAAATTTGAAAATTTGTGAATGCCTGTCTTTATATTGTCTCTTTTAAACTCTTGTCAAAGCTGTTCTGTTTTCTTCAAGTGTTAAGTGGGAGTCTTTTTTATGGCAGCACAGCGTTCCTGATTGGTCCTAAAAGGCAAGTGACAATGATGCTTGATCCTGTTCGTATATACGCAACAGCCATTTACATTGCAAGTATGATAATTGCCTTGTTTTGTGCTCTTTATGTAAGTCAAAATGAATCTGTGTTTTCTTCCTTCTATTTAAACTTAAAGAAAAACTTTGTTTTCTAATAGCTCATTCTTTGATTATTTTGCATTACACAGGTTCATAACAAGTTACTGACACTTATTGCAATTATTTTGGAGTTTGGGGCACTTGTTTGGTATGTGATAAGTTTTCCAAATGCCTTCTGTATAACTTTCTTCAATATTACCTGCAGGGTGCTGTGGGTGCACATTAAGTTACCATAAATCCAATGTGGCATAATGAGAAGTATGCAAATTGTAGGAAAAATTCTAAGATAATTTCAATTATATATGCCCTGAAGAAAAATGCTATCTGGCCAGTGATAAGACCCAGAGCAATGTAATTAGAAGTTAGAACAGTTATAGAATTAGTTAGAGTTGGTTAAGAGTAATTAGTATGGAAGTGGTTAGTGGTTAGCTTAAATAGTTGAAGGGGAATAGGAGAGGGCATTGAGAGTTGTAAAACAGAAATAGCTCTGTTGTGAACGGGAAACCCTTTGAAGGAGAATTCTCTCCTTGTTCTGTTCAGCACCATTCTTGTTCTTTCTGTTTTTATTCTATTATTCGATTCTTGCTTTTTGGTTCATGACAGCCAGTCTTGCAGTATTATATTGAAATTAGTAGAATGCTTTTCCCATTTCAGTTTTGTTAGGTCCCACAGTTTTTCCAATTATTTCAACTTGGTTTAGCCACATTCTTGTCAGTTTGTGATGGTGGCACTGGCATTATATGTCAGGCCTTATCACTTATGCCTGATGTATAAGTTTTGTCCAGTATAAGCATGAACATCTCATGGAAACTGAAAGCCTATTTAGCAAAAAAATTATGTTTTTTGGTTGAAATGGCTCTGGTTTTCTCTAATTTCCATGATAGGGGCTATGTGGATTGCAGAGAAATAAGATAAAAGTAGAAATTTGGGCAGGGCTAGTGATAAGGCAGAAGGAGGGGAGTTGGAATTGAACTAAAGCATAGCTGTCAGTGGAAACTTCAAATATTCTTGTTGGAAATAGGAGTGTGAATTGATTCTGATACACATTAATTTAGATTCATGTCCTTAGATAATAGCATTCATAAGCATAGGAAATAGAACTCTTTCCAATACTTCCTTGTAATCATCAAGTGTAATTATTTCAAAGAGAGAATAAATATCAATCTTGCTGAGTGCTTATCCCACTCAAGCAATTAAGAAAATCTCTCCTCTAATATCCTTTAAACCTGTGTGTTTTAAGTTGGTATTATAAGGGTTAATCCTATCTCTGCTGCATGTATGTCCATCCAGCCTCTGGCAAGGCTGAATCTTAGTCCCAACTCCCAAGACCACTGTTTTTCAGATTTGGCCCGTTGGTTTCTTCCTTTCAAATTTCTGGCCAGACCCAAAGTCGAGTTGCTGAAAAAAAAAAAAAAGAGAACTGTCATGTGCCACAGTCCTCTCCCCAGAATTCATCACCACCTTGTAAAGCCCTGTTCACCACACTGTTCTTGTCTCCTCTTGCTTACTGCACATTGTTCACCATTCTAAGTGGATAGTGGAAACTTTGAAGAAGATGGAATCTAAAACTTCTGCAACTGTGTCTAGTCCAAAGGACAAGGAAACGTTGGAATTGTGGAGGATGACAAATTTGAAAGTAGTCATCCTCAATCTCAGTTTTTATACTGCAAAAGAATAGGCCATACTAAAGATACTTAGATTCATGTTACTTCATGGATTCCCTAGAAAGATATATTAAGAGGGCCTGGAACAAAGGCTGCTTTATGTAGATAAAGAAGACGCTCTAATAGTTGTATATTGTGACACGGATTGGGCAGGTTCTCCAGAGTGTTTCTGTGGGTGGAAATATTGTCTGCTTATAGAGTTAAAAGTTGTTGCACGATTGAGTGAAGAAGTAAAATAGAGTTATAGCTACGGTCACTTTGAACTGATTTGAATTAAACTTCAGGAATTGAAGTTTGAAGAAACCCAGCAAATAAAACTATGTTGTGATAATCAGCCAGCCCTTCATATAGTATCTAATCTGGTGTTTCATGAAAAAACCAAACATATTGGAATTGATTGTCATTTTGTTTAAGAGAGAAGTCCTTTCTATGGAAGTCATCATAAAATGTTAGTTCCAACGATCAACTGCAAACATCTTCACAAAGTCTCTAAGGGAGCCCTGAATTCAAGATATTTGTTCCGAGCTTGGAGCATTTGACTTATATGCTCTAGGTTGAGGGGGAGTATTGGAAATAGGAGTATGAATTAATTCTGATTCACGTTAATTTAAATTCATGACTTCTGCTCATATTTGTACGCACTCCTTGGTAATGCTTTAATATTTCTTCTATTTTCTGATATTTTGATTGACAGGTATAGCTTGAGCTACATCCCTTTTGCGAGGTCCATGGTTTCAAAGATCATGGTTTCATGCTTTGACACAGACTTTTAGGTTATATACTCAAGACGATGGCATTGTCTGTTGAACTGCATTGACACCCTCAACATCCTTGCAGTCTTGCAGAAAGGTTTTATGCCCCTGAAATACAATAGTGGATTGTGGTTCTCTATTGTCTGCCCCTTCCTTTTGTGGAGTCTTGTCTAGGTTCCTCTGGATTGTTAGGCATAAAATCTTGTGAATTTGTATTATGTTGTCTATTGGCTAATGTAAAGATTTTTGTTTCTTTCAATCGGTTGTCCTTTCATTCTTCACCCATGTTTGTCATTTCTTTTGTTTTCAAACCCGCATGCGGCTTTTAAGGCAGTGTCCATGGAGTCACAGTCTGCAACCTTTTTATTCGAGAACAAGTCTTATATGAGCGCAAAATTAACTTGCTAAACCAAAGAAAAATTTACAACTTAGTTTTAAAAAAAAAGGACAACGTGGAAAATATTAAAGAGAATCATGTGACTCTATCTAATAAAAACTATAAACAATAATAAAACAAAGGAAAAAGCAAGAGGCAAGAGCCACTAGAGGAGTCAATTATTACGTACCTATTTGGCAATTCTTCTCGTGTTGACAAAAGTTTAATTGTAAAATCTTATTTAGATATAAATTTTAATAATGTTTACCAGCTCAAAATCAATTTTATCAAAATTCAAATCAAACGGACATTATGTTGCTTTCCACGCTTACCAATTTTATTTTCATTAGTCACCTCACTATACAATGACATGCCGAAAGATACTGAAAATTGTATGCCAACCATGGTAACTCGAGAACACATTTTCAAAGGAAAACAAATATGCTTTTTATAAAAAAAATTTAAAATTAGTGTAGGGCAGGTTGTTCATTTCATGGTCAATATATACCGTTGGCGCCAATGAAAACTTACAATAGAATCTAAATATTAAGTTAGGATTCGTCGAGGTTTTATATTTATACCTCTAAATAATTTTTCATAAAAATATAAAATTAATTCAACTTTTGAATCATTTTTATGTTATGTATATTAAAATTCATATAGTTTAAATATTTATAAAAATTATTTAAAATTTGATATTTACTTATATTTTAAAAATGTTATATCATTAAAATAAAGTAATGCGATAAAATATCTATTAATTTTATTTTTGTATGAAATTTTATTAAATTAATTTACTTGATAACTTTTAAATTAATAGTTGAATTTATCAATCCACGTCCTATAAAAAATTAAATAATGTGAGTGTTACTGAAATATTATTTATCCATAAAATACTACATGCAAGACTCATATAATTAATATCTATTAATATCTAGCAAGGAGAATGACTTACTTATATGAGCTTACAAATGTCAATATAAATACAATTATTAAAAATATTAAAATTCACAACTAAAAAATATTTAATAAAATGCTAAATAAGTAGGAAGATATGAAGACTGACGAAAAATGAATTGAACCTCTTGCCAGATAGGAACCAAACATCCAGCTTTTAGAGACTAACAAATAAACAAACATACACGAATTTCACATGTCCTCATTGATCATAACAATGTAAATGTAATTTTAATTAATTATATATATATATTAAAACAACAGTATAGAGAAGCTATGAGTATGTGGAGGTATCAACTGTTAGTAGCTGCTGTAAAACCAAAAGAAGCATAAGACACAGAACCATAATCCCAACTATCATGTACAAGTTTGGCCTTTGCTTTTTCACCAGCAGCTCCCAAGGCCACATTCAATGGAAAGAAATGATCTGGCCAGGGATGAGCCACTTTTGCATATGGGGCATTCTCTTCAAATTGATTTATTTCCTCGTATCTACAAGAGCATTGGATTGAAACACTTGCATTAAACGATACATAAGAAGCATGCATCCTATCCTTTTAACCATTTCAAAGTAGTTTTAAGCAATACTTGCTAACGTACCAAAGCTAAAACCAGCAAATCAACATAACTACATCGTGCTTATACATTAAGGGCCACTTTGGTAAATAGAATAAGAGATCAGGAGGTATCATGTTTTTTATATTTCTTTAACTAAAAAGCTATGATAAGTGAACTTATCCAATCAATCTTTTTAGTATAAATTTTATCTTGTGGAAAGCTTGAGTTAGAAGTAAACAAGATAGATTACTATAATGCTATATATGAGATTATTCTACTGTTATCTTATAATTATCCAATTCTCATATTCTATTTTTTTTTTCTTTCTTATCATATCATGTCTAAGATTCGAATCCTTATTGTTTAATGAATAAATGATAGAAAAAGAATGGTTAAGAAAATTAACTAATAAATTTCATTACTCCAATTCAAAAATACAGTTTACTCCACTTTTTTACTATTTGGTAAACTATTTCATAAGCTTAAATAAGGTCATCCATAAACAGGATGTAACAATGTCCTAGAAAACTATACCAATGTCCTAGAAAACATTATAAATAATCTTTGTCGACTAACTACTATTAATAACACTAATATTAATCTAGAGTAGTTCTTATCAACTAATTATTACGATAACTTCTACACTTTTAATAAGAGTATTTTAGTAAAGTCAATTTATTTTACTACAATAATTGGTAAAACTAATCATTACCACGAAGTGACATTTAAAATGAGATTAAGGGAGTACCTTCCATCAAGAAGAGAGCTTTTTAGCCAGGAAATAAAAGCTGTAGCCCAGGGAGGAGGAGGGCTATTACGGTATGTCATTGCTCTGAGGTTATGGGTGGCATTCCCAGAGCCAATGATTAGAACACCTTCATCCTTAAGAGGAGCCAAAGCCTTTCCCATGTTATAGTGATAAATGCCACTTCTCTTAGATGAGACAGAGAGTTGACACACTGGAATATCTGCTTCAGGGTACATCAACATGAGAGGTACCCATGCACCATGATCAAGCCCACGTTTCCTATCTTCATCCACACGGCTAAACCCTGATGCTATCAGTAACTCCTTCACCCTCTTTGCCAAGTGTGGTGCCCCAGGTGCCGGATACTTAAGCTGCCAATAAAAGGATAGTAAAAAACACAAGATTTATTACCATTTGAATTGCTAGCTAAGCTATGCTAAAATTTAGAGTATTATTTTCATGTGAGAAGTATTTGCAACACAAACTCACTCTTTCTAACACAATTTCTATAGTCACTTAAATTTTATTGAAAATTTTAAAATTATGAACGAGATTCATTAAATTAAAAATAAGATTTACATAATTTTGTTACTTTTAGTAAATTTCAGTCAATAAAAAATATTATATTACTGACATTTTTCTTTTTAAGGTTTTGCAAAATTATTTTCGTAAATATGAAATTGGGAATACAACGTTCTCATCTTTGTTATAATTTTTTTCTAAATAAATTTTAGGCATGGTTGATCTCAAGAATAATGAGTCATATTCATGTAACATTTTTTGTGTTTTACAAGTTACATTAGAGGGTATGATGTAGTTCAATCAGTAACTTCTATTCCACTTTTATTTTTTCTTTTATCATTTGAATTTTGAAAAATGTTTTCGAGAACATTAAATCATATACCAATATAAACTTTAGTTTATTTAGGAATAACATTCTCAGATTTCCAGAAATGTTATTCCAGGAGATTTTTCACTGCAATTGGCCAGCTAGAGTTTAGGTAGAACTCAGCTTCCTAGTGGTTGTTTGGTAGTTGTCATTAAGATATATGATACTTAACATGTCTTATTTTGTAAGGCAAGAACATAAATCTTTATCACAAAGTCTTCAATGTGTTTCTCTATGACATGATTCCGTCTAAGTTCATGAATTACATGTTATCAAAATGTTAAAAGTGAAAGCTATCACAGAAATGAAAAAGAGAAAGAAAATACTTAATATAACATTGGAACCCCCGAATTGAAAACTTCATCAATCGGCATTTGTTTGCGTAAAAAAAATGAATACTACCCAACCAGTCAATGTCATAAATGAACGCCACGAAACTTCTTAGCACATTTATTTACATTCCTAAGGACGTACGAAAAGAAACAAAATAGATATCAAAATAATAACCATTTTCATCAAACCCATTCAAATAATTAAATTGCACATCCAAAAATAATATTTTATATATTCATCGATTCACTTCTTTTAAAAACTTTATTTTATTTATTTGTTTGTTTGCAAAAACTTCATTAAGGAACAAAGAATTTAACTTTAAAAACAACCAAAAATGTTAAGAGGCAGAAACCAGAGACAAAGATAATACAACCACCCCACCAACCAAATAAAAAAAAAACCTCTAAAATATCATCTTAAATTTCACGCATGAGTTTAGCTCAAATAGTTTTTGGTTGAAAATATAACAACCACAAACTATTTCTTTTAATTTTATAAAATGTATATTTTTGAAAACATGTGTATATAAATAAAATAAAATAAAAAACATAAATAATAATGTATGGCTTAGTTTTTAAGTATTCAAATAACATAATTATTTAGTTTTCTAACTTGACACAGCATAAATAATAAACTAACAACAAAAATAATAATTAGTAATAATATAACAACTGCAAAAAAAATGTGAAAGAGTGGAAACCTTACCGTGGACATGGCTTGGGGGAAACCATAGAAATCTTCGATGATATGATTTTGGTCAACGACGTTGACCGTGGGAACATGGGTGTCCCAGTGGCCGGAGATGATGAGAATGGAAGAGGGTCGCGGCGGAAACAGCTCCTTCCAAGATGATAAGAACTTCCATGCAGGGACTGAATCATCTATGGCTAGTGTTGGTGATCCATGTGATATGTAGAATGTCTCTTTCAATTTCGACCCCATGATATTACTATTATTCTCTTCTTTCCTCTTATCAATGGAATCGCCACTTTCTATCTTTTCTATTTTACTTGGCCTAGAATCAGCCCAATTGAAACAAAATCTCAATATTTTGTTCATAGATAGTAAACAAGAGATCAGAGCAATATATATATATATATATATATATATATATGGAGGGGTACAGATAATTCAACAAAGAAAAGTATGTATATTTTAGTTGAATTTGTATTCTATTCTCCATGTCTATGATTTTGACTTTTGACCCGAGAACATTTTTCAATTTAGAGTTTTATTATTTGAATGATAAAAATTAACATTGTATATAACATCATATATTATTATTTTTGTTTATTATATATATATATATATATATATATACACCCATATATCTTAAATATAAAAAACTAATAACTTATAAGTGTCCACTTTTAATAATATATGAAATACTTTTTTTATAATTAATGACCAATTTCATGGATTTAGTTCTAATATTTGATAAGAAAACATTTAAAAGAGAGAGTAAAAATTAGAGTTAAAGTAGTTTTTAATCATGTAAGTGGAATAATTAGTTTGTTGATAATGTATAAATTCAAATAATTTTGAATAGCAAAAAATGAGTATACAAATCAGCGTAACCAAATTCAACATTGGTGAGTACAATTATCTATGACTTTGTATAAGTTATGTAAATTATTGCATACATAAAATAAAATGAACTTGATTATTTGCGCATATAAAGCTCAATGGAGTCTTCCCTTCCACAAAGGTTCTATCTGTATTTCCCACCGTCTAAACAAATTTGAGCCATTGATTAACTTATCCTGAGAGATTCTTGAACCCAGAATTTCTATGTAATGATGAATATGAATAAAAATAAATATTTTATACTTTGATAGTGGGCTTATATGAAAAAAAATGCTAAATAACAAAATATGAGATATTGAGAAATTTTTTGAGATTATGGGACAATTTTGGTACTTTAAATTTTTTTATATAATTTTTAAATTTTTTAATAATTTTCAATTATTCTATCTGTAAATCTTTGCGTGCAAAATTTACTCCAAAATCTCATATTCATGTATATCATTTTACTAAACCTCATATTTAAAATAATTAACCTTGATGGTATAAGTCATCTTATTGAGATATTAAAATCACTATAATGGTCTCATTTAATTAGTATAATGACGAGGTGGTCCAAAATTTATTTGGTTAATATATTGATGCTCTGTTTGTTTTAATTTGAAGCGTAATACTTCTATTATATAATATTTACTAATCTTTTTACGAATATGCTTCACTCAGTCAATCAACAATAATTCTTTCTCAATTTGTAGCTTCACTTTACTCAATGTGACATTGAAACTCACAAATCATAGCAGCAACATCATTTCATCTCCCAAAATTACAAAGGTTCTGAATTTAGAAAGTGTGAGTGAGATGATCATGTTGGATACTTTTATTAGGCATAAAATTTCTCTTTTAAATAGTAACATTCTCTCTTCTAGTACTTACTTTTCTTCCCTATTTATTAAAGAGACATGAATGAAACTTACCAGGTGATTTGAACTTCAAATACCAACCTAAGTAACCTATACAATAAGATAAAGAAGAACAGCACAACTAATAATCAAAGAAATTATAAATGGTAGCCAAGAGGAAAGACTAATTGTCTCTGCATATTCCATGATTGAAGTTATAACAACTACCCACTGATACCAATGGAATTTATACGATAAATACCTAGTACACTAATAACCCTTGGAACAGTGTTACTTAATTAGATATTTCCATGATATAATTAGAAAATTATAAAATCATACTCCATGGAGACCAAACTTTGCTTACAACTAGTCTTAGCCTTACACAAAATATATTCAAAATTATGAATGATTTTCCACTCAGATAAGTTTATTTTGCACTTAAATCTTAGCCACAACTTGATTAACACTTAATTGAACGTTCAGTTATTCGAAACTTCGAAGTTAAGTATGTTCTCCTTGACAATTACGGGTAAACTACCCCCCAACCCCCTAGCTTTCCACAGAAGTATCTAAATCACATGGAGCAGAGGTGAACTGTACATAAACTTCAATAAAAAAATTTATCACATTGTGCAGGTGTGATTATCATGCACTTTGTATCCCACTTTTGGGACAAATATATGCAGATTTAACACACAATTTCCTCCCCCCTTCAAATGATAGATCAACCTATCCACTGACAGAATTGGTCAAAGTTAATCACTGAATCGTTATACTTCATTTGAGAATTTGAGTGCTAGTAGTATTGATCAAAGAAATACACACCCTAGACCTCAACATCACAAAATATTGCACCAATGCCATTGGCATGTCATAATAAACATGTCATGTGTCAATGAATTCTAGATCATATCATGTTCCATAAATTAGTATTCTCTTAGATCATCGAAGTGAAATGCTGCCAACCAAATTAAGTTCATCAAACTAGAACAACTCAACACATTGAATGGAATAAATGTCTAACATGCCTACTTTTTACATAACAAAGCTGATAACACTTTACTAAGAAAGAAAACTTCATAGTTCATAATAGTTGATCTCTTCAGAAAAGAACAGGGAATCCAAAATGTAAGGGAAGGACACAGCTTTCGTACCTTGATATTAATACATGAAGAATGTGCAAAACCCCAAGCACAAATGCAATACAACATGAATTAATAGGCTAGTTTATAAACTTTTTAACATATTTTTAACACCGATTGACTAAGTGAAAGTAGACTGCAATTTCTAATGAATTTTACCAAATAAGGATTATCAGACACATCACAGGGATCACAAGGCAAAGAGCTTGCAACCATCTCAGCCAGTTAGCTTAGCTTTCACTCTTCATTCTGTTACAGTTCATGTTGGTTCAGTAAGTTTGTTGATTTAGGCCTAATTTGGGTTAGTTTCAGCAAAGGTACTTATAAAAAAGAAATTGAAGAGATAAAACAAATAAAATCATTCATATAAGTTAAAATCAACTTATGCAAGGAGAAGTTAATTGAGAAAGCTTCTAAAAAGAAGAAGTTTATTTTAATTTATAAAAAGAATTTTATTTGTTTTATCTTATTTTCTTCCCTTACAAATATTTTGGCATAAGCTTACTCAAATTGGACCTTAGTTGGTTATCAAGCAAAAGGAGTGATTATCTGCTGCATGGTGCACTCTTCCTACGAGGCACCAAGCTATGCACTATAATGCAATAGGGTTCAAGTATCATATCTCATTTGTATCAGAATTCATTCAAGTTTCCTCTAACAGTTTTCACTAGAAGGGGATCAAATTCTGAAATTGCATTAGCAATTGTTAAAACCAAAAGGAAAAAAAGACTAACGGACCAAACATCATCTCAACAGTCAGCAACAAGGAAAGCCACCAATTTTTTTTATTCAAAACAATTAATTTATTATACATCAATACATCACAGAAACATACGTCTAAATTTAAGCAACATATCTTCATAGATATTAATAACTGTGTTTAAACATGCAATGAACAGCTGCTGTTCTGTACTAAGAAGTTCAGCTGGTAGTTGATGTAAACTGGTAAGAGGCATAAGAGAGACTGCTCATTTCAATACTGCTGTGGATAAGTTTGGCCTTTGCATTTTCACCGGCAGCACCAATTGCAACGTGCAGTGGATAAAAGTGATCTGGCCAGGGATGAGCCTTTTTCGCATGTGGCGCTTTCTGTTCATAATGATTTACATCTTCATATCTACAAAATCAATTCAAAAACCATCACAACTAATCCACAAAGAGCCAAACTCAACAACATAAAATGGCTAGTTTTCCAATAGCATCCAGTATCTTAGCACTTAGATCCATGCAGTTAACATCCTTAATAAGAACAACCAAGCATTTAACAACTTTGAACATCAAAAATGAAAAACGAGTACCTTCCTTCAAGAAGAGCTTCTTTCAACCAATTATCAAATTGTAGAGCCCACGGAGCAACAGAGGAGTGAGGATCAATTGCTCTCAAGTTGTGAATAGCACTTCCAGAACCCATAATCAATACACCTTCATCTTTAAGAGGGGCCAATGCCTTTCCTAAGTTATAATGGTGAGTCCCATCCTGGCCTGATTGAACAGATAGCTGACAAACTGGGATGTCAGCTTCTGGGTACATCAACATAAGAGGAACCCAAGCACCATGGTCCAGTCCTCGCTTTGTATCTTCATCAACACGTCCGAAACCAGATTTCTTTAGTAGTTCCTTGACCCTCCTTGCCAAGCGTGGAGCTCCAGGTGCTGGATATTTAAGCTAGTAGAGGAAGCATGAAATGTAAGAGATGGCTATCTAAATCTACCAAGATCATCACCAATGGATAAACCCAGTATCAGGCTAAATGAAAAACATGGCATTATCTTGGAACGCCAAAATTTGAACCTCAAGACTCAAGATATAGTGTGTGTTTGGAAACACATTTCAAAACTTGTAAATATGGATCGAACGCAGAAACTACAACTAGTAGGGCTCAAGTAAGTATGTATCCATGACTATTTAAATATGAATCCAAACACACTATAAATAGAGGCAATTGCCAGGACTGCATTAGTGCATATGGAGTTATGCACTATACATATATGTCTTAAAGTTCTAAAGTTTTGGCATTCGAAAAACAACAAAGAGGAAAAGGTTTCCAACATCCACAAGGGCAAAGAAACATATATGGTTTTCTAACGGCTACTAACAAAGCAAAAAATAGCGTAGTGTAAAAAAGTAGTAGAAAAATGTTTATTTTGTGTCCTTAATTTAACATTCTATGAACAGAATACAAGGTGGTTTTCTTTCCTTCTTTGTTGCTATCTAGCATGAAGTGGTGGCTCAAGTATTACTCATGGACAGCGATATTACATAGGATTTGCCCACAAAGATACAAAAAGCTCTACATTCAAACTGAAAATTCTTGCAACATAATTTTGCGCCATTTATAGTTCACTCAAAATTGAAGCCATGGAACTCAAACTAACTAACCGCAAAACTGGAAATCCTCAAACGAGAAAGGGAATGAGACAGCGGAAATCAAAAAGGTAAAGCATGATTATAGTATGTCTTGATCTCTCAGTTGCTTAGATGTTTAAATTAAACCGTTTTCATTCAACACCTTAAAAATTGAAAAACAAATTGCGCATAATTGACAACCTCAGACAAATTCACCAAAACACTATATTTGCAAACAAAAAATAATAATTTAAGAATTATCAATAACTCATGTCCTCAGTTAAGATAATTAACAGTTACTCATTACCTAATCATAGAATCTTTTCTTACTAAACCAAAATACTTTAAGTAAAAACTGAATTTAGATTAGATCCTCGCGTGTTAGAAAGAAGAAAAATAAAATAAAATTTAACTTCAAGAACCAACTTTGACAAGTCCATATTCAATATATATATATAACATAACCACGTATATTATTTATTAAAAAGAGAAAATCTAAATAAAAAAATTGTACTTTCTATCCTACCCTTTTCTTTTTATATCAAGGTTTGTCAACAAACTTCTGATCCAAAAAAAAAAAAAAAGAGACGAGAATGGATAAGACGATGATGATACGGGTAATCTAAATTTAGATTTGGTGTTAGGTGGAAACCTTGTACATTTGTTTGGGAAAGCCATAGAAATCGTAGATGGTTTCGTTGATGGTGTCAACAACGTTAACGGTGGGAACTGCGGTGTCCCAATGACCGGAAATGACAAGAATTGAAGTGGGTTTTTGTGAAAACACGTCCTTCTTCCATGATTGAAGGAACGTCCTAGCTTCAATGGACTCATCTATGGACAAAGTGGGGGATCCATGAGATATGTAGAACGTGTCTTTCAACGCCATGGTCTTCTCTTTTCTTTGTTGATATTCTCTCTATATGCTTTATTAACTCTTGTTACACACAATGATGTTATGAACAACTCTCAATTTTCTATGTTTATATACAGAAAGAAACATTTTGAAAATAAAAATAGACATTTCAATTTCCGACAACTTCAAAGTTCCGGCGTCAACGGTTTTTCACACCAAACACGGAAAACAATTCCATCGAGTGCTTTATTTTTTATGCCCGAAATTTAAAATTTGAAATGCTATTTAAATATTTATTTGTTGGTGTTGTTAAATTTAATTGGTATATTTTTAAATTGAAATTGGGGTTTTGAAGAATATTTCAAAGTTTATAAACTAAGATGATTTTTTATTAAATGATTGGAGTTTTTTCTTATTATAATAAATTTCATATTAAACTTTAATTTAAAAATAATATTAAAGCAATAAAGTGTATAATTGGATGGAGATGTTATTGATATATTTTTGTACTATTATAGTAATTTTTAAATGAATTATTATAGTTTGATTAGTTAATAAAATAATTTTTTACGTGTATTTTAAGATATATAATAAAAAGTTATATATAATTAAAATTTACAAAATTATAAAATATTATAAATCAAATACATTAATTTTTTATAATGTATTTTTAAATATATATTAAAAATCATTAATAAAATATGGACAGTGCTCTTTCATCACCTGAAGTAATGCTGAGAGTAACGCCAAAGGGTGTCATTGGTGATGTTTGGTGCGAACGTGTTTAGGGTAGTTAGTGACGTTAGGTAGACTGTATTTTCACCTTCTCTTTTTCTATTTTATTTTTTTGGTTTTAGATTTATATTGTTGCATTCGGATCTTCTCTCCATCTATCTTCGTCTTAAACCTAAGTTGTTAGATTTAAATTTCACTATTAAAAGAAATAAAGATAAAACTAGATTAGCTTAAATGGAATAATTTTTTATTAAGCAAAATTTAATTTTTTAATTTAGTTTTTATTGGTAAAAAATTTATATATTAATTCTAATATAAAAATTTATTTTTAATTTTATTTTTATCATTACAGTACGTTATAATAATGTTAATTTTATTTTTTATTGGACAAAACGTTATTTAATATGACAAGTTTAAATTATCTTTTAATCTCTATATAAGATTATTTTTATAATTTGTTATAAATAAAAAATTACTTATTATTTTTTATAATTTTTTTTACAATTTTACCCATATTATTATAATGACATTTTTTTTTCTATCTTTAGAGAAGTATTTTGAATTCTTAAAAAACGTTTCATATTTGTTTTATATTTTTTTAATTCATGATATCTAATTTCATTATATAAGTTAATGTCTTTTAGTTTTAAACATGTGTAAGATATATTTTAAGAAGATTTTGTGTTTTAATTTATATTTACACGAGTATTACTTTAGGTATTTTTGTATCATTATTTGTGTACTCCATCATATTCTCATCATAATTACCATCTTTTTTTCTATCATCTTTATTCCAAAGTTGTATTTTTAAGATAATCAATATATAGTTGAAGAAATAAATAAAAATGATGATAAAGTGATGATTTAAAGAGTGATTTTGATTTTCTTATAAATATACTAAAGATATAAAAAGAAAATTATTGACTTTGAGCATAACTTAAAAAGACATGACCCACATTTGAAATATTAGAATCATGATGATGGGAGAAGGGATAGAGATTATAATAAAAATGTAATGGAGCATACAAGTAATGATACTTGAAATAAAAATGTTAGAGATAATACTTATATAAAAAAAGAATCAAGAGATAAATTTGAACGTAAAAAAGTATGAAATAAAATGTTTTAAAAATCTAGAATAATCCTTGAAAGATTATTAAAAAATGTCACATTAATATGAAAATATTATCATAAAAATAGAGACAACATTGCAAATAAATTTTTGTATAAAAGCTAATATACGTATAGGGTTAGATAAATATAACCAACCCAACTCAATCCAAGCAAAAATTAGTGGGTCATGTTAGGTAATCAAGTCTAGTATCGAGTCTGCTTTTTACAATCCAATAAATTGATCCAACACTTTTATATATAGAAAATTTAAAAATATACAATATTTGTGTTTTTTAAATATAATTTTTGATAAAAAAATTTAAATATAAATCAAGATTTTATATATCAATACTAATAATTTAATTTAATTTAATAATTATTAAATTCTATAAATTATAAACATATTTTTATTTTATATAAAGAATCAACTACTCAATTCATATATATTTATAATTAGATTGGGTTCGTTCAGTGCACATGTAAATATGTAAAACTCAACTCAACATATCATATTTTAATTAAGTCAAATGATTTTTAAAAAAAATTATAAAAATTATTTTTGTGAAAATTATTTTTTATTTTGTCGACTATGTGACAACAAGTGATATTAAAGTTAAAGATTTATTCAAGTGAACTGTTTAATAATATTATTAAAAATTGGTGGTGGGTCTGCATGAAAAGATTATTGTATCGAAAGTTTTTATAGCAGTATGAAAGTTGTACAACACGTCTTGTTGATGAGAACTAACGCCGATACAAAATTAAAAAGAGCATTAGTCACAATGACCTATTGATAAGAGCTAACAATGGTTAGCGACAACAACTATAGTGCTTTTGTATCACCATAAATGCCCATGGTTAAATAGGAAGACAATATGCAGTCAAGAAAATTGAAGATAAAAGTCTCATAGTTTTTAAGTAGATGATGTATAGTCATTTACTCATGTAGTAAATTGAATATTTCTGGCATTTTTTATTTGAATAAATAATCTAAATTAGTATAATTAATTAAAAATTTCAGTGGAAAGATGTTATTACTTGGAATGTACTAAATTGTTCAATTGCCTATATTTTGCAGTTAGTTTTTGAAGGTTTTAGAAGAGTAAATTGTAATTGAATCTGGTGGAAGGAAGCAAAATAATGTAGTGCTGATTTATGGACACACGCATAGTTGATTATGAAAACACAAGTCTGACAGAACAAATAAAAATAGAATTTTCTGCTAAAAGCGATATCTTTTATTATACTTTCCAAACACAGAATTTTAAGTTTTCCATACATCTTTATGTACGAATGTTTTCATTCCATTTTCTCCTTTCCTTCTTTATGAGATTTTGATGGGATGCAGGGTTATATCTCTTCATTCTCTTTACTCTTTAATGGTTTACTCTTCAATAGAATAGTGATTTTCTACAGTTTATATTTCCTGTAATTTCCTTTCAACTGAACATGAAGTTTATTTTTGCAATATATTTCAGCTTCTTCTCTTTTATTTCTGCAATGTCTTGCTTATTTCATTTAGGGTTGAGGATGGGTGAATTTGATTTTTAACTCATTTGGATAATTTGAATGTGAGCTATAACTTATTTTACTTTTTTTCTAACTTATTTAATCCTAAACTTAATGTTTCTCTGTTTTTTAGTATTCATAGTTGACAAAGAGAATCTTCTTATTGAAAATTTGAATCATTCTTAGAAATGGATTAAGGAGTTCATTAGTGGTTACCTAAGAATAAGAACCTTTAATGGTGTGGTTACTTCGATTTTTAATCTTAACACTGATATGCTCTTGATTTACTAAGGAATTAGGAACTGAGAGTTAATTTAGAACCATTTGATCAATGAATTAGCATTGGGTACTATAAAAATCTGACCATTAGAATAGTTGTATTATGAGTTATACATACTTTTTTACAATGAGAAAGAATTAAGGAATCCTAACTTAACACACTTCTATATTAATTGTTAACTTGTCTGTTGAGTTTATACCCATTTTTTATTCTGAAATTTATTTGTCATTCTGTTTTAGTTTTTTATGCTTAGTTTTTTTTTTCATGTTAAAGTAATTCAATAGAGTTTAAATTATTTTTAATTGCTACGTAATATTTAATTTTTTGCATTAAACTCTTAAGTTGTTTATCACTTAACTAGCGATATTATTATGATTTAGTAATTAACGTTAATTTTAGTAGACGATAAAATTTAATTATTACTGCAAACGATTTGGTATGCTTACTAATTTGTTTATCAATGTAGGTCTAACTATTAATAATATAAAGTTAAAGAGAAAGATCTCTTGTTATAATATAGATTATGCAAGCCTCACAATTATTAACATTAAGGAGAATGCATTCTAAAGAATTAAAGAGAATAATTTTTAGTTCTAATATAAATGATGCATGTATGATAGTTAATTGATGTAGAAATATTGCAAGAATAAACAATAATAAGGTGAAATGTTATAATTGTGAAGAGGGTTGTTCTTCATTGCTAATTATTTAAAAAATTGTGAATTTCAACTATTATTATTTTAATGAGTTGTAAAAAGGAATTATTATATTAACTTATAAGTAATTATGTATAAGAATTTTTAAAAATTAAAAAGATTTTTTTTTCTAATACAAAAATTAGTAATGTATATAGAGATTATAATAATAAAATATTTTGGTCTATTAACTACACAGTGTTAATTATTGCATGTTCTTTTTTTACTTCTTTTTTGCAGTTCGTTTTTGTAATTGCTGTAATTAACTTATTTTTAATTCAAACTTACAAAACATTATCAATAGAAAGTAAAGAATATTCACTAATCTTATCAATACTATCTTTCCTCTTTCTTTGTCACCAAAGGTTACTAGCCTCTTTCTTTATAACGATAATTAAATGGAAACATGAACCTTTTTTTCTGTTAACATATATTTTAAGAAATCATTGTATAATTACTATTATTGGTGTATCTTTCTTTCTTATAAGGATATTATCATGACTTACCATAACTAAAGGGGAAAAAGTTGTCGTCTATATACAATCAGATAAATTGTTTAACGTTAGGATTGTCTTTATCAATATAATCTTTTGTCTAATAATTTTTTATTAATATAAACAATGTTAACTTCAAATTTATGCATCGTATGAACATTTGATGTACTAATAATATATCTATTTTATATACTCAAATTTTTTTGGTTAGTATATGACTAGTTTAATCCCACATCAAATCGTAAATGGCATTTTTTTGAAGTATATGTTTAGATACTTAAA